AATTCGTTCTTGGGGCCCTGGATAGCCTACAGTGTAAAGAAGTCGTCATCTGGAAAGAAGATGCCGGAAGGCTTGGTATGCCATAGACTAAATGCATAAATTTCATTCCAACTGCACCTCCTCTTCCATGCGATTCTGTCATTTAAACATTAAAACCCTTCATCTAGCTGGATACAAAACTGTGTATTACGTCCATCTGTCTGTCGATCTTTTCCATCTGTCTCATCTCCCATCTCATTCATCTAGTCTCATCCCATCTCATGCTATTAATCCAAGTTTCCAAATGACAGTTGATTTATCTATCTCATCATGCTATCTCATCTTATTTTCCCATCTCAGCTAGGAAATTTAGTTACTTAGTCCATGTCCAAATGACAAACACCCAAGTTTCCACTGAGTTTCCCAGAAAATCTTCCAAAAATCCCCCTGTTTTTCTCCCGCCTGCGAAAGTCGCAGCCAGGGCGACACTGGTCAAAGCTGTGTCGAGCAGGGATCCGCCGCGAGAGGACTGCCTGAGTTTTTCGGTAGATCCGAAGAGGTGGCACATGGATGCACCTTTTTAATCCGTTTTTATTCATAATATGATGCGCATTTTGAATGTGGCAGTTTGCACACAAATATATATATATATATATACATACATATATATATATATAGATATATGTGGAATCCCGGAAACTAACGTGTTTGACACTCCGCATGTGAAATTGTATTTTTTTTAAACAGTCACATGCACAAATGCGCAGACAACTGGATTATAATCAGCAAATTATCAGCATATACGTATAAACTATGACCACACAACCCGTGTTACACAAATGAGACACAACATCGTATACTAAAACAAACCATCCTTTACAGCATAGACTGTTTACCCATCAGCAGAGCGATTTGCCTTGCTGATGAATTTCACCAGTTTTTGAGCTTCACCCCTGCCATTCTTAAGATTTCATTGGATTACCCTCTGGTAAACTAACATAGCTATTGAACATGGCCATTTATAGTGAGTTTTCCCATTAAAAATTGTGATTTTCCATAGCTATGTTAAATTACCAGAGGGTAAAGCTTATGTTCCAAATCATGGCTATCTGTCACATCCCATCATTGTCCATTGTTTGACGCTTAAGCCTACCAAACATCCCATGGTTTGATATCATTGGTCGGTGAAAACCACCATTCTTGACTGGGTGATGGTTTCAGCCGAAAACCACACAATCACCAAGGTAAATTGGGATAGTCATCCAAGGTAGGATTAAAAACAACACATCTTTGAAACCGCGGACCGCAGTGTTGTTACTTGTTTAACGCCCAAAATATTCTATATTGATTCTTCCTTAAATCCGTCAACTTCATAAATGGAACCATCCATGATATCCCCATGTTGGTTGATGAAAACATACCCTGTTTTCCATTTGAGACCAAGCTGCAGCCAAACATTGGGCCCTGCTTCCCGCGGTGCAGCGCTGCGAAAGGAGGCGCCTTGCGCGCCTTGCGCTTGCAGTGCAGGCGTGCGACTTAGCGCGCCCGGCAACGGGGCAACGAAATCCATGGCCATTGGGTACAGCTAAGTTCAGCTGTCTGAGCCGTTCAACTGAGGGAGCAAGTTTTTGGGATGAATTTTGACATGGAAAAACACCTGAGTTTTGTTTGAAAAAATGGGGAATACCGGAATGCCCCTTTACAAAAAGGACGCGATTCTACGTGTTTCTATTTGAATGGGACATTTGGGTTTAAAACGGTTGGGCTTTAGTCGTACCATGTCGTACCCCATTCTTGCAAAAAATATCGAAATGGGTGGTTTCAATGTTGGGAATTGCTGCACACATAAATATGTTTTTATGTGTATATATATAATGTAAAACAATGGTGCAGTATTTAGTTTCATGTTTGAGGTTCTTGCCGAACAGGATGCAGCGTGTACAGAACATCAGAACCATATCAATTGATTTTGGAACCTTGAAAGACTGGCACCTTTCCCAATAATTTTAAAAAATGGTTTCCTCAAGATCTGGATTTCAAAGGACATGAATCTATTGCATAGCGATCATCCTTGGTAGTAAAGACACATCTACTGATGTAAGATGGTAGGACCTGCCTGGGGATGCCGGGGATAGGAGCACTACCATGACAAGACAGACATGCCCCCACTGAATTCGCAAATGCCAACCAGGGTCAAAATTAGACTCCTTAAAAAAATCCTTTAAAAAACGTGATAGACGAATAGTTCATTCAAAACGGTGGATGGTTTCAGCTTCGAAGTTGCCCAGCTGTGAGACTCGTCAAGCCTAAATTGTTGACCCCAAACTTGTACATTGGCTCATATCTTCAATTTGGATGAACTAGTTACTAGCATTTACTATCTATATTTGTTGATTCAATGTGGCTTGATGATGATTAAATATGATGAATTACTGATCTTGATTTGAAATTCCCTGCTGTTGGCTGGACACCAAACAGTTTAAACAAAACAAAGCCCAGCAGTTGCCGGCTATCTCCTGATGGTTGCTGCGACCCCCCGGATCCGCAATCCGCAATGGGCGGACCAAATTGGGGCCCATAGCGCAGAACAAACAACTGCGAAAATGACATGTGGAAGGGAAGAAATACATTTTTTGTATTTTTTTGTGAGAGATTTTGCGGACAATACTTCGCTAGTTGGTCAGAGGTGGCTTTAGTCTCCCTGAAATGTGTGCTTCGTTTTGAATCATTGTTCAATGAATTTGCTCAGGCTTTCAAGCATGGTTCATCCCCCCAAAAAAAAGTCGAATTTTCGCGATTTGTTGATGCTTTTTCATCCCATGAAATTCCATGAGCCACCATTAAATCCCATTAAACCCCATAAAACCCCATTAAACCCCCATTAGATCCAATTGAAATCCCATTAAATCAATGGTTTTTCCATGACAACAACTCCGCACTGGCCACCCCAGGGCCCCGGCTGCTCGCAACGTTTCCGCAGTCCGCCCGCCTCGGGAGGAAAGCGCTCAGCGGGCTTGGAAAGAGGAAAAACAGGTTGAAGATCTGAGAAACAATCCTTAAGCTGCACATATCCATATTATCATCTATATATATATTAGCTTTTTTTAAAGTCTCGTAAAAGGTAATGATCTTGGAGAGCGTACGTCTGTTGACGAGTGCAGATGAACGTGGTGACGGACGTGCGTACGACCCAGCGTACGTGTAAGCGTACGAGTGGACGGACGCGTGACGTACGAGTGGACGGACGTGTGCGTGCGAGTGGACGGACGTGTGAGCGTGCGTACGTGCGTTGACACGTTCACTCGTCAGGTGCGCGCGCACGTACGAAAATAAGGTCAACTCGAGTCGGCCTTATTTCTGTACGTCTCGGTTTTTCCTTACATATTTAGTATTGGGAAGATTCAGACGTACAGAAATAAGGCCGACTCAAGTCGACCTTATTTTCGTACGTGCGCGCGCACGTGACGAGTGAACGTGTCAACGCACGTACGTACGCTCACACGTCCGTCCACTCGTACGCACACGTCCGTCCACTCGTACGTCACGCGTCCTTCCACTCGTACGCTTACACGTACGCTGGGTCGTACGCACGTCCGTCACCACGTTCATTTGCACTCGTACCCCCTATGTTCACCTTTTGCCTAGAGGCTTTAAAAACACCTTTTACGAGACTTTAAAAAAAGCTAATATATATATAATTATATATATCCAGTGAAACATGATATTCCGGAGTGAACATGGTTTCTGTTCAGGATCTGCCAGATCCACATCATTAAAAAACACTCTTCAACATGTCCGGAAATCGCCCCGGTCTAAGTGCAATGTAAGCAACATACAAACAGTGCAAATATAGGTGTTGACAGTATTATGGTGTATATGTATATTATGTAAATTTATGTAAGACCCATAGACCCAATTGCACCAACGATCTTCCTAGTTTGCCTTAGCCCACCATCACCCATCGAGCTTTGCAATCGCCCCTTTGTCATCGCGCACATTGGCATTTCTCCGTGCAGCTAGGTGCCACCAGAAGTCAGACTTTTCCTAGGCAGCCTTGGAAACATTAAGGCTCACCAGTGGATTTTTTTAATGTTCTATTTGGGTTTGTCTTAAAGTAGGGCACCCCAACAATTCACCAAAAAAAACAAAAAATGATGGACTATTCTATATCGTTGTCCCTTTACAAATGGCCATTTGGCGGGTATACCATGGTATAGTGTGCAAACACATCCACTTCCATGCTGTACTGTGCAAGCAGCATCTTGCAGCACCCAGCTGCGTGCGACAGGCAGACTTTGCTACCAGGACGCCAACGTTTTGTTGGCTCCAAGAAGGTTTAACTTGGCCACCAACCTGAGTTTCAAATTGGTATGAACCAAGTAGAGCTGGGTCAGTTGGAAAGTGGATCTATCGAAATTTAAGAGGAAAGGAATGGATCTCAAAGTGTTTTTTTCAAAAACTATATAGAAGTAAGTGTCTCTTGCATATCCTGGCATGCAGTTGCTGGTTCATCACAGCAAGATGTACTGCAATATGAGATGTATAGGTTCCTAGCGGAATGAACAACTGCAAAGTGGCATGATACACGCATAGTAAATTCAATGTCCTCATCAACGTGAGCAAAGATGAAAAGACGGTATACGTACTGTCAAAAGATGTCAAAAGTCACAGACCATAGGACCATTCCATGGTTTCACTGTCAAACGTGATATATGGGCTATGGTCATCCTACCAACACCATGAACGCTTGTATTGGCCATTAGGCCATTACATGCCATTGACGAGAACAATGACGACTACATCACCTGAATTTAGGTGCCCCCCTATAGTCCAACATAGCCATATGACATAGCAAAAAACATCTCAGAATCACATGACACAATCCGCAGTGAAAATGGATGTGTTTACCCGATCAAAGGGCTCAAAGATATATACTCAAACCATGTGCGTTCTGCCGCAATCAATGCCCTGATAAAGCAAGACTCGTTTGACCCCCTCGAGTCATCGAGGATGCCTGGTATCTACAAGCTGATCTCATCTGCGCTCTCATCCAGCGACAAGGCCCGGTCGACTCCTGACAGAACACGAATCTGGACAGGTGGTGCTCAGCCTAGCAAGATAGGTAAACTAAATCGGGGTTCCATTTCATTATGTGAAGCTGTGCAGGAGTTTTAGAATGTTTTAGAGCGGTCTAACTTTTGTGCATAGGGCCTCAGCCTTTAAAATGCACAAAAACAATGAAAATTGGTTCTGCAATAAAATGCCTTGCCAGCAAATTCATGCCCGGATTTGCATCCAACTTCATCCAATTTCGAAGACCCTCACAAACGCCTCTTTAAAAAGGGATCAAGAAGTTCTTTTTAGATAGGGGTATTTTAGAGTGAAGGTGCCCAAATATTAAGTGGTTTTCTTTTTTTATAGCTTTTTTTAGCAACAAAATACGGTGGCATTCTTTCGTGGCAATTCCTTAAAATTCCTTTAAATTCCCTTAAAATTCCAAAAAACTCCTTAAAATTCCTTAAATATCCTTTAAAATTTAAAAACATTAAAGATCCTTAAAAATCCTCCAAATTCCTTCAAATTCCGTCAAATTCCTTTAAATTCCTTAAAATTCCTCTATATAAGATTCCTTAAAATTCCTTAAAACTCTCTAAATTCCTTAAATTGCCTTATAATTCCTTTAAAATTCCTTAATATTCCTTATAATTATATAATTCCTTTAAAATTCCTTAATATTCCTTAAAATTCCTTTAAATTCCTTCAAATTCCTTAAAATTCGCTGATCTAAAATGACATGCCCAATAAAATCGATATAAAAAGACCCTGGAAAAGCATTGGTTCCATTCTGCAATAAAATGCTCCAAACAGACTTTTTTTGCAATAAAATGAGAATGGAATTTTAACATGTTAAAAATCATCAGGATTTACCTTGCCAATAAAATGCTCAGACCAACCCCCCAACAATAAAATGACTAGCCTGACATCAATTTTAAAATTCCAATACATTAATAAAAAAACGTTTAAACTATGCACAGGTTCACCAGTTCTAGAGAGGAAATTGCCACGGGGATTAAACTAACACACATGGAGATTTAACCAACGAAAATCAGGGTCATAGTTGAAGTAGGTAATTGAATGTAATTTAAACACGGGAGATTTCCATTGCTGTCTGTGTGTGCGGTGCATCGGAAACGTCGTTCATGACCAACCATGACTTCTGAATGTAAGTGCTTCTGGTGGAATACCTGCTCATTTACATCCCACTTTCTGTGGGCTAAATCATGCTAAATCCAGTTTGCCCGAACATATGTATTTCACATGTTTGCAGATCCAACTCAAATTTACTTGAGACTCAAGATTTTAAGTGCAGCCAATGTTTTTCCGGCTGCTATTTCTATGAAGTCTCACATGTGTGTTTTCTGTTTATACAATCTGGTTGGTGGTATACCTACCCTCTGAAAAATATGAGTTCGTCAGTTGGGATGATGACATTCCCAATATATGGAAAGTCATAAAATTCATGTTCCAAACCACCAATCAGCAATACTCACTCCCCATTTTGGCGAAACCATGTTCAATCCCAAGGCGCTCGCTTGTTTTTTTGGTGATTTGCGTTGCTCAAATCCCCGTTTGGATTGGTTCAAAGACCTCATATTGACAGAAGAACAACAACACACTTGATTAGACATCAACAGTTGGAGGTTTCCCAAAATGGGTGTACCCCCAAAATCATTCAACAAAAATTGGACCAGTTTAGTATTGAAAATTGAAACCGTAGTTTTAAGGGGTTCATGGCCGTGGAAAATCACCGAAGTCAATGGACATGTCATGGGAAAATCAAAAGGCATATGGAGGTTTCCTAAAATGGGGCTAGCCCAAAATCATGGCTATCAATACAAAAATGCACTAATTTTTGGATGATTTTGGGTATCCCTATTTTCGGAAACCATCGTATCTGTCCATTGCCATACCGGGCCCGGTAGAATCTCGTCTGGTTGATGATCCCCATAGGGGAATTCCTGAAACCACCAGTTGCAGATGTTGAAAACTGCTTGGTGGTTGAGCCTACCCCTCTAAAAAATATGAGTTCGTCAGTTGGGATGATGAAATTCCCAATATATGGGGAAAATGTTCCAAACCACCAACCAATTTAATGACTATCATGAATCAATAACGGTCAAATAGTCAAACTGGGAATGCTCGGAAGCCTCCTGATTATGATGATTATGGCTATTCGACTTTGATTGGGATGATAGAATTTAAACAGTATGTTTTTCCATTGTCATGCCCGATTACCAAATGGTACGTCCCTCCAAATTTAGGTGGTGCAAAAGGGGCTGCACATTAGGGAGAGCAACATGGTTTGCCCCTCAAATAGATGTAAATCCCAATGTTACACAAGTTGGAAAGCACATAATCTACATGCGCACATACATAGATAAATGATTATATATATACAATGCATAGTATACATTTATGTAATATACATATTTGAAACACAAAAAAAAAAACAATACCTCCCCATGTGTGGCAAAAGGTCAAATTAGTACCCAGCCAAGCTTTCCCCAGATGTATACCTCAAAACTATCCACGGTCTCAACCCCATGAAACATACCAATTCCCCATGTTCCATCATTAAACGATATAGATGTGTCTGAAAATGGCATCCCTTCTCCACGAAATGTTAAATGCTAACAGAAACCGACATGGAAAATCATCTGTAATCCATCTTGCAATCACACTACTAGATGAAAATCATATCAAACCCCAGATGTTCCATCATAAAAATCAAAGTTTTCAGCATCTCATCAAATTTTAACACCGTTTAGATTGTTTAACCCAGGTCATAAAACCAATGGCATCAGCATGCATCATCATTCATTATCATTTATCCATGTGAAAGCCTACTGTTTTCAAAGCCGTATGAAATCCCAATTTCTCAGCATAAAAAAACATGGACCTATCCAAATATAGCATTGGTTGGTTAGTAGGTATCCCTGTTTTTCTTTGGTAGTTTCAGAATCCCCAATAAACCGGCTAGTATTTCACCAGCTCCAGATTGAACATGACCCTACTATCATTCAAATAAAGCTGGCCAATCATTATCACGTTCTTGTAATTCGTAATCCCCAATAAATCCGCAAAAAAAAACACAGTAGAATGGGATAATGACTATAATTATCAGTCACTCCCTCTCTCTCCATCGCCATCTCATGAGATCAGCAGTCAAGCTGAATTATCAGTCACTAGTTATTGATGATTTCGCGCAAAATCACTAGAATACCATGAATGAATTCCGACGAAAAAGACCAGGATTGGATCCAGTCGGATAATTTTTCGGGGTTGGAAGATGAGTTTCCACTAAGAATTGGTGATTTTCAGGATCGAACTGTGAATTTACCAGAGGGTAATTACCGGTAACTATTCATTGATGATGAATTCCAATGACATTAATAATCATATGATAATCACTTTTTACCAGTAAAAAACAATAGAATGGGACAATTAAGATTTACCAGTAGGATCATTGAACAATTCCCAAATAACATCCCAATAACAATTCGCCAGCAGATCCTAATTCCAACATCCAATGAATTCCCAGTCTAACATCCCAATATCAATGACTATAAATACCAGTAGAATCATTGATGATTATATAATTCCCCAATGTAAATATTCAACAATTAGGATCGTACACTATAACATACTAACTTATAATCCTGGTAAAGGACTGCATATTTATCTAATTACATAATTATAACCAGTAATATTGTGGTCTGGTATCATTATAGATGAATGCATATGAATGTATCATTATATTGTGGCCGGGTGATGATATAATTCCCAAATAACAATTCATTATTCGCCTAACGTATTCATTATTCCCAAATAACAATTCATTCTTCATTGTATTAATTATTTTACCATCTGGTAAACAATCATAGCTATTGACCATGGCCATAGAAATTGTTGATTTACCCATAACACATGGTGATTTTCCATAGTTGTGTAAACGTTTAGCAGAGGGTAATCCTGGTAAATAAGGATTAAATGTAAATATTCAACAATTAGGATTATATACTATAACATACTATAACATACACTATAACATACAATAACATACTATAACACACTATAACATACTATAGCTACTAGATTATAATCCTGGTAAATCATTCATCTAATTCACCAGGTAATTTTGGGGTCCTCGTTCCAGGCGTTCCAGCGCTGTCTGGGCCGGTTCCAGGCCCAGGCCCTCGGCAAGGGCGGCCTCGAGGCCTGCCCGCGCCCGGGGCGTGGCTGGTGGGTTAGCCTTGAAAAATGGCTGGCTTCGCATGGGAAAAGCTAGGAAAATGGTGGTTGAAGTGGCAAAAAAAAACATCAAAAACCATGGATTTTCCTGCTGGAAAAGAATGTTGGTCTAATGTTGGTCTAATGTTGGATGATTTGGGGAGTATCAACATGGTTTTCCAACATTCACCGTGATTTTTGGCTCCCTTTTCCATGCTTAGCAAATCACCACACGTCACACCACTCAAAATGTTCACATGCTGGTATTTCTATAATGTTGGAAAACCATGGTTTCGGAAACCTCCAAATCACGCCCACACCACTCCAACGATGCCACCTTTCTCCACCCGCTGCAAGGCATCTTCATCCACCGAGACGACTACCTGACGAAGGTGGCGCCATGGGGACCCGGTGGCCACGTGGTGAAATGATGGCAATTTACCATCGGGTATGGCTTGTATTGGCCAATGAATGGTTCATGAATGGTGAATGAATGGTGAATGAATGGTGAATGAATGGTCAATGAATGGTTAATGAATGGTTAATGAATGGCCATTATATAATGATTATTTAATAATTGTTGTTAATGGTTTGATTCATGGCCATTGCTATAGTTATTACTGGATCCTGCATGAGGAATTAACTGTTCCTGATGTTACTGGCCATGGGATAATCCTTATTTTGCAGTACAACTGGTCATCTAGTGATGGAATGCTATGCACAATTCAAGAATCAAATGTGGATTCTTCTAATCAAGTACTAAGATGAGAAAAGCTCAAAAGAGCTCAGAAGTGCTGAGAAAACGAGAGAAGACATGAGAAGAAAATCTCGCGAAATAAGAAGCCAAGAGCGACAAATGTCAAGAAACGAGATGAGAAGCGAAAAATATGTCAGATGATGGAGATGTCAAGAGATTGTTTCTTGCAACGACAGAGCTGTGCGACATCCTATAGGCACATTCCAAGCTTTGCCGTGGCTTTTATCTTCAAGATGTCCGCCCCCGGCTTTCCCTCTTTACTACTTGTATAAGAATGTAGCCATCAATTCTGATCATGGATGGAACCTAAACAGTTTAAAGACACACATGTTTTTTGTCGGAACATCTTTGTTCTATTCTTAGCAGTGTGTTTACCAGTTGTATAGCCCCAACCAAACCCCAATCAGTCAGCAGGAAGCTGGAACTCATTGTGGTGAGTTTCCAAAGATTGGGGCAGTGTGCCCGTTGATCCCCCTTTGCGTGTCCTTTTGTGGAACCTATGGCGAACAAGAAATCTAATCCCACCAAAAAGCAAAATCAAAGTCAAAGTGGGCTGCAATTCATACAGATTTGCTGTTTCCATTTTCAATATCAACGTATCTTCTTCCATATTATGTGGCGCTGCTTTTCATATACATCGACAAGTCATCTTAAGTGCTTTGTAGTTCCAGCTGAAAAGTGGGTTCCAGCCTACGGCACAAGGTTGGTTGTTCCAAGCCGCCCCTAATGCGGACTATCATAGTCCAAACCCAGCTTGCTGATTTCCAAGTGAGCTATTGGGCGTTATTGCACCACTTGCAATACATACTGTAGATGAGAGATGACAAGAGTAATAATTATTGCAAATTTGAAAATATACATGTCTTCTAATTTCTTATACCATCCGGTTGTTTAACATAGCCATGGAAAATCCCTTATAAATGGAGGTTTAATGGGAAAATCATCTATAAATGGGCCATCTATACCATGGCTATGTTACTCATAACCAGAGGGTACCGGGTAACATATCAAACCACATCATGAAACAACAACCATTCAAGCTGCTACCGAGGGTACGTGAGATTTCACCGGGGTACTACCAGATCTTTCCACCCCCGAGGCGCCTCTTCGTGCACTTTCTCCATCTGTGCAATGTTTGGAGATCCAAGAGGTTTCCAAGGATCCCAAAAAAAGAACATGGAACCTCCACAAATGGTTGGTTTATGTATACTGAAATATAAGCATATGCGGCTTTCATGTTCAGTTTTGCGAAAATGTGGGATCATTCTCTCCTATATACATACTGGCAGGGGGGTCGAAAAGAAACATGTCTGATACTACAGTCCAGTCTACATTGACTCCACATACCAAATTTGCACCAAAAGGCCGGAAAAAATCGGAAGCGCATCCTGTCAATACTTCAGAATGCTACATGAAAAAGGCAGTTATCAGAAAGACTCTCCTTCTTAGGGGCACTTGGATACATAGAACAATTGTGTCGTGCTGCCAGTCAATACTAGATGTCTTGAACAACAAAACAAGTAAACACGACAAAAGGGTGGGTACTACCAGCAAGCGCTGGATCAAAGCACGTGACAGAAACAAGACATATCAGGGCACGACTGTGCCCGGAATCCCGCTTACGCGATTCATGGGGACAATCTGAATGTGCTCTACTTGTTTTAAACTTGTTTAAACATTGCTAAGCTGCTACTCTTAGACACTCTGCAAATCAAAGCCGGTCAGTGACGGTCAGTATCTATATATATATATATCGATTTATTGCAAACATTGAAAACACACCTTTGAACAACAACTGCTGGAATGTCTCAATTCCAAGTAAACCAAGAATGTTTCTGCCCAGATAATAAGTACAGTAACAGTATAAATATTCCCGGCATTGCATGGTTTGGTCAATGTCATCTTCACCGATGTTGACGCGGTAATTTCTGGCCTGATTTTGGATCACAAACCGAGAAGGCCTGACGAGAAAGGTCAAAAGGACTGGCATCCAGTGGGCAAAATAAGCAAAGTTCCGTGAAATATCGTGAACTGTCATTGTTTTTTTTGCATAAAGCAACAAGGTTTCAATGTGTTGTACGGGAGACATCAAGAAACATCTACAGGAACACCCTGGCTTTTGCCTGAAATAGAGGCCTATCACGTGCATGTTTCCATACATTCCAAGCCATGAGCCATGAGTTGAGTGGGCCTCTGGCCGAAAATCCAAGGATGGTCACATTTGGGGAGGCGATGCGCATCTGAGGTTGACCTCCTGTGGTCTGTGTTAAAAAAACATCTACAAAGAAAAACAACTAAAAATGACCAACTAATTTGATGAAGAAATACATCTGTCATCATCTTTCTAGCTCTCACACTCTTCCTCGGATAACAAAGAACTGTACCCTCTGGTAAACTAACAGTTTGCTATTGAAAATGACCCAGTCGAAATAGTTGATTTACCCATAACAAATGGGTGATTTTCCCATCCGTTTTTTGTAATCGTTTACCAGAGGGTAACCATCACTATTAACAATTATTATGGTCACCGACAGAATTATGGAAAAAAAAAACGTTCAACTTAGATAGGCGGCGCCTGCGTCCGATTTTTCCATAATTAGGTTTTTCCCCATAAGGGTTCAAAATATCCCGGAAGTGATCCGAACCTTTTTTTTTCCATAATTCTTGGAGGTGGCCATTATTTCCATAATTGATTTTTCCTGTAAAATCAGGGGGCTAGGGCAGATTGACCGGTTTTTCCATAATTATTTTTTTCCATAATTATTTTTTCCATAATTATTTTTTCCATAATTAATGTTTGGGGCTCCACCTGTTGGACATGTCATGGATCCACAATTCAAACCCCTTTTTTTGGGGGTTATGGAAATATGTATGCAAATGCAAGTATGTAGTATCAACCCAGTTGGTGGCTTGGCAAAAGGATACATCCCGCATATGTATGTACGTACAACAATGAGTTTTGGTGGTGCAATTGTTTTTCCTTTGTTGGTACCACTATGGTCCATGGGTAATAGCCCTCATATGTAATTCTTAAGTTGGGATACAACCTCTTGGTATGGTTAAAACTGGAATTGCATTCAAATTGCGAACATCACATGATATTATGTATATCAATGGCAGGCTTTAGGGGCATATACCAGATCTTTAGACACATATTTTCTATAATTCAATCTTCCCCCTTAAAATGCATTCAAATTGCGAACATCACATGATATTATGTATATCAATGGAAGACTTAGGGGCATATACCAGATCTTTAGACACATATTTTCTATAATTCAATATTCCCCCTTACAATGCATTCAAATTGCGAACATCACATGATATTATGTGAGTCAATGGAAGACTTAGGGGCATATACCAGATCTTTAGACACATATTTTCTATAATTCAATATTCCCCCTTAAAATGCATTCAAATTGCGAATCGATGGACATACAGTCACCGACAGAATTATGGAAAAAAACATATGGAAAAAATAATTATGGAAAAAAAAGGTTCGTAACTTTTCTATCATAGACAGGCGGCGCCTGTAAATTGAAACGTTTTTTTTTCTCCATAATTCTGTCGGTGACTGTAAGCAATATCAATTATCATTAAACACTATGCAAACCATCATTAACCAGAGGGTAAACCACCATTTTTGATGATTAAACCATCATTCATTAACCATCATTAGCCACTATTAATCACTATTAACCACTATTAACCATCATTAACCACTATTAATGATCATCACCCCCCCAACCCCCCAGGGCCCCACATCAACCCATCCCACCAACCCGGACCTCGAAAGACGAGTGCGCATGACGTCACCCAAATCCACTGCTTGGATTCCACCGCAGTAGTGGTACAAGACGAAACGAACCTCGGGTCTCAGCTGGGTCGCAGTTCAAGACTTGGTACATGTGCGCTCTCTCTCTCTCTATCTCTCTATAAACTATATACATTATATTATGAATGTATTATATACATTATATAACATTAATATATATATATATATATTTATTTATAATTCATATATATATATATAATCAATATAAATATAATAGATATATAATATATAATAAACATATATATATATATAATTCAAATATATATATATATGAAAAATAATTAATAAATATATATACTTTGTATATAATATACAATATATATATATATATATTATATTATATTATATTGATCATATATATATATGATCAATAATATATATATATTATATTATCTATAATATATATATATGATCAATAAAAAAATATATATATATATATATATTTAAGCAATATATATATATGAACTAAATAAATATAATATATATATATATATGATTAATAAATATATATATAATTAATATAAATATAAATATATATACACATGTTGTACATTGACGATGTTTGATAAGATTGCCAAATCATTTCGATGGAATTGTGCCATTTGGATCCATTTGGGTGAACTACTTGGTAATCATCAGCTCAGCTCAAGCCATTTAGAACGGACGTGATGACACCGCTGCCACAAACCCGGCATGGCAATGGCGGCAATGGCACATGCAGTTTACTGCAAGATCTGCAAGTGGGATAGGTTGGCACCTCAGGATGGCCCTCTTGGTCATCAACCATCAACATCATTCCCAACATGCTCGTCACTTGGGGCATATCCGAAGTATGAACCAGAAACAACCAGAAAAATCCGACATTTTCTGGTGGCTTGATAATTGATAGATCCAACATGGATACCCTGACCTCGTTGAAGGCCACATGGTGACATGGTGCAACAGGCTGTTGCATCTCCCGGCGGCCAAGGTACCCACTTCAAGTAGACCTTGATGTTGTTCTCGTCCATGCCATCCCTTAGTGGATGGGGTTGGGTGGTTGGGTTTCTACATGTGCAGTTTGCCCTCTGGTAATGACTAACAGTTTGCCATTGAAAATGGTGATTTAGTTCGTGGATTTACATTAAAAATGGTGATGTTCCATAGTTATGTAAACGTTTACCAGAGGGTATACTTGATCTCTAGAGCGGGCTGACCGATGACTGGTCAAAGGTGCTGGTATGCACTGGCAACTCACTGCTTCTAATAGACTATCCGCTTTTTCTGCATCCCAGTAGGCCACCACTGCTTTATATAAGTCATGAGATCAGTTGGGATCATCATCTTAAATAGGATCAATGATATTATATGTTGGTATCAACAAATATTTGAACCATTTTGAACCGGCAATCAAATCATATCACATCACTTTCCGCTGGAACCATTGGAACCATGCGCCACGTCACTGCACTGGCTCTCCCAACGCATTCTGCGTCACCCTGCGAGGCCTGAGATTCCATGCAGCGAGTGCAACAACACAGCGGAAGTGCTGCCAGTCTCTCCGGGTCATGGACAGCATGTCTGGGTGATTTTCTTAGGGGGTATTCCCTTGAATTTGACATGGGTATGATGGTATCACATGGTAACACCATGTAACACCTAAACGCACCATGAACAGAGCTGGCTAAAAAAAGAAAAACATGGGGCGCATACTAGGATCACTAGGAATCTGTGCTGAACTCACCCAGAACATGGTTCATGAAGCCTGCTCAATACGATTGCCCAAAGCCTGACCAAGAGATTTTAGGGATGTCCTCATCAAATATGGGGCACAAAACTGGCATTTCCACGGCCTTCGGAAAGCCTTCAAAATCTCCATGGCGTCTGCGTGAACACCTGCGACAGTTTAGCTGGTTGGGGTCTAACCAATGGGACATAAATGGGACAAGTGTCAATTTCTACCAACTATTATCCGTTATTTGTGATGAGGTTGCAGTAGTCTTCCCTGAAGCATCCTCAGGTGAGTGAAACCAAAACTCAAGTATCAATCTGCCTGGTATACGACGCAAAAGCGAATAAGTTTCGCACCCCTCCATGTTCAGTCACCGATTACTCAGGTACTCCGGAGTCCGGACAGTCCGGACCAGCCTGATCCATTCTCCTCAGTGACACTACCGATATCATATGATTATAATGTTGCTATGGCATGTCCATGTTTCATCATGTTTCCCGCGTGCCTTGTTCCAAACGAGTGCCGGACATGAGGTGAATCTCCTGCGATGCTGAAAATCACTAGTTTACTGGGGGTTGCGGCGTGTTACAGGATTCCTGTAAAAATTCAAGATATCTTAAACAAAACATCCCAAATAATATGGATGTGACTGACTCTCTCCTGGTTTCTTGCATTTGACATAATGTGGGTAAAACAATAATAAATAAACCATCCACCAGTCATCACCATTTTTATAGGTGGTATAAATAAACCATTCCCAGTCATGGGTGGTTTTTGTCATTGGTTTACCCAAAATAATGATATCAGTGAATAGTAGTAGTGATATATCACATATTCCATTAATAGTAGTGCTTACTATATCATTCTTAATGTTGATCATCAACAACTATTGATAGTTGAATAATCTCTCATATAATTATACAAATATTACTTAAATTATCTCAATTAATATCAATATCTCATATGAACTGATTTCAAATGTTGAACTGTTGAGCTGCAACTGCTCCATCGCCCCGACTTCGCGATAGCAAAGTGGACCTTGTCACTGTCCAAAAACTCCAGGAACCAAACTTTCTCGAAGAAGTCCAACCTTGGTTGATACTTTCCGAGTCCGTGTATCTTATTTTGGGGGTATATTTCTGGTCATATTTTGGGGGTATATCCCTTACATAGGCCTTATATAGGCCTTATATATGGTAGGTACCTCCAATCAATCGGATTCTGAAATGGCCATTAAGTCTTAGACACATGGAGAAAATCACATGTATTGTCTAGAGGTGCCATTGGCGCCTTTATGAGGCATTGAAGAACACTTCTCTGGAGCATCATTCCCAACGAAATGACAAGTGGATTAAAACTAAGTGTCATTATGAGGCATTTAATAACTTCTAACAGTTAGGCATAATTTTTAATGCCTTCTGGGATAAGTGGATTAAAATCCCAGTGAAAAGGTTATTCCTTGGATGACACTGAGTATTCCCAAGCTGCCGAGAGCTCTAAACATGTTTTCTTTAACAAATCAGTAAAAAATAGTTAGATATACCATCTGGTTATTTAACATAGCCATGGAAAATCACCATTTATAATAGGTAAACCATCTATTTCTATGGGGCATCTATACCATGGCAAACTGTTAGTCATAACCAGATGGTATGTATTTTGAGTCGGTGTTTCCGCCCAGCCACCATTGTTGCAGTTCATCCCGCGGTGTGTTTCGCAGTAGCAGCATCGAAGCTTTCAACTCTTGCAATGTGCAGCCCCTGGCCGAAAGGGCGACATGTCCCAAGCTGGGAGCAACCATCAGGGATGGAAACAACAGAGAATCATCAGCAAATGAGTGGTCAGAAACATGCATTTGGTATCATTTAGGTTATCTAGTTGGTGAGTTACATTTTTTAATGGGAAAATCAACTATAAATGGCCATTTTCAATAGCTATGTCAAATTACCAGAGGGTATATCAGTTATCATATCCCATTAACCCTCCTAAAAACCCATCCCGTTTACGGTTAAATCTCCCATTAAATCTCCGGGATGTTGAAGGTGCATCAAACATGCTATGTGATGCTGCAAAAGCAAGATGAAGAAACGCACAGCTGAACTGGTTTGTTGGTTTCAACCCCCCTGACAAATATGAGCTCGTCAGTTGGGATTATTATTCGCAATATCTGGAAAGTCAAAAAAATAAATGTTCCAAACCACCAACTAGTGAATCATGTTCAAAAGATCTAACATTACCATTTTTTGCATCTTTTTAAACGCACTAAAATGTTGTCGTCCAGTTCATCGTCCAATCCTCCATCTCCGCGCCTGCGAAAAATGGTGGGGGAGAACATGCGGTAGACCTTTTGGTGAACCACGGCCACGGCTTCCCCTGAGCAGCACATTCTTTGAAGCACTAATAAACATATATATATATATATCTATAATGGTCTATACAATGTACATAAAATAAATTGTAAATATCATATATATTTAATTATGTATATATTTATTTGCACCGTGCTTTTTTTAATGATATCTAGTGAGTACATATGTGTTTCTTGTTTTGTGGGAGAGTATACAAAAGGAATTCCATCTACTGATGGAATTTAAGATTGCATGATGAAGAACTTGATCATAACTCAAATCAAAAGTTGCTTGGTGAATTCGCACATCAATGGTACTACTGGTACCCTTCGAAACACCACCTCACCCATTTACATATCAATGTTTTACCATTTTGGGGAAGTGGTAGTCTCGGTGCCCCATAAGAAAACAACCCTCAGGATTCGCCCTGCGGACACTAGGTCAGTTTTTATCGAACTTAGTCATTTGTTGATCCTCTGCTAACACTTAAGCTTTTAGTGGGACATGACTGGTGGTCAAAATGCACCGACCACTATAACACATAGGTTTATGATTAAATTGTATATTGTGGTTTATTGATGTTTATGGCTATATAAAAATATATAAACAATCCAGCAAACCATCACTTCTGCTCCGCTCAACTGCTCGCACGTCCTGCAGCCAACGCACCGATCTCCGGCCGGCGACCATGACCTGCGTCCTGAGCGGAACTCGGTGCACCAACTGCCTAAAGCAATACCTGCCCAGTAATACCCATTTAATATCTAGATACCAACCTTTGCCTTAGAAACCTTAGTTTAGTATTGGATCTTTTTCTTTGGCCTATGTGGAAGGCATCATGCAGTAATTCATAATATGGGTAAAGTCGGGGTAAAGCATGAAGCCTCATATCAAATAAAAGCGCGAGTGCTTGCGGGTTTTGACCGAAAACTTGGAGGTTTGGCTCTATATCAGCATGCAACTTGTACGAAAAAGGTAAACAGTTTGCCCCTTTAGGTCGCCAATCAAGTCTGTTTTAAAACCTTAAACTTTACCCCTATTCTCTTCATACTTCACACTAGTGAGTGCTGGAAATGCTCCCACCGCACGACAGGTGAATCTATGCATCTTGATGAGCAGTGTTACATGTCACAGTATGTGGCACAATATGCGGCACATATATCTATACTCAAGATCACTTAAGATCATGTATATGTTGACAAGCGTGACACGTTTACCCTCTGGTAAACTAAGATAACTATGGAAAATCACTATGTTCAATGGGTAAATCCACTATAAATTACTATTTCTATGGGCCTTTTTCAATAGAAAACTGTTAGTCATTGCCAGGCCGGGTAAATCCCATTATCATCCCATTATTCACCATTGTTAAATCACCATTAAACCACCATTAAACCACCAAATTCCCCAGTAAATTGAACCTTTCCATCCTTTCCTATCTATTTGGGTGGCTCTCTACTCGTTCCAAGGTCACCTTTTACATCGCCCAAGACACGGTCATCGCGACCGACTGATCGGTCTCTGCGACAGCGTCCTCCAGGACGGAGGACAAGTTGGAAACGCATGGGAACTGACCATGCCATGAAGCCCAGCATTCATAATTTAATGAATAACGGATATGAAGAGTTCGCATTGATTAAAAAATATTTAAAATTCAATAATGATAATGCATGTTTCATGAATGGCCATGGTTAAAAATTGTTTTTATTGGTGCTCTTCTTTCGATGGGTTTTTCATGGTTCCATCTGGATCAAACCATTGAAGACAAACAGAGGGACTGACCGTCAGAGCCGCACTTGGGGCCGAACTACCATCTGGTTATTTAACAGTTTGCCATGGAAAGATCCACCATTTTTAAGAACGGTAAACCATCTATTTCGATTAGGGCCATCGAAAAACCATGGCAAACTGTTAGTCATACCCAGGTTGGGTATATCCCATTATCATCCCATTATTCACCATTGTTAACCATGGAAAATCACCATTTTCCTATGGTAAACCAGGCAGGGTAAACCCAATCTTAATGCTTAAATATGAGGCGCCAAGGTGTCAAAGATGGCACCGGAAAATCCCATCCATGGGCCGCCAGCCACGTCTGATAGCACCCATTGGGGTAAGTAATGGAGAAGCAACATGAAACATATCCCATGAAAAATCCCATGAAACCATCATTGTTCATGGTTCAAACAACCATATGGTAAACCCATGACATTTTTTCCAACCAGCTCTTGATTTTGTTTCTGGATGAACATGGATTAATCATCATTTGAATCATCATGATGAAATCCCATTAAACCACATTTTTTGACAGAGAATCGCATTAAACCATCCAATTCGAATCCCATAAAATCCACGGTTTTTACTGGTTAGGGTACTAGGTGGTAGGCCAATTTGGCTTTGATAGGCAGTATATGGTGATTTCAATGCTGAATTTGGCCATTTGTGGTGAATGTACATTTCCTGACCTTGCTATGTGTGTTGGACTTGGCAGCAACTGTGGCGCAACTGTGGAGCAATTACCTGATCCATCGATAAACACTCCTCAAAAGAAAAATTACCTGCAGTTGTCGTAGTTTACGTATACTGGGGGCAATATATACCCCGGCGCATATTGCTCTACCCAGTATATACCGGGTATATACCTATCACATATTGATCACCTATGTTTAGCAGCAATATATACCAGGTATGTGCCTGGTATATATTGCTCAGGACAGTATACGCCGGGGTCTATATTGCTCCCCGGTACCAGGAGCAATATGTGGGGGCAAGGCGGCGGTTTTTTATGGTGTTTGTGTTTGGAGGAGGCTGTTTTTTTGGCATTCTTTTAAATTTCTTCCCGGTTTTGCGGTTCGGATAAAAATGTGCTCCTGTTCTTGAGTTCTTGAGGGAGCTTGTGGAAATCAGCAAAAAGTAGTTACGGGCAAACCTCTGTATATATGGCCGGTATATGCTCAACCCAAACTGAGGGGTATATACCAGGCATATACCAGGTATATATTGCCACCCCCCCTAGGTATATAAGCCCTACCACCTGGGGCAGGAACCTGAAAAATTCCTTGATAAAACATCATTCAACCACCTTTTTGTTGCTGGAGATATCACCATCAATCGGTGTCCTGCAAGAGCTGCAAGCCCCACCCAGAGATGGCCTCCTGTCGTATTTGATTCTGGGATTTATATGGGATTTATATGAGTTATATGGGAGTTATATGGGATTTTAATGGAGTTTAATGGGATGGGATTTTGTTATCTAATTGGCTTGAGGCACAGGTGCTTTGATGGGTTTTTTTTAAATGATGGACTTTTTTTTAATGGATTGTCAAGACGATTTCATGGGGTAGGATTAACCAACAATATGACGTGATCCATTTACTCTCCAGAAAACTAAAATAGCTATGGAAACCATGGCCCATTTAGTTCGTTGATTTGCTTACTTAAAGTGGTGATATCAATGGTCTCCATGGCTGTTCGAGTTTGTTAGAGGAAAACTAGCGCCACCAAATAACTTACAAGGATCCGTAACCTTCAAATTCTATATAGTTATTTTTACCCTCGCCATAGATCCCATAGGTGATCGTAGGTGATTTACCGCAACAGCATTGGATTGCCAAGCGCTGGATGGACCATAGGGGACTACCCCCCAAATAAATTTAAGATAGACCCCGAACATGACGGTATTCTATTTAGGACCTAGGAAAATAATCTTCCAAACATTTCCAGACCTCGTCTTTGGGCTTGAAATGAACTACAAATAAGCAATATCCCATGACGGATCCATGGTGCTGCTTTTTCTATGGTGTGCCATGAATCCCATCAAAAAACAAAAAAAAAATATATATATATATACCCCCAATCACTGTTAGCATATTTCTACCAGCACCAGCCGGATCCGTCATGGGTAATATCTACAAATATGAAACACTCACCATTTGTAGCCTCCTCGAGCTCGAGATCCTTTTGGATCGATGGGCCTGCAGGGTGGGAACAGTGCCATCCATCCGGGCTTTCGCATGTTTTCGCTACAAAAAACACATGGGACACAGGGTTGCTCATGTTGCTCCCAACACCCCTAATATAATACACAAGATTGGGAAGATGAGTAGGCAACGAAGTAATTATAATATAGTATAATTCCATGTTTTTCTCCAACAGAAAAGGGTTCATCTTAGATTTAGCTGGGTATCAAATGGTCCCTCGACCCATCGTTGATATTGGTTGATCGACGTCCAAACTTGGACCAATTGATGTGTCCTTGATGTCAACAACTTGCCCCCCATGCCTCTTTTAAATCCGGAAATCCGGGACATCACCATTATTCACAGATCAAAAACAACAGAAGTACAATACTAAATACATCCCGAAACATCATTCATGCTGACCTCGACCAGTGAGGTTGCTATAATTTGCCCAGCTAAATTTTCGGTGTTGAACTCCTACATATGTATATATATATATGTGTGTGTATACATATAATATATATATTATATTATAATAGATATATATGATATATACAGGCGTTTCTCAAAATCGGGGTACCACTTTTCAGCATTGGGTCCCTTTTTGAAAAGTGCCAACAAATTCATTGCATGATAACTCGGTTTGTTTCCCGGAAACCACCATCATATCGATCATATCCCCCGTTCACGTCACTAGAACCTATGTTTCCAGCCATTGAACCCATATGAGCAGTGTTCAAACTCCTGTGTTGTCCCTTTCTAACTGGCTGGTTGATGGCGAGATTCCTCTACGAATGGATTGTGAACATGCATCCCATATACAAAAAATATCACATACACACACATACCTATATATAATTACATGTGTATATATATCATATTCATAAACCATCATCATCATCATCATCATCACAATCATCATCATCATCATCATCATCACAATCATCATCATCATCATCATCATCATCATCATCATCATAATCATCATCATCATCATCATCATCATCATCATCATCATCATCATCATCATCATCATCATATATATATATATATATCTCACCATCATAATCAACCAGCCAGGGTTTTGAACATTGCCCCAATGCCCCAATGTTCAACTGGACCCACCATCCAGTGATCCGACGCATCTGATGGACCGATGGATCCCATCCGGACCTCCACGAGTCGCTTTGCCATACAGCAGGTCCCGCTGCCGCTGCTCCTGGGACGGCCAAAGAGCATGTAATGAACAACGAGGGTTGACATTAATGGTTTATAATGGTTTATAATGGTTTATAATGGTATTTTAATGGTATTATAATGGTATTATAATGGTATTATAATGGTATTTTAATGGTATTATAATTGTTAACTGAAAATATGTTTTCCCTGGTTTTTATGGCTGGTTGACATTTCTAATAGTGATGATGGTTAGTGATGATTAATGTTGATTAATACTCAATTACTAACCAACCATCAACTGGTTGGTGGTATACCTACCCCTCTGAAAACTATGAAAGTCAGTTGGGATGATTATTCCCATATATTACTTACTGGTGCTTAGCAGGGAATGAGGGAATGATCCATAATCACTAGTAATAATCATCCCATTCCCCCATTCCCACCCATGCCCTACTAAGCACCAGTAAGATTATGGAAAAAATAAAAGGTTATTATAACATGTTAACTGGTTGGTGGTTTTACCCATCTTGAAAATTATTGGTCAATGGGAAGGATTATTCCCATATATTATGGAAAAATAAAAGCCATGTTCCAAACCACCAAACAAATAACATGTTAAGGATGGTCCAGGATGATTTTTCAAAATTGGGATGGACTCTGAATATATGAACATCATTCACCGAGCTGACGTTAAAAAAAAAACATATTAGTTGGGATGATTGTTATAAATAAACCAGAATGTCATTTGTCATTTGGATATAAAGTGTTTGACAACAAATGGAATAGACCTTGTGCGGTCTCCTGACGAACTACGTACGACGTACGAATGTTTCTGTTTGGTCAGAATGGATTCTTGAATTTCCCTTGGGGTTACCCATCTGGTAGTCTAGCATAGCTATTAATATAGCTATGGAAGATTGTCCGCGTGTAGATGTTTTTTCACTCTTAAAATGGTGTCATTCCTCTAAGAAACGCATCAGCAGTTCTGGTGGAAACTGCTGAGCTACGTTCTCAAGTGTGATATCTGGCTCTTGGCACAGCGTAGTGCCGTAGTGCCCAGCACATGTCGTGGATGGGTCCTCCCAAAGTTGGGACAAAAAACTTCATCCTTGATGGCCCTGCCTTCGGAAATGAGTGGCGCAAGCATCTCACATGAACGAGATGATCATATATCTAGCAATGCACGTATTACCGTATATGTATTTTCAATGTAAATAAACAGCAATAACCAGCCATACCTGATAGGGCTAATATATGCTAAGATATCATGTAATTAATAAAAAAACACCACAGCACAGCAACATACCCAATAATGTATCCAAGGTTTGGGAATGGTTTTATGGTTTGTCATATTGCTGTGGACCCACTCAAACACGACATGTTGATGTAATTTAGTTGGTAACATTGGATTTCGCACACGTCAAAATGAGCTCATGGAGGCACGAATAAATCGAGAGCCCAGCAACAGGGGTTTAAACAACAGATTCGTTTTTTTTGTTCAAATAATGAGGTACAACAGTTTCACCAAACGACTGCTTAATCGACCATTAATTAACTCGCACAAGGTTTGAAAATGGGGGCAACATGGGGCAACTAATCCCCGAAACGAAACATGACTATATGCAGCTATAACCAATCAAACACAAACGCATGTGCAAGGAGAATTTGCGGACCTACCCCGATTTGTTACTGTCAAATGACCCCAGTGTCACCAAACTGACAAGTGCGCGTGGAAGGTTGCAGCTACCCTACCTTAATACGCAGAACCAAGGAGGCAAAACAAAATTTCGTTTGAAATATAAAGATCATCAACCTCTTTCTCTCTGTCTCTCCACCGCCCTCTCGACAAGTCTATCTCAAGCAAGATAACAAAAAAACTGAAACTATGTTATGGCGTTGTTACGCACTTATATACATATTCACCCAGTTCTGCCGACCAGTTTCCTGCTTGTCTTGGTGCAATCCTTCAGTGTGGTCCTTATTGTGTTTCTCTCTTTCTCTATATGCATAGTAAATCATGTGAAATTGCCTTCTCGTTGGTTCCATTTTGATTTTGAGTTGTTAAACTGTTTTAAACCCATATATTTGGCCTTTCTGAAATCCTCCACATGGGTTCACCTGAAAATAGGCTACCGCTACGAAAGCCAAGTGTTTTGATAATGTTTTTCTTCCAGAGGTAACCCAAAAGTTCCCCATTGAAACTCATGCGCGAAATCACCATCATTCAATCCCAGTATAATTTTCATTAAAGCCCTACTCAATCCCAAAAGAATCCCATCAAACTCTATCTAAATCCCATGAAATCCAAATTAATCCAAATTTAACCCTAATAAACTCACAATGAACTTCAATTAAATCCCACTAAAACCCATTAAAGTTCCTTAAAATCACCAAGAAATCCCACAAAATCTACCCTTTTTGTTGCTTAACTCCGTGTTGAAACACCGCGTTGAGTGTTTCGCCAGCGCCTCCGCCATACTGGCGATGACCAGCAGGTCTCGCTTTCGGTTGGCTTCCTGCCAAGCCTCAGGTGGACCACAGCACATTTTTCATGTATATGCGAACATAAATGTGAAAAGTACGTTTGATGTTCTAACCATCTATCTATCATTATCTATCTATCATTATCTATCTATCTATCTGTCTGTCTGTCTGTCTGTCTGTCTATCTATCTCTCTATCTACCTATCTGCCTGTCTATCTATCTATCTATCTATCTGTCTGTCTAACTATCTTTCTATCTATCTATCTGCCTGTCTATCTATCTATCTATCTAACTATTTATCTGTATATCTATCTATCTGTCTGTCTGTCTATCTATCTATCTTTCTATTTATCTATTTATCTTTCTATCTACCTATCTGCCCGTCTATCTATCTATCTATCTATCTATTTATCTTTCTATCTATCTATCTGCCCGTCTATCTATCTATTTATCTATCTATCTATCTATTAATCGTTCTATCTATCTATCTGCTCGTCTATCTATCTATCTATCTATTTATCTATCTATCTATCTATCTATCTAATCTAATCTAATCTAATCTAATCTATCTAATCTATCTATCTATCTATCTATCTATCTACCTATCTACCTATATATATATATATATCTACCTACATGCCTAGATTTAGAGAAAATAGTGAATATATATATATATATATTTCTTTATTTTTCTATCGATGTAATGCTGAAACAAACTATTGATCATGTAATTAATACATAGTGGACACACCTATCATCATCTATCTATGAAAGGATATCTTCTTATTGATTTTACAGTACAGTTTCTGATTTTACCTTAAAATATCCATTTTCAATGCATTATCTATCTTTTAAATGTCATCCTCAATGACAGTGGCAGTGCCTCGTTCCGTGCTCCACTGCGGCTGGGCCACGTGTTTGTCCACCTCCTGCGGCAGCTCATCCGCCTCGCTGTGGCGCTCGCGAAGGTCCGCGGCCATCCTCAAAGCTGATGATTTCACTGGATGAGTTGTTTATATGTGATGTGTATAATGTGTACTATATGAGATCTATCTATATATATATACTATTATATAGATTTGTTTATGATTAATACAGTAAATATATATATATATATATATATGTGTGTGTTTATATGTACTATACATATGTCATCAAATATGTATGAAAACATATGCATTATTGTGCAGGTGTGTATTTTATCATATATAGAGAGATAGATAAACTGGCCGATGAATGGATATTATTCAATAGGTATGAGGATAAAAGAATATAAAATTCATATTATACAGCATACGTGTGTGTGTGTTACCCTTGTTGTAGAACTATAGTATATACATCCTGTTGAGAGGGATCAGGGACATTGCCATCAGCGAAGCTTTGGCTGAGATGACTTGGTCCAGAGGCGGTAAGCTAGCAGCAGCACACGTTTCTCATGATTTAAAGCTGGGTGCCTTTCTGCACATTTCTTCTTGCACCCCTTCCTAGCAAAGCAAACATGGATCCTAGATGACCTTACCCTCTGGTAATCAAACACTGGAAAACCCACCATCTACGAATGAATTTTCACTCAAACTTCCAATCATAGGGGCAGACCATGTTTGACGACACTGCAGGGTAATCGTGTTTGAAACTGTTGAAAACCAGCATCCACTTGTTGCCAGAGATCACGCCCGTTCCAATCTTGGTCCAGTGGCAGAAAGGCAGCACGGACCACGAAGTCCAGCAGGAAAGAGCTCATCGTGGCCTCGGTCATATTATTGGCTAGTCTATATATCGTTATTAATTCCCATTGAATCCACGTTTTCTATATTTTTCTTAGATATATGATATATTATATGATATATCATGATGAATCCCCACATTGATGATCAAAAATCACCTCAAAGCCACATCTTCGACCCATGGCGTCAGTGCCCATCGGTGCCATAGCAGTCATGCGGCGGAGTCCTTCGCGAGGGCAGCCACGGTGAAGAGCAACTCCCTGGCGGCACAAATGGGGGACGTCTTGGATTCTGGATACCCTCTGGTAAACTAACATAGCTATTGAAACTTGCCATTTATAGTGAGTTGTCCCATAAAAATGGTGATTTTCCATAGTTATGTAAACGTTTACCCAGAGAGTAATGGTGGCTAACAGTGGCTAATCGCGGCTAATGGGATAGATCCAATACTACACTACTAGGTACGGGGCCATAAGGAGCAACAAGATAGGTTTCTGTTGGTTTAGTTCACTTTGTTCACTCTGGCTTGGTGAAGATGTACCCCACACCTAGGTTGGGTTATAAATGTTATAAACCAAGTTTAATAACCGAGGGGCCGGGCAATTGCATCCACAGGATAAAAAGTAGTGTACATCAACGAAACCCAAATGATCGATGAATTTCATATGCATCAAATTTTGCCAACATGCTTCGTCGAGACCATCCCTAGCATGAATAGTGATTCGCAAACACATCCCTATGGGTAAAAGCCCTGGTGCCCATGTGAATCCCAAATAGCTGGCAAATGGATGTTCAGTTCATCCTAAAACAAAACAATGGTATATTATTGAGGTAGTGATCCATCATGATCCATCTTCATTTTGAGTTTCACCCAGTGGTCGGCTAATCAAGGAAATGGGGATGTACCAAGTACCAGCCAGCAATGATTACATCCCACCTCCAAAGTCAAATAAGTTAAATGGCGACACCAAGGTTGCTGAATGGTTACGCAATGGGGCTGAAGAGTTTTAATGTATGGCCCAGGTGAATGAAGAAGAAGGAACCCATGGAGATTTCCCAAAATTCTTCGTCAAGGGAAACAACAAAACAACAACTAAGAACTGTTGGTTGCTATTTTGGTGACCGGTCTGGGAAGGAAATCTGACAAGCACATCATATTGATGGGTGAACTTGCTAATTCCATGTTCTTTTGTTGGAACAAAAAATGCTAAATCCATCTAAATCCTATGTTAATAGCTTCAACCGTGCCCAATTTCATGCCAATTCCCAGCGCTGTTGAAACAACACACCATCTTTTTTTTCGTTTCATTTTCTCCGCATATTTCTAAAAGAATTCCAAGACGTCACCTGAACACTTCGGCTAAAAAGAACTAAACCAAGCCCCAACGTCGGCACCTGGTGACCTCACGTTGCTCCACTGAGGAGACCTAACAGGGAAAGAAAGCAATGCTGATTGGATCATTGAACCTTCAACGTCCAGTGGAACGATGTCCACTGTTGAAGCCGCTAAGCCCAGCTCGTGCCGTGTGTGATGACCACTGAGAACTTCCAGGGCAAAAGTTTCCAGTGTCCAGTCTTCAGGGTGACTTGCAAGAGGGCCAGGTCCACAGCCGAGTTCCCGTCAAGTAGTGGGTCGGTCTGTTAGATTTGGCGTCAGCGAAACACAAAACCTGAGCTGCCACCACTGCTCCATTGGCCTCCTGGGGAAACTAGCGCCCCGTCCCCAGTACCATTGAAACTCAACTTGCTGAAAGACCAAAGCCAGACAAAAGCGCCGTGCTTCTGCAACAAAACTGTTGTTACTGTAACAACCCACAGTCATGGTGGATTTACCAATGGGATCCAATGGGAAAAAATACATAGAACCTTCGGGAAATCTACGTATATCAGGGCTTTGTGGGATGAAAGTGCTTGGGATATTTAACAGCAATGGTTACCGATTGCCAATAAGTGGTTGAATAAACTGATGATAGCGGAAGAGCCAAATAGCTGGCATTTAAGTTTGCCCAGAAATGGGCTACAACGTCGTAGGCCCCACAAACCATCCCCAATGACTCAAATGACTTACCACACGACATCGATTGGATTTCAAAAACCCAACTGAAGGTCGATAACTAATTGGCTTTTGCGTACGGGGGATTGCATCCTGGTAAATAATTATTGGTACTGCTATAATCTCAGAATACAATTTACCATGAAAACAAAATTCAGGACAATAATTTGCCAATGGTTCCCCCGGATCCTGACAATGGTTAAGCATGCTTTGCCTAATCCAACAGTGTCATGCACCATGATCAAATGAGTGAAGATGATATGTGGTTTTTCCCAATGTTATATGTTTTCCCCACAGCTGGGGAATGCATTTTGGTTCAAAATACCTTCAGGAAACCACCGATTGAGCACTATCAAGTCGAGGTATGTGCCCCAAATGCACCGACTAAAGCAACATGATCCCAAGTGAGTTCAAAAAGATAATGTCAACCCCGGATTGATAAACCCTGGTTGAGTACAGTAATTGTGGTTCCCCCAAATAGTAACAAATGGCTACTGAAATGGTACACCATGCTGGGACCGGGACTTATCGGTTCTTGGATTTGAGACCGTGCAACTAGAGATATTGGAACCCATTCATGAACCCATCAAAAATCACTACCAAGAAAAAGGGCCGGTGTTACAACCCGAGACGAACCACAAACCTCTGGATGTTTGTTGGAACTTCCGGATTTTCGCTGAAGAAAGTACGTTGAATTTGATTTCAAAATATGTCAGACATTTTTGACAATTGACAATTCGGCACGTGGCATACCGCTATCTGTCTCTCTATAATTCATTAAAAAAAACATGTATGGCAAAGTGGATTAAACAAATGTATGAATGCCAGCAGCCAATAAGTATTGAATATCAACAGGAGGCAACCTCATGAACAAATGTATAAAGCCCCGGTTCCTCTCATCAAATTTCCACCAACCATTCACCAGCCATACTTCCCCAGGGGGCCCCCAGGGCCCCTGCGAAGCTGCATTTTTGCAGATGCCGTGGCACGTCGGACAGCTTGCAGCGCACCTGTGCATGGGACTCCTGTCCAGCCTTGGCGAGAAGGGTGACTTTCGGGGAGTGCAGTTCCAGTTTGGACATACATACACACACATATGTATATATATATATATACATGTCATATCTATCTATTTATCTATTTATCTATTTATCTATTTATCTATCTATCTATCTATCTATCTATCTAAGTATCTATCTAATTATCTATCTAATTATCTATCTAATTATCTATTTATCTATCTATCTATCTATCTACCTATCTTTCTAGCTATCTATCTATCTATCTATCTATCTATTTATCGATCTATCGATCTATCGATCAATCGATCTATCGATCTATCGATCTATCGATCTATCTATCTATCTATCTAATAATAAATCTATCTATCTACAGTATCTATCTATCTAGCTATCTATCTATCTATTTGAATATATATATATATATATCAAACTATATATCGATCTAACAATCTATCTATCTAACTATATAAAAAAAAAATCTATCTATGTTTCTATCTCACTAACTAACTAACTAACAAACTAACTAAATAACAAACTAACTATCCATCTATCTATCTATCTATCTATCTCACTATCTATCTAAGAAAATATCTATCTATCTATCGATCTATCGATCAATCGATCTATCGATCTATCGATCTGACGATCTATCGATCTATCGATCGATCTATCGATCGATCTATCTATCTATATATCTATCTATATATCTATCTATCTATCTAACTATCTATCTAACTATCTATCTATTTGTCAAGCTATCTGTATATATTATCAAACTATATGTAATTCTATCTATCTAACTGTCTATCTATTTATATATATATATATATATATGTCTAACCAACAATATCTCTAACAATCTATCCATCTATCTATCTATGTATCTATCTATCTATCTATCAGTCTATCTATCTATTGGTCTATACATCTAACTATTTATCAATCTAATTATCCATCTATCTATCAAACTATCTATCTATCTAACTATCTATCTATCTATCTGTCTAACTGGTTACCTCTCTATCTATCTAACTATCGACCTATCTATCCATCTATCATTCTATCTATCTATCTAACTTTATATTTATCGAACTATCTATCTACATAAATATCTATCTATCCATCTAACTATATATCTATCTATCTATCTATCTATCTATCGATCCAACTATCTATCTATCTAACTATCTATCTATCCGTCAAAATGTCTATCTATTCCAAGCTATCTATCTATCAACCCATCTATCTATCTAACTATATATAAAACTATCTATCTAACTAACTATCTATCTAACTATCTATCTACCTAACTATCTATCTATCTATCTATCCATCAAGATGTCAATATGTTTCAAACTATCTATCTATCAACATATCTATAAATCTAACTATCTATCTATCTAACTACTTTTCCTATCTAGCTATCTATCTGTCTAACTATCTATCTATCTATCTGACTATCTAGCTATCTATCTGTCTGCCCAACGATCTACATCTCTATCTATCTAACTAACTATCTACCTATCTAACTATCAATTTCACTATTGATCTATTCATCTATCAAACTATCTACCTATCTATCTATCTATCTATCTATCTGTTTATCTATCCAACTATCTATTTAGCTAACTATCTATTTAGCTAACTATCTATCTATCTATCTATCTATCTATCTATCTATCTATTAATCGTTCTATCTATCTATCTGCTCGTCTATCTATCTATCTGCTCGTCTATCTATCTATCTATTTATCTATCTATCTATTTATCTATCTATCTGTCTCTGTCTGTGTCTCCTTCTCTGTCTCTGTCTCTGTCTCTGTGTCTGTCTGTCTATCTACCTGTATCTCAATTATAGTGTGTATATTTACATATATATATATGTGTGTGTATATTAAAAAAAAACATATATATATATATATATATTGCACACGGGCTCTGAGTCTGAGGGGCGGCTATGCGAAGCCCCGTCTAGTCCAAACGAGAAATCTCTGCTTGTCAAGAGCTTCACAATAGATTAATTAGCTGGGCCACGACCACATATACTGTACAAACCTCCAGATTCATAGAAGAGTTGGACAGCTGAAATATTATGGAGGAAACATGATGACATTCCCAATATATAAAAAAATAACAAATGTTCCAAACCACCAACCAGATAATCTATAGTATCCTGGAAGCACCTTTTGGATCCATTTGAAAACCAACCCTTCACGGTTGCGCGGCGCCGAGTTGCTGCCTCTAGTTGCCTTCCAATGGGCAGGTGTGGGAGGGTGCATTGACCACCCACATTGGCTAGCACCGAAACATAGCGATGCACCTGACACCGATGGGAGTTTCATGATCTATATGGAACATGTGCTAAGCATTTTGGCATGACAATAGCAAACATACTTGTGTATAACAAGGTAGAAGAGTGAAAATATGTCATCATTTTATTGAATTCAAGCACTTAGCCGCAGAAAGCGTTTGACTTCACTTGGGATCAAGTAGGGTTGAAACGCTACATGATGGCATCGAAATTCATTTAAAATTATGAATATGTGATTTTCTCCCGCTGAAATTCATCCAAAAATTAGCATCGCGGCATTGCCATATCAGACTATAGTGATTTGACATACACATATATATATAACTTAAGAATCACAAACCTATAAATTTGTAGGTTTCATATGAAAAGACAGTCTTTTGATGCTTGGGTGAGCAAACGCTCGGCTTTTCCTTTACTGCTCAATAAAGTTGGAGCTACCCAAAGGTCAAAACGACTTTGTCAATTCATGTCAATTCCATGCAGCCCCGCCTACAGCTAGGAAAACCGGCAAACGGCTCTTTTAGAAGGAATGGCATTGGATAGCCGAACGGAGGACTGCTAACTTCGATTGAAATGAATGGCGAAGTTCCAACATGATAGATTAGCCAGCAATAGTCATAGTCTCATCAGTTCAAGTTAATGGTCCACTTGTGTCTTTTTTGATAGGTGTCAGGTTTTAGGAGAAGCGTCTGCATAGCTTTCTTGGGACAATATGCCTTACCAACTCTTATTCCACTATCAACACGCTGCATGAGAATAGGGTTCATTTGGCAACACCTTTTCAATCCCATTTTGAACTTTTTGATTGAACAAAATCATTGCTTTGACGATTTTGATGGGAACCCGTAGAAAACCCGTAGTAAAGTGCAGGGAACCCGTGGATACCCGTTAAAACATGTTCTAAAAAAAAACTGGGCCATCCAACCCATAGAAAACCCGTAGCAACCCGTAGAAAAAAAAGGAGTACTGAGGGTCTCGCAGCGGGCCTCACTGAACGGCATTTTTTTGCAATTTTCCAATTCCAAAATAATTGAAGCTACATCACCCGATACGTGAAGAGCGTGTTCACACGTCCAGCGCGGCCAAAAGTCACGCGCAAGTTTCTGGTGGTGCAAATGGTTGACTGATGCAACTCAATTATGTTGCGGGCTTGCATGATGGCACATACTTGGGCCCCAGGTTCATGTTAGGCTTTGTACACGCTCAGGCATTTGGCCACAAGAAGCGGAAGGTTCATTAGGACAGTCCCCGCCCTCCCTGTCCTTTGATCCCTTTTCCATGTTGGTAGAAGAACCAACGATCTCCCTTGTCTGGAGCTGCGCCACTCTACAAGATGGCTTTCAGTGTTAGTGATCTCTACGTTTTCTGAACGTATATAGCTTCAAATAGAACAAATCACTTTACCAAGAGACATCCAAAACCCCGGGTTTTTGTCGAAAACCCCGTCTTTTTGTATGGGTCCTACGTTTTTGTAGGTTTTTGATTCTCAAGGTATGTATATGTATTCTGATAACGACATGATGATAAACTATATAATATGTTAAGTTATATATAATATATGTTTTTTTCTAGGGTCCGATTAATGAGGACGGGTTACTTTAATTCTCACCGAAAGGAGCACAGTAGGAGTGCTCTTAGCTGCGAACAGCTCATCTGTAGCACCACTAGCTGATTTCACCCGTACCCGGTCTCCGCAGCCAGGAAGACAAGGATAATTGTCATAGGCTATGTAGGGCTCACTGTCATTGTACCACCGCTTATAGGCCAGCAGAAATTTCCTGATTGGCATCCCAAAAGATGACCTTCGGGGGGCGACATCCGTTTTTGTGGCCCTTTGGGCACCAAAAAATTGACAATGGATAACGAAAGATCTGGAAACTTTCCAAACATTGGAGTCTCCTCCTATGCATTCTTCCCAGCCTCATCTTTGTTGCTTATCAAGGATATGTGAGCAAAGGGGGGTTTGCACCGTGTCCCCATTCGAATCCCATGAAACCATCATTTTTAATGGTTATAAACCACAATTTTCCCAGCTGGTCAACTCATCCGGGCATGTTGAGCCCCAAAGGATATCACGTCAAAGTCAAACCCTACCAAAACAGCGGGTAAATTCATGCAAAATACAGATGTAAATTCCGATGTAAATTCCGCATCTATAGTTTTTCCATATTTGGCCACGGGGCTAATGGCCCCCACGAGAGATAATTCCGGACTATTCCACCGTCCTGGCTAATTCAAGCAAAAACATGACCTTCAGCAAATCCATGCCCATGGAACCAGCAATGAACAGCAATGTACTTCCACAAAATATTGAACTTACGGATACCCTCTGGTAAACTAACATATATTTAACTATGGAAAATCACCATGCTATTAATGGGTAAATCCACTATAACATCTATAACATGGCTATTTTCAATAGCTTTTTCTATGTTTACCAGAGGGTATATTGGGCAACTGTTGCTCGATGGCCCTGGACATCCAATTCCTCATAGTCAAAACCGTCGGCGTTGTTGAAACGGAACTTCGTCGACGTCTAAACGCCTGGAATCCACCTAATCTAGTCATTTTTTGTATCAATATATCCACCTCCTCTTCCCCATCATGTGCTGGTGACTCATTCCCCACCATTTGCTGGTCACTCCTTCGGCTTGAATCCCCATGTCTGTGTGTTGAATCACCAATTTCAATGAAAAACGCTACACATCTGCCAGATTCTGCCAGTACAAACGCGCCAAGTTGCAGGAATCGCTTCAGGCAACCTGAACAATACGCTGTGCTCTCGAAAATAGCTAGAGCCATTCGGTTATTGGTTGTAGTACTATCCAGGATGTCTGCAAAAGTGGTAAATCAATCATGGTCTGTCTGTCGAGAATGAAGTGTAAAACCTAAGATAAAGTAATGAGCAGATCATAGTAGATCAGGGCAAAATCGATGGCTAAAAAATGGACCATAGAGTAAAGCTGCTTGCATGTGACAGTGATGGCTGAGATATGGACTTGTACATGTCAAAACCCAAGGAACCCAGCGAACTATCAGCTCATGGCCCCAGATCCAAACACGCCCTCACTTGAAGAAGGAAACCGTGAAAACTGCCTATTTCCAATGGACAATTCATCTTCCCATCCCAATTTCTCAGGTGTTTTTCGTTTCCCATCCCTGCCTTTTTCCCAGTGCTTCAGACTGGAAGTTTCAGTGCTCAACAGCTTGAGGTGTCCGAAGGATAACAGCAAGGTTAGCACGTAGATTCCCTGCGCCGTTGGCGATCGATCTCCACAGTCCAACCATGGATGTGCCATGCCAAATCATGTGCTTACATCATCCTTGAGCTATGGTGATTTTAACATGGAAAAAACGCCAACAAGTTCACCCATTGGCCCATTGGCAGAAAATGAAGAATTAAGAGACAAACAAATCTACATATACATATGGCAAAACATGGTATGTAAATGTTACATGGATCATGGATGATCATGGATCAGTCGCCCTCCAGGACCTCAACTGAGGTCCTAGGGCCCACTATGGCACCGCCCCATGGGTCTGAAAACATGAAACTCTTTAAAAATCCCATGGTTTGTTGTCATGCTGAGTCATGCTTCCCATGTTTTTTGACCATTTTGGGGGGTACTTCCCCATTGACTCAGCTGTATGACCTGCTTAGGTCCCTGGGCGCCTGCAGGCTGGCCATGAGGATGACCTAACAGGGCAGGATGGGCTAAGCAGCAAAGCAATCATGGCTATAGATGCCCCGAAACAAAGGTCCATATTAGACCAGGAAATGAAAAAAAAACCTTCACTCAGGGCAAACATGTACTTTAACTCATGAAACATGCATATCAAAGCGAAATCCACCCAATCAATTGCAATGTTCCTATTGTATCACAGTGGCTCCAATTACCCAACTTTGAGTAATCATGCCTCCATGTTTCGTTGAGGGTAAATTACCCTGATTTCTGCCAGGCGGAATGCTTTTGCCGTGGGTAACAAGAAACACAACAGCTGTTTGGCTTGAGACACGTCACCAACTTCCACATATCGTATCTCGCATCCCTATGCTGTTGTTGTTTTTTCTTGCACCCACCTGTCCATCAACTAGGCTTCTGCCATTCTTGGTTACGCTCGTTATGTTCACTGGCTCTGCATCTCTATCTATAGTTGTCTGCCTGTAACACCTCTGCGTTCATTGTCATGACCCCTGCGTTCATTCCTTTTTCACCCCTTTCAGTCGATTCCAGGGTCATGTTGCAAACCTGGTAGTATACATCATATTGTTGCAGGTCTCCATACTGTTCTGCACGTTGGTACGGATACTTCATCATACATCCGAAACGAGATATCAGGCCCCGTGCTGATGGTTTTCCATATATACCTTGATCTCTGCTGCTTGGTCATTTTGGTTTTTGCTGCTGGAAATTATCCAAATTGGTGATATCCTTCTGTAATCCTGGCTGACCATGCAAAATCCACCGTTTGCATCCACTCGCATATACATATATATATATATATATACGTATGTGTATATATAACAGGGGTTGCTTATGCACCTTAGCCTGGAGCAAAGGATTTAAGCCAAGATTTGGGATAGAATCCAGCTGGTCTGAGACCAAAGGGCCCTGGATAGAATCCCTGGCTTGACCCCACGGTAAAAACAATGCAAAATATAAAAAAAAAATAGCAAAGGGTTTTGGAGATAAAATCCAAAGGCTTGAGATAACCCAACGAGTGATCAGAAAGAATATGTTAGAGATAGAATCCCTGGGCCGTTGTCGGAAAACGCGGAAAACGGGCCCGAGGACTTCGACCCCAAAACGGGGAGGTACAACGGGAAAACACAACGGGAAAACAACAACGGGAGACCCAAAGGGGGGAAAACACAACGGGGAAATGGTTCAAAATGAGAAATGTCAGTTTTATATATTTTTTTAAAAAAAAGAAAAAGCTGCTTTTGAAACATATTGAAATATTAAAATTGTGCATATGTGCTTTTTTTATATTTTTTAAAAATGATTTCTTTCAATAAATTATACCCAGAATCCATATATGATCCATATATAAATCACCAAACATTCCAAACCATTGCCGGAAATAAAATCCAAGGTTTGAGGTGTTGGAATTCCCAAGGTCACCAAGATGAAATCCCATGAGCTGAGATTTGGCATTTTATTAACTAGGCCAAGGATGCTGAAGATAAAATCCAAGGTCTGACAAACAAGCATAGATATATCATAGAAATAAAATCCCTTGGTCTAGCATCCAACATCTTCTCATTGTTTGAAGCCGTGCTCTGGATAAAATCCATGGGTCAAACATCAAATTTTCCCTGGCTGAAATCCCTAAAAAGGTTTGAAGACTTTAACTCGAGGCTCCAGCCTAGGGATTTCAGCCAGGCATACCAGACGGGTGTTATATATATATATATGTATATATATGTGTGTATATATATATATATGCATGTGTGTGTATGATATATTATCATATATTTCTTATAGTTTTTTGACTAGATATTTTGCTCCTACGGTTTCCTTGTATATGTTTCCTTCCACCATTTGTGGGAGTTCGGGACAATGCATTTCAATGCATTTCAGCCCCAAAGACTGCCGTGAAGTAACAGGGATCATGAACCAAACATTGGGCATACGGTAGACCACATATGTATCCATATGTACCATTGCAGGATTCTTTGTGAAAACTTCTGGTCAAACATGGCTGGGAAATCATCCATTTTGTTCCATGGATGTTCTTCCCATTGAAGGCTCCATGACTCCATATGTAGAAAAGGGCCTTTCCCAGCCATCAACTGAATGGGAAAGTCCCGACCGTTATAGAATCATATAGAATCAAATCGAATCACATATCCCATCATTAAACATCACTAAACCATACGTTTGCTTGCTTTCCGAATGGTAAAAAGGAAAAAAAACTCTCAATCCATGAAGGTTGATGAAACCGAGTCGCCGTCGTCTCAGGTAACAGCCAGTTCTGCAAGGAGATCATACAAAGGAAGGCAGAACACAGCAGAACCAGCAAATGCCTCGCTTCGTTCAGTTGCAAATACCGATTTGAAATCAACTTTCTCCGTTCAAGCTGGTCTCTTAAGCCAAGAATATGCACCAAACATATCACCATATATCACCAAACATGGCCTTAAAATCAAATGTATGGTCAAGTTCGCTTCCAAATGCGAGTTTCCTGCTGTTGTGACTTTCATCCGCAAGGAGGGAAAAGCTGGTAGTACCCCTTCAAACATTGACATGGATTCCAAAAATGACCATGTATTGTGGATTATCAAAAAACATCAAAAACATCCTAATGATCCTTTGATGGAGCTGCAAAAAGAGAATAAAACCATATCCTCCACAGTATCACTGGGTTTTTGAACATCTAAGAACTTTGCAAAACGAAAATTCGATTGCAACCACAATTGCCATGATTTGATCGATTTTCACATCCTATTTTCCTTAACTTATGACTAAGTCCGACATGGGCCAATGGGGCCCCAGCATACCATCCTGGATGGGGGTCACCTTTGGAAGAGGGTCGTCCTCACGTCATCCAGTCACAAAGCCTGCCACGATGGACCACGACCGAGGCACTTGATTTCCAGTCGAATCCTGAGCGGATCACACATCTATGTAGATCATCAATCTGTACACACATTACCCTCGGTCCAATTAAAGAGTTCTTAATTCTTACCATAACTATAACTATAGTAACTATTGATTAGTACGGGTTATCAAACAAAGCTATTCAACATGGCGAAACTATAGATGATTTGAGATGATTTACCCATGAAACATGGTGCTTATCCAGAGTTATGTTAAATTACCACAAGGTAAAAAAAAATAATGTGGCGCACACACTGTCAAGCATAGTGAAGAACATCATATGCACTGTGCACTAAAGACTAAAGCCAATTTAAGCATATCAAATCAGATAAGCATGTGTAAAAAATGAAATGATGTGCTCCCTCATCTCATAGACTCGCACAAAACATGAAATGCCTGGAAACCTCCGATACATATACACTGCTAGCATCTGCTAGCACTTCTGCTTCCCCAAGTGCAGGCATTTCAATATGAAACTGTGTGTCACTGCGCCTGTGGTTTCTTCATCCTGGGTTCATGTTATTTGTCTTCTCAAAATCCGTTCTTATCTTATCCGTTCTTTTCATCTGAGTCGATGGATTGGTTTAATAGAGACTCCAGAGACCACACTTTGAACCTGCAAATATAAAAATATATGTAGGGATTTCCCGCTAAAATTTTCCCATCATCCAATCCTGGGAGTGAGTTTTTCCACTGACACATCTCCAGGTCCAAACCCTGCAGCACTGCCCGCCCAGTCAGTGAATATGAACACAGCCCCCGAAAACCGGTATATTTGATGAAAATCCCAAGCCAAAAAATCATATTGAAGACCTCCATTTTTTTATGGTCCCAATGTGGTTTCATCCCCTACATCTAGCATGTTTTACGGGGGTGTTTACATTGGAGGGCAGGGGCTATAGGTATTGGGTAAAATACTTGTATAATAGTATCAGTATAATTATGTAACATATGATCAATTATGATCATATAATATATGCACGTAATTAAATATGGTATTGACGCAAAAGCAGATCCTCACCTCAGCAACCCAGCAAGGGACAAGAGATCGAACCAGCGATGATCGAACGGCCGCCATGTCACGTGGCACAGCATGGCGGCCAAAGAAACCTCGGAAAAGGTGTCATCTTTTGCCATGTTCAGTCATCTGCTGTCACCAAAGACACCAAGGCACACAAACAATGAGGAAGCACTCTTGCACTGCAGAGAAAGGGACTGCCTGCAGCTGTTTGTCATCATCCAGGCCCCAACCCGATGTCCGGTACGCCCGTTCCAAGGGTTTGTTCCGCTGGGTCGATGTCTAATCGGCCGTCTAGTCAGTTCCCCTTGAATCAACCTCGGCTGCGAGCCGCGATCGCCACCTCAATCACGATGAAGAGGAACTTCTGCAAGCAGACCACCACCTGACACGCTACTCTTGGAAGTAGCTTCTGCAATGAAACGTTGCCATGATTTGCAATGTATAAAATGCATGTAAATGATTCCAACAGTGGGGATATCTAGGAGTTCCATGCTGAAGTCGTGGCAATGCTTTTCTTGTGCCACTTGGATGGATGCCAGCATCTGTTCTTCATGGCTTGGTAAAACACAGAACAATGGTGGTGTTCCATTGCGAACTATGTTAATGTTACCAAAGAGTATAGGAAAGTATCCATCCCTATTTACAGTAATATACAATCAAACATGCAGGTGTCCTAGCCAGCCATCTTGATCTTAGATTCACCTTTTCAAATTCCAAGCAATAAACAGCTCCAAAGAAAACCGTGCATTGAATCTAATCATTCAAAAGCTCCCAGTCATTCCGGATGGTTTTTGCAGTGATAGTCTGGAAATCCGATAAATGAAGTTATGATTGTGCAATGATCACAAAAATGATTAAAGGATATCCCATGACAATTACGCAAAAGTGTGTCCAAAAATAGGATAACCCCAAAATCCAAAGGTTGTTCATCATGTTTCCAATACAATATGTTATTTGGGTGATGCATATATATATAATATACATATCAATTGTTAAATACACACGCACCTTAAATACCCTGCTGGTAAACACACAAGCGCACAAATACACACATATCATATTGTTATTTGTAGTATTAATTCCTCTATACCCTCAATGATGCCCAATATATATATATATATATATCTGGTTGGTGGTTTCAACCCCTCTGAAAAATATTGGTCAAACCACCAAACATATATATATATAATATATATATAATATATATATATATCGCGTTATCTTGATGCTTTTGTGATGGTTTTCCCATACTCCCTCCTGGGAGTCAGCATGGGCCTCCCACCACCAGCAGGAGGTGTTGTAGCCCAGCAACATGATCCCGTAAGGCCTGGCGGACCACGTTGAGGTTTCCAAAGTCATGGGGGTTACCCCAATAGCTGGAGAACAATTACAATGGAACATTATTGATGATCCAATAGATGATCCACATGTAAAAATACAATGGACAAAAATGCTGGCTCACTAAAATTGATGGTTTATAATGGAAAAAACATATTATATAACATAGTAACATGAATGATTTGGAGGTTCCGCTATTTTAGGAGACCTCCATATGTAGCTTTCTGGCTTTGAATCTTTGATCCATCCGTATCCATCCCCAATTCATGGCAGGTCAGGCAAGGACACCCGCTGAGGATTTCGGGTAAAACCATGTTTTGCAGGGACAATTTCCCACATATAACAGAAAACTATGGCATCATGGAAGAGATTCCGAGGCAGCTTACAGTGCCGGAGGGAGTAATATACTAGCCCTCATGAGGTGTCGTGAGCAGTTTCAACCCAAGTTAACCAACCGCTGGGTGGTTCAATTGGGAGTCTTCCAAACTTTATATCTTGGATTTGCTAAACGCCCCCGAAACACAAAATGTTCCCTATGGATTAATCCATTAGGAAAGTAAATCACCTTAAACAATCCCACGATATGATAACCTAGAATCAGTCAATGGTGACTTTTTTTGGTGTGTGGCCCTCCCAATCAACAATGTCATTTTTTTGACAATAGGGCTGGACTGGTATACCTTTGAGATCACAGCCAGGACTGGGTTGTAAAGAGGAGGGTGAATACCCCTCTATTTTCATCAGCCAACAAGTAGGATGGGTAATTTATGCCAATGGTCAATGTTTCTTCTTACCTTCTGGTATATAATTTATCGTGATGGGAAATCGACCATGAGCATCTGATTTACGAATACAATATGGCCATGTAATCATTTCATGGCAAACTGTCAAAAATAATCTGAGGGTATATGGGTGTGACTAAAATAAAAAAAGGCAATGTATACGATGTATAACCTCCCAAACAAAAATTGTGAAAATGATGATCAAACTTTGGATACCATATATAATGGGTGTCTTAGCTTCAAACTGGCCTTCTGAAGCTGGCGTCCATGCTTCTGCGCTGGTACAGCTGAAACCTTGAAACTTGGACCATGGCTGGCATGGCCTGGAAGTATCATGCCATCCCACCGTTCAGAGGATTTCACCATGAAGAAATTGGAAGTTCATCAACAAAACATGATTGACATTTGGTTCAACATGCTTTAACCATCACAAGCATGAGGGATGAACATGGTTCAACCATCCTGAGAGGAGACAATAATTATCAGCCAGTGTAATATCCCATATTGTTAGTGAAACAATAATAAGTTTATTATTGTTTTGACCAAAAAATCATCGTTGGGAGTCCAATGTGCTGCCAGGGAGCCAGCAAAAGAATGGCCACATCGTCCAGAGAGATCCGGCCAACAGGGAGAGCAAGAGCAAGGGCTGCCTAGGCACCCGGATGGCCATCGGTCACACAAAAACGAATTCGTTCCTGTTTGCCCAGCTACACCGATGCTACAATGGAGGCCTTGCACCGCTTTGTCCATATGCTCCATGGAAGAGTGACCAACAGAAACCTCAAAAATGTTGATAAATGTTCCATACATGGAGCTTATGGGTAAATTGAAGTGCCTCAAAAACCAAAGATTGAATACCATGTTGTCGGGTCAAGACCAGTGAAGAAAGATTGACTTTGGTAGTTTCACAGGTTAACAGGTCGGATGTCCATGAAAGTCTTCGCTTTGTGGATCATATTCCTATTGAAAATTGAAGTTGCCCAAGGCAAAATGATGAATTGTTGGCTAGCATTGCAATCCTGCAGTGGGACAGTGGAAAAGACCTACAATTATGTAACATAATATATATATATATAAATTAAGAATGTATATAATTGCATTTGACAAACACATGTACACACAGTCATTTATATATATATATATTAATTAAGATTGTATATAGTTGCATTTGACAAACACATGTACACACAGTCATTTATATATATATATATATATATATTGTATATATATATATATTGTGTATGTATGTAACACAATACATGTTGGCCAAAGTAAACCAGCCAGGTTGCGACAGGTCGCATTCCAAGACCCCGTTGCTGTACATAACCTGGGATATTTCAATGGACCACTAAAAAAGGAGCTTAACGTGTGACCAGAATGCTTCTTTGACAGTACCTTGAAAATCTTGAAATCCAGGTGCTTTGTAATTGATGTTGGTTGATGCTGACTTGCACACTTTGACTTTTGTCAAGATATTCTGTTCGAAGGCGCTTGTTCAAAGCTTGCGGGTGAACACATACGTTTATTTTTTTATCTGTGGAAACCTACGGCAGGAGCATGCAAAAGTAGCAGGGTAGTGTGCATCAATCGTCACGCCAAGAAATGAACACCACAATTGCCTCATTTTAAACCACCATCGACTACACTCTCGTGTTCTTAGCAGAGACTCCCTATAAGCAGCCCGCATGGCCCGCATGCTCCAAGAATTATACTATTTCACAACTGCGCAGTTTCGTTGCTAAACCACCGCATGGTTGCATGGCCACATCAAAGACAAAAAGTATAAACCATATTGAAACCAATATATCATGTACCAGATTAACCAGAGTAATCCATATGTTATCAATTGTACAATAAATAAAATTGAAACATTTAACATATGTTGAACCAATATGGCCATGGATCCATGCCCTGGCAGCCCTAGCACCTGGGATGAGGATGGGTTAATGGTACGTTTACTGGTACAATACATTTACAGGTATGCTGCAATGCATCCTGGAGGAAAATAACATATCAATGTAGCTCGCGTTTTCCTCCCCCTACAAGGTGAATGATTTACAATGTATGTGTTTTAAGCCATAGACATCCCAGTTTAAAATCATCTTACCAAACTAATTCACATCATATAAACCCAATAAGTTACCATTCAAATCCTCTTACAAAAAAAACATGACGCCTCGCACGTGTCCTTGCAACTCCAAGACACCGTACCTGGCATCGGAACGGCCGCGGCCCCCAGTCGCTGACAGTGCAAGGTGCTGAAGCACCGTCTTGCGGCGGGAAACCAGAAGAAGTACCTGGTTGAACTGCTGGAACACCATTCAAACATCCAAGTTTGGGATGGTTTAGGATGGTTTGCTCGGAGGTAAACCCAATAATACACCATCCCAATGAGGCTTAATAAAAGTGGCTATATTGTCCCTTTCTGGAACGATGTATGCCAAACAAAAACACTATGGAAATACTGGTCTTCCGTTCAGAAATGATCCTACAAACCCTGGATTTTCCGTAGCTATGTGGGTTTACTCGAGGATAGGATGGTTTGCAAAGTTGTCACCATAAAACCTCCAAAATTAAGATTCGCAACGCTCCAAACTCGAATTCACCACAAAATGTCTGACCCTTGAGATCCGTGTTTGAATATATATATATATATATATATATATGTATGTATGTATGTATGTATGTACGTATATGTACAAATAAGCATGTATACATATGAACATATGTATATATACATTTGTACATACACGCATGTATACATAATAAAACAAATTTCATTACATTACATTACATCACATCACAAAACATTACACTTATTTGTGTATATATATATATACACATAATTATACATACGTATACATATTTACATCTACATGTGCATGTACATACATTAGATATCCTGGCCACAAAATGGTCCAAAATATCCCCCCGTGCAGGGATCGTCCCAGGGCCTTTTTGTCGATGTTTTTTGATTTCGGGGAAAACTCAGCCGAAAACCAGTAGGGTTCTAACAAACATGACCAAACAAACTATAAGGGATCCTCCCAAATTTTCCCTTATATAAACCAGTTTTTGGACTCTACCTGGGGACTGTGGATAGTCAAGTCAAACTTAAGAACCTATCCCTACATCAAACATGGTGTTACGCCCATATCATGAGCTACCCTCCGGTAATCAAAATCCAACATGGCTGTAATATCACATTCATAGACGATTTTCCGATCAAAATGCCCATCTATAGTGAATTTCCAGGCTAGCCATGATTGATTAACGCGGGGTTCATTGCCAGGAGATGCCAGGAAACATCACGAAGCACGGCCCCTGTCCAAGGTGCAACAAGCATGTCCGCAGCGGAACCGTCTCGGTCCAGAAGCGCAGGAGGTCGAGTTTGCCTTAGCTCTAACCAAAGGACTTCACCCATGGAAAATGGGCAATGAAACCACACAAATATGCAATTAATGAGCAACACACCAACAGGGATCTATCCAACAAAAATTGAGATATATGCTATACCCAACACAATTGATCTGGAGAAACTAGAACAAAAACATCACCAGCCCCGCGCAGCTGAAATAAAGCCACTTGGGGATACTTACCCCAATCACAGCCAGACTGCAGTGATGATTGTTAATGCATTTACCCTCTGCTACTCAAGCGTGGCAAGATGTGGCAATGGAAAATCCCCTTTGAATGAAGGTCTTAATGGGCGAAATATCTATATAATTAGGGTGGATTTAGATTGCTTTGCTTACTGTCCGGAGAGTATACCGATTGAACCAAAAAAAACAGTGAACCAATGACAAAGCATCCGCCAAGGTCAAACAAACCTGGAACCGCAGTTGCAAGCAACAGATCTTCACTTTGACACCTGACCCACGCCGTCCTTGCACGACGGCATCCTATACGATATGCACGTCAGTACTTGGAGGTCCGCAACAATTAATTAATTAATTAACTAATTAATTAATTAACTAATTAATTAATTAATTATACTCAGTGATTAACAAGCGTGACAGACCAGGTTAATAACTGGGTCACATCCCCATCAGACTGAGCTCTTTCATATGGTAATTACCCACTTACAATTCCTCTGCCGCACATCTAAGTAAGAAAACCTAAAGCCCGAGAGAAATCAATCATGGCTAGCTGGGAAATCCCCGAACTATGGGTTTATAGCTGGGAACATCATCGAACGGGCCAGGCGCAGCCATGTTATCCCAACACACACACACACATATATATATATGTATTGAAATATTTATATATATATATATACAATAAATATATCTATATATATATATATGAATATATATATATATATACAAATTATATATACATATTATTATAAATATTTAAATTTGTATATATATATACATATATAGTTATAAACATATATATATATATAACAGTATAACAAATATATACATATATAAATAAATACATTAATATATATTAATATATGTATATTAAAATAAATATATATTAATGTATATATATATATGTATAGATTTAAACATATATACATTAATGTGTATATTTATACAGACATTAATATTAATATATTGATATATACATTAATATATATATATATATATATATATATATATAGTTGAATACATATATATACTGAAAACATATATATAAACAATAATACAAATGAATATAAACATTTATAAATATCTCTAAATATAAATATGCATAAATATGAATATATATATATATATATTCCATATACATAAATAAATATATATATATATGAATAAATATATATATATATATATTTATATTTACATCTATCTATCTATCTATCTATATGTATGTACCATTATTTTCCAGTATATCCAGCCATAATATATTCCATAACACTCCCATAAGTCCCATCATATCATGGAGATTTGTTACAAATAAATCACAATCCCAACAAATTCCATATATTTGTTACAACATACTTTGAATATATTCCCAACAAGTTGTGTTTGTGTTTGTAATAATTTAAATATATTTTGTTTGTGCTTGTAAGAATTTATATCCCAACAAGTCCAACCAATATTCCCACACAATATCCCATCATAATCATATCCCATGAAATATCTCATGATAAACAGCCATAATGAGCCATCATTTATAGCTGGGAAATCTTTCCGAGCGGCTGAAAAGGCGGGGGATGAAGAGGATCGGGCTTAATAAGCAGCAACCTGGCGTTCTGCATGCCAGAGAACTGGTGGATGCAACCTTGAAGCAACCTCTATAAATGATTTCATGTATATATATATATACATGTATAATAACATTACATAACCTACTGTGATGCACAATGAAAAAGGCCCAGAAACCACGCGCAAATGGACGAAGAACTCGTTGATGATGAGCAACAGACAGGGGCACTATTTAAATCTTGGAAGTGTCACCATTTTCGGAAAGGTCCTGTTACTATAACTACATCATCAAGGGCGTATGCCTCCTCAGTTGATCTTTCTGTGTTTTTGAGATGTAATTACTGTAGCCGTAGCCTTTTGTAACTTAAATTAGCTTTTACTTATATAGCATAAGATGCATCATGCAACATAGCGGCGCTATTTCAAAACGGTTCAATATCACACGAGCGACTTCTGTGACCCTGCTATGCCAGTTTACAAGAGGCCCCAGGAGCTTTCAACTGCGCCAGGTGGTCGATTCAGCGATTTAGATCCGTGACTATCTAGATTGAGGGTGCTGGATCATTACGCTAACAAAAAATCAAGGACAAACTACATTGAAGGCAATCAAATTGATGGGAAATTTCATGAACTGGATGCTTGTCGGCCACGAAGCTGCTGCACTAACACAAGTATTTGATCCTTGTTCTCTGCGGCCGCTGCAGCTGCCCTGATTAAACAGCATGGCCACTTCATGCCACTTCCAATCGGCGAAACCTTGTCTTCCACACCATTTTTTGGGGTTTGAAGTTCCAAGTGGACGGTTCAAGGATTTGCCATCCCGCCGCTTTCAATCTGCTGCTATTTCCGCTTCAAAAGGAAAGCTCCCGCACAAAAGAAATCCCACCAAATTCCAATGTCATAGGGGAACTGCCAATCAAAATCACTGGATGATTATTTGATATCATGGGATCTGTCCACCCAGCCTACATGAAATTGATCATCGGCACGATTTTCAAATTATCCGAATGGGTATCCACACGTCTCCCGGTGACATTTAAGTTGACATTTCGCCAAAAAAAAGGTTGGTTGTTTGCCAAAGCCCGCCATATCGATATGTGAAACCTGGATTTTCCACACAGCACCAAGGAGCAAAAGCTCCCCAACATGGATCGGGTCCTGAGGGCCAGCAGCTTGGGATGAAATCTGAGGATCAAGGAAGGGGAACATTGCGAAGAATATTGCATATATATATATAGTAAAAAAACAATAATAATAATAAAAACAAGAATAATAAATAATAGTAATAACAATAATAATAACAATAATAATAATAATAAATAAAAATAATAATAACAATAATAATAACAATAATAATAATAAATAATAAAAACAATAACAATAACAAAAACAATAATAATAACAACAAAATTGATAAATAATAATGATAATATAATGTAATAAAATAAAATAAAATATAATAATATAATATAATATAATATAATATATATATATTATAAAAATATATTATATATATATTATATATATATATTAAAAATATATCTGGGAACTTATATTAAATTATCATATTTCACTAACCTGACATGTTGGGCCATTTGGGATGATTCCCCTTATTAACCATGATTTCAGGTTTCGGGAGAACAGTGAGGTCGTTATAATATGTTATAATTTAGGTATGGCCCCTGGAGTGAATTCTCATCAGTTCAACTGGCCCAATGCTAGATACGCCTTGGTAATTTAACAGCGCCATGGAAGATGGCCATCAATGCCATTTACATAAATCACGTACCTATTATTATTAAAATGAAATTTCTTTTTCTCCCCCCATAGCTAAGACGTTTTCCGGTTCTGGTAGCTGACCAAGCTTCGGGGGGGTGGAATGGACCCAGGCATTGCAATGCATCAGTGGCCAAGACAAGCCCCACAGCCTCCAAAATCGGCACTGGATCGGCACGGGGCTCACCGGGGCGAATCGACACAACCAACAAGAAGATCTAAGGGCGACTGTTAAATCCCCATGATAGATCTTACGAGGACAAATGAGGAGAAAAGTGACGGAGATACCTGGAACATCAATGGATGTGGCAAGATCCACATCAATTGAGAGTTCCCTCGAAATCAACCATGTTTCTTGGGGTTTGTTCCCTTGACCGCTATTGCTATTGACTATCTCTATTGGCTATCTCAGAAATATAGATTGACCAAATGCGGAATGACTTGAATACACGCACCCTGACACTTAGCAGCGCAGCTCAGTAATGTTGAGAGAAGTACTTTGGCAAACCCAACAATGAACCATCCTAGTATCCAAGCTAAACAACCACAATGGGGGTCCTTTTCAAATCATACAAAACAACATGTGTATAACGGGAATAGCTTATTCTTGGATTTACCTCACCAGAACAATGCCTGGGATCAGCACCACTTCCAACAGTATCCATGACTCCCTCCTAAAGGATAGAGATGGTTCCCACGGGGGGGATTCGGAAACCGCCATCTACACTAGCGAAAATCTCCGGAATCTTCCTGCCCGAAATGGATCAGAATGGTGATTTCAAAGAAAAAGTCATGTTAACAAATGATAACGGAACGGGATTTTGGTGGTCCCCCAGTATCAATCCAACTCAACATTTGTCAGTTCTATTGTTTCTGGTGTTTCTGTGCAGGCTATGGTTAAACCATCAAGCGTTATTTTCACCTGTCCCACAAGTGATCTAAGATCTATTGCCTTCACCTTCACCACGAAGTTTCCCACAGCAAAACCAGCAGGTCAACAGATATGATATCGGGATGTTGTATTAACAGTCATGCATATCACATACTTATATATATATATACAGTTAATAACTATCCAATTCATATCAGATATCTTAATTGATATTACTGTAATGCAAAACAGTCAAACCAATTCAAACGGCTACGGCTTTTCCAGAAATAGGATATACACAATTTATGAAAAGTTAATTGCAATTCTAGCGGGGTAAAGTATCGAAACATCTCCAAGATCAATCTCAATCAAGCAATGGATTTAAAATGATCCCTGCATATATATATATAGTTTGTGATCGCATAGGACACGCTGGCTGGTGCCTACTTCAGCATGTGACACTATTTTCCAGCTGCTGGTCACAAGCGAAGAAAATCCTATACAGCATTATATACATATAATCGAGGTATCCCTGTTGAAATCGAGGAAGGCCCCAGTGGTTAAATTCTGCGTTTCAAGTGCAACATATATTCCAACTGGAATACACTGTGAGGTGCGCCTCACACTTAGTAACTCGATAATGACCTGCAGGTCGCTTTGTGCATCACAACTAATCATAACCAACAAATATACACATAGTGTATAAAGAAAAATCCTCAACATTACAACCATTTCCTAACTGGGATGCACGTCAAACTTCAAAAAGAACTTACATCTCAATTTGACATGCAATCCGGAGATATTGGCGCCTGCGTTCAACCATAAGGAACGTGGCAGCCAACTTTAACATCTTCAAACAGAACGAAACACACCAATGCACCGCCCGAGGCACCTAGAAACAAGACCCACATGGCAGAACAAATTAGGGACATTGTGTATGGAAACATGTATGGACATTGATCGTGGCCACAATGAAGTCTTGAAGAGCTCTGAATGTGAATCACCGTGAGTCTTGGTGCTGGGCTGATCCATGTTGGACCTGAAACCTTGGATTTTGGTCGGCGAATTCCTGTCCCCAAGGATCTCCAAGGTTTCAGATGTTGGATCCAGGCTGGGGCAAAAGTGGTGCCACCCGTTCCAGCTCTGTGGAACTCCGCTCTCACCGCCGGAAGGCGCTTTTGGGCCAGATTGCTGATGGCTGTTGCATCCATGTTTCACCGAGCCGAATACTGGTGCTGAAGAAGCAATCCCGATGAAATGACTAATCCCTTCCCCCCTAACATTAAACAGCCCCTTAGAAACCATGGTTTAGTAGAGAACTTCTCCACATAATTGGGACCATTTATGGGGTGTTTACTAGGCGATGGGATTAATCTTATCTGCTTGGTGGTTTCAAATCCTCGAGAAATATCAGCCGGTAAGGATCATCATCCCAGGTAAAATGGAATGATGCAAAAGAACGATGCCATTTCTGGATAACCTAGCCTGAGGGCCTTTGCGAATTTACCCACCTAAAATACCGTTATCATACAGCCATTCGTGGATGGTTCCCGCAATCAACTCATCATTCCAGTCAGGACGTGAGGTCATTTGCAATTCGTCCAGATAGATGTTCAACGATAATCCACCGTATTTCATGGTTATACCTCCACTATATTCCCACTACATTCTTAATTGGATAAGTATTAACTGTCTGATGATATACTACGTACTATATATGCATATGGTTATCAACTATTCGTGTTCTATATTGATATTTCAAACCACCGGCCACGTACGAAGCAATCCAGCCAGCTGTCATCTTCATGAATCAAAGATTCTGGAGCTACAACGCCTGGTCCAATGGAGGTACTGTACCATACAAGGATTCCAACAATTTACTGATTTCGATCATAGGAGGTACTGTTAATATGAACCATTAATATCTATACTGTAATGCAAAACAGTCAAACCAATTCAAACGGCTACGGCTTTTCCAGAAATAGGATATACACAATTTATGAAAAGTTAATTGCAATTCTAGTGGGGTAAAGTATCGAAACATCTCCAAGATCAATCTCAATCAACCAATGGATTTTAAATGATCCCTACATATATATATATGTATATATAGTTTGTGATCCAAATAACCCTGGCATAGGACACGCTGGCTGGTGCCTACTTCAGCATGTGACACTATTTTCCAGCTGCTGGTCACAAGCGAAGAAAATCCTATACAGCATTATATACATATAATCGAGGTATCCCTGTTGAAATCGAGGAAGGCCCCAGTGGTTAAATTCTGCGTTTCAAGTGCAACATATATTCCAACTGGAATACACTGTGAGGTGCGCCTCACACTTAGTAACTCGATAATGACCTGCAGGTCGCTTTGTGCATCACAACTAATCATAACCAACAAATATACACATAGTGTATAAAGAAAAATCCTCAACATTACAACCATTTCCTAACTGGGATGCACGTCAAACTTCAAAAAGAACTTACATCTCAATTTGACATGCAATCCGGAGATATCGGCGCCTGCGTTCAACCATAAGGAACGTGGCAGCCAACTTTAACATCTTCAAACAGAACGAAACACACCAACGCACCGCCCCAGGCACCTAGAAACAAGACCCACATGGCAGAACAAATTAGGGAAATTATGTATGGAAACATATGGAATTGTGTGGAAATGTATGGACATTGATCTTGGCCACAATGAAATCTTGAAGAGCTCTGAATGTGAATCACCGTGAGTCTTGGTGCCGGGCTGATCCATGTTGGACCTCAAACCTTGGATTTTGGTCGGCGAATTCCTCTCCCCAAGGATCTCCAAGGTTTCAGAGGTTGGATCCAGGCTGGGGCAACAGTAGGCGCTTTTTGGCCAGATTGCTGATGGCTGTTGCAGCCATGTTTCACCGGGTCGAATACTGGCGCTGAAGAAGCAATCCCGATGAAATGACTAATCCCTTCCCCCTAACATTAAACACCCCCTGGTTCCCCGCAATCAACTCATCATTCCAGTCAGGACGTGAGGTCATTTGCAATTCGTCCAGATAGATGTTCAACGATAATCCACCGTATTTCATGGTTATACCTCCACTATATTCCCACTACATTCTTAATTGGATAAGTATTAACTGTCTGATGATATACTACGTACTATATATGCATATGGTTATCAACTATTCGTGTTCTATATTGATATTTCAAACCACCGGCCACGTACGAAGCAATCCAGCCAGCTGTCATCTTCATGAATCAAAGATTCTGGAGCTACAACGCCTGGTCCAATGGAGGTACTGTACCATACAAGGATTCCAACAATTTACTGATTTCGATCATAGGAGGTACTGTTAATATGTACCAATTAATATCTACCAATTTCAGGATCCTAAAGTGTAGGTACTGTGCCATATTTCTGGCTATATTTTCGTGGGATATTCCCTGAAAAATAGGCCTAAAAAAATGGTAGGTACCTCCAATCAATCGGTTCCTGAAATGGCAATTGAATTAAGACATGTTTGTTTAAGACATGTCCCAATGTCCCCTGGAAATTAGAAAAAACAAATAGTCATCAATACCGGCCCCAGGGCTCCATTATTTTTTTTACCGCATCATTGTTTTCAACCCAAGGGAGCAAGGGAATCTTCCCATAAACCATTTTGGGAACTAAATGAGAACCCCAAACATATAATATTCCCAGTTGCATGTGGGTTAGATATGGGGTAATAAACCATTTACTAGCTGGAATGCACGTCCAAGTGCTTCAAATCAATTGGAAAAGTGGGCTGAGGTGTGAAGAGAAGCTTGGAATCTGAGGCGTCCTCTTTAGTGTTTAGGGAACCAGTATGTCCCAACAATATCCTTTGGAGACAAATACGCGGGAGTCTTGCAATACCTTTATGATCCATTCATCATCATTTACTGCTTGTGAAGGAGGTGGTCTGGCCGGTGAGCGGATAAATTAGATCAGACTCTCAAGGCCATTTTGGCATAGCTTCACCACCATTCCAATGATGCCGTGGCATGAGCTCCAACTTATGGAAATCTATGGTATGCTGCGGTATGCTCCAGCGATCTGTACGAACTGAACTCATGCAATGCAACATAAATAGGCACAGGAAGCACAGAAAGGACCTTCACATGCAAGGCGGCAGCCAAATGGCAATGTGCAAAAGGTTTGGGTTGATGAAAGTGCCCCCTGAAACCCTCTAGTAATCAAACATGGCAATGGAAAATCACGCATAGATGGGCATTCACATGGAAGAATCATTTTATACACACACACATATATATATAGTATGAGGCATTTTCCCGCCGGCCATGTTTGATTTCCAAACGGTAGTCCAAATTATATGGGACCCAGACATGAACAAATCCACAAATATACACGAACAAACAATGTTTTTTCCATGTGCGAAATCATAGTTTTATAGTCTTCAATCAGGCCCAGTTGTTCATGTTGTTGTGAAAAACCCAATGCAGACTGACAGGCAAACCCTTGCACCTCCACAGCTGCTGGTGGGCAATGGGGGCCATCATAAGGAAGCATGATCCCAATTCAACCAAAAGGGTGCTGTTTCTTTAAGCCCCGAATCATCTCCACCAATGGGTACTCAGTAACTACTCTCAATTAGCCAACAGGTCATCTTTCTGGCCTCAAAAGGTGCCACTATGCGGCCTCTGAACTTCGCGCGGAACACGACGATTGTCCGCTGTGGACCATAAAGGCGGTAAAAATTAGAACCGCTTCGAGAATAGCGCTGGTGCCACTATCAAACAAGCTGCGGGATTCTTCTCCCATGCTAGGCATGCCTTCTTATACATAAATATTGTGGAATATTATTTTGTAGATTCCCAGAATCAATGGATTGGTCTTTCAGGGGGCATTTGGAGGACATCATTGATCTTAGCATGAAAAACATAAGTTTTGTGTAATGTTCCTTTTAACCAATTATGAGAACCGAGCAACAGAATTAAGGTGCCAGTGTCAACTAAATACAGATCGTTTTCAACGACGATTCTGGCCCAGAGAATTGGATGTTTGAATATTCAAAGAGCGAGCTGACACACACACACACGCGCACAAAGAAAAACCGCTTGAACCAATCGAAATTGGTAGTTTACCCAACTTTATGAAGGATTTCTGATCAGGGCGTGATTGAGAATGATTTGGCATGCCCCACAACTGCGAACTCTAATCATTGGTATGTTAACAGGTTATTCTCCAGTGCATTTGGGGTATACCGACGCGTCCCACTTTCAGACACACCGCATAAATCAACATATTTACAGCAATTTACTGTATCACGAGCCCCTGGGAAAGCAGCCCCCAAGCAGCGGAGCGTGGCACAATTTTGAAAGTTATCATGCATCATGGGATGGTTTCAAAACCAACAGCGAACTTGCTCCCTGAATTGGTGGCAATTTTCGTGGAGCTTGGACGATGGATGATTAGAAAAGGTAATTTAATCTATCTAGATCCCCTGGGGTAAACCTAGAACTCCAAATGGACCTTGATGACATAGCTGTATGACATGCAAGTTTCAGGGTCCTTACCAAAGGTCACTCCCCCACTAATTGGGGTCATCAACCCCTAAGAATTGGGTTCATTACTTGGAACATCCCACGGATCGTAGCAGGTTATATAATAACCCTGGTGAACGTAAGACTCCCAACAGGGTTATCCGATATATGAGTGGACTAACGGCCGTTTCTTTGTGGGATGAGATGATTCTCCAAGTAGGCCTCCAGTGTGGGGGGTTTACCTTTCAAGGAAAAGCTGACCCCAAGATGTCCCAAATTTCACCGACATGGGAAAAACAATGAGGTCAATTCCAACTCCGCAAGGCTGTAGCCTAAACACATGCATAAGTGCACGATAACTATTAAATGCATACATGTTGATATAAAAACAAACACACGCACACACGTGTATATACACACGCGTGTATATATATATATACACACACACACGTGTCTGTATGTATGTATATATATATAAATGGGCTCGTGTTCCGTGGTCCTACCCCCCCCAATGGTATGGGTCCCCAGCTAGCACCCCCTTCCCTTCTATTTGCAAGCTATTGGCAGCATTTCTGAAGTCCAGCCTCGTATTTGCTAGGTACATGCTACCTTTTAGACGACCTACGTAGCACACATACTCCCTCATAGTAACTACGTGATACCAATAGTAAATATACATATGCCATGTATCTACTCCCTATTTACCATATTTATATATATATATATACAATTATATACATATATATATATGTATTTAAATATTATATGTACATATTGAAAAATTGATATATACATATACGTATGTATGAATACACGCGCATAAATATAATATATAAATTCTGTATATATAAATATTATATATACATATGTAAACACATTGATATATACATATACATATGTATTATAAAAATAATGCATATATATATATACATACATGTATACATGCAAACATATCTAAATATATATATATGTATATTTATTTATTTACATATGCGTGTATATATTTAAATATATATAAAAATATTTAGAGAGAGATATAGATATATATATATATATATAAATATTTTCAAATACATTTGCATATCTAAATAAAAATATTTGCATAGATACATATACATGTATATGTGAATATATGTATATGCATATACATATGTACATGTATACATGCAAACATATAAATATATATGCATATATTGGCTTAATTAATTATTTATATATTTACACATGCGTGTAAATTTATATAGATAGATCGAATTTTACAAATACATATACGTGTATATATATATACATAGGTACAATACACAGATACATATACATGTAAATAAATATGTATATATATATATGCAAACGTATATTTACATGTGTATATATGTATGCGTAAATATATGCATTTACATATATATATATATATATACATGTAATTACATGTAATCATACATATTTATATATATACAAATATGTACATATATACACAAATATATATATATATATATATACACATATGTACATATTTTTATATATATATATATATATAAATCCAGCGTTCCAGCCCAGCCCGACAGTACCACACACCCACCACACCACAAGGGGGGGAGGGGGACAGTACTATGGCTGACCCATGACCATGGCCCGGAAAAGGTGGAACGCTAGATCATATATATATATATATATATGGTGCAGCATCGCTCCCCAGGGGATGGTCATGGAATTTCTGATGTATGGTATGTATTGAACTATTCCCCCTCCCCGTGTGGATGGGGTCTTGCTTCTGTCTTCCTGTCAAGGTCCGCCCTTTGTGGTGTGCACAGTGTATAAGTATGTAAAGTATACAGTAATATAAAGTATATGTAGCATTTAAATGTAAACTATGCAAAATATTGACAATATGAACAATATCAAAAATAAATACAGCAACTAAAGATAATGAAGTATGTAAAGAGCCTACACTACATATGGTATAGACAATGTATATATATATATATATATAGAATGAAACTATATATGCTATGAACGTTATTGATAATACATAATTTAGCATGTGTAATATATAATGTAAATTGCACAAATATATAGTACATAGGAGTGTCTCGTATAAAGTCTGAAGCACACAGGAGTTGAGGCTCCGAAGTGCTGCAAATAGCGTGTGAATGGGCAGTCTGGGGGCTGGTCTGGGAAACCTGTACCACGTGGGGGGACCAGCAACACGGGACACGGTACCATATCTACATCTATTATGAATATGTATACATGTACATTTATTGTATGTATATTGAATACATGTTGTATGCACTATATGCATCTATACAATATTCTCTTTATATAAATAAACATATTTCTATATACAAACATTCACAGAAAAAACTTTTTTTGTTAAACCGGTCTGGTCTAGGACGCTTGTGCCTCTTCGATTGGGTGAAATCAAATCGGCTACCGGACATTCTCCGAAGATATGTGCTACAACTCTCTCTGTGGGTGATTCTCCCGATCTTTCTTCATTGAGCCCTGACTGTTAGTTTGTAGAGGTAACATAAACTCTCCCCCAAATATCAAATATTCACCGATAAGGCACCCCAAAAAAGAACAAATCCAAAAGTAGGAGATAACACCAGGGAGGAGGGACGGTTTTTGAAACCATCACACGAATCGCAGTGCGATGGAATGCTCACATTTCTTCTTCAGAGAGGCATTCATTAACGCCCTGCAGCTCATGCCTCGCACGTCTGGGTGAGGAACTGTTGTCAAATCAAACTGGAAGGCCAACTGACATATATTTGACGCCACAAGGGCCGGAACGTCCCGAATTTTGAAGGGAACCGCAAGGTGATCCAGTTGCAGTAATATGTTGAAAGCCCTGTTTTAAGTAGGGGAAGTAGGGCTAGTCCAGTTATAACAGGGGTTAGAATCTACTTACTAACTGGGGCGAACCACCTACCAAATAACATCTTCAACGTCTTAGCCAAGGCGCTGATGTTTCTGAACTGGCTTTACCTAGGGCTGTGCTGCGAATGGCTGAAACATGCGGAAACCACAAAATTGTGTGGTTTGTACACGCGAACCCCCTGGTTATACCATATCTCAACCAGTAGCTAGGTGTCTGAAGAATAACGGATCCATTCCAAGAATATTGGCCAACTGCATGCAAAAAAAAACATTGATAACACATAGTCCATTGTCAAAAGTCCCGGTCACCAGCAAAAAGCACCAGCATCATCCTCATTTTAATCCTTGTCATTCCTGGTTCATTGAATTGTAGTATAATCCTTCTCCTCCTACTCATGTGTTATATATGAATGGACACAGCATCTACTAAAACACAAAATCGTGACACCGGAAGTGCATGGAATTCTGTCAAGATGCTGCTAGGATACATGATACATGCCCGAGCTTCGGCACTCAGAAATGTTTACACTTGGATGCAGCAAACTAGCGTAATAAGCGGACAGGAGAAAACTTCACAATGATGATCAAAATACATTGTCATAAATAAATGAAATCAATATACATACTGTAAAGATCAAAAAATGTAAATGTATAAATACGAAAACATATATACACATGTGTATATCACACATGAATCGTAGTACCCACACATGTATTCACATGTACATATATACATAAACGCAAAAAACACATCTTTGCATTTTGTAGTTTAAAGTTGTATATATATATATAGTACCCACACTTGTATTTACATATACATATACTTGTTATATATATATATATCTACACACACATATATATATATATATACATATACATATACATATACACATACATGTGCATGTACATGTACATGTACATGTACATGTACATGTACATACAACAACAACAACAACTACTACTACTACTACGACGACTACGACGACTACTACTACGATTACGACGACTACTACTATGATGACTACTACGACAAACGACTACTACGACGACTACGACTACTACTACGACTACGACTACGACAACAAGAACTACAACTACGACTACAACAGCTACAACTACAACTACACCTATAACCACAACAGCAGCAATGACTACAGCCACAACTACACTCCACCGTACACGACAACTCCAACTTCAACTCCACATCCAACTACAACTACAACGTCTACACTACACGGCAACTACAACTACAACTACCACTACCACTAAAACTGCAACTACAACTCCACTACTCTACTCTATATACACTACTCTACACTACACTCCACTTCAGCACACCCCACTACACTACCACTAATGTTGAGCTAGGATTAGAAAAAACAAATTAATCATACCCATTCTGTCCTCCGATTTTGGGACAATACTAAAGTCAATTAGGTGCCGTTTTCCCCCCTAATAACAGTTTCCGGCCCCCTAATTTATCATACCCCTCCGGGGTCCGTTGACCTTGTTGACCTATAGGGCGGGGGCTATTAGTCCGGGGTCAACACATTACACTACGACTACATCTACAAGTACTACAGCTACAACCACAACATTACAACTACAACTGCGACAACGTCAACTACAGCTACAATTACACTACAATTTGAACTAAAGCTACAACTACGTTACACGACACTACACTACACTTTGAGGTGACAACTGCAACCACACCAAAAACACAACTCCAACCAGCTTTCTGTCCATCAGCGGATTCGCTCTGCCATCCATGCATCACAACAACTCACCTCTCCTATAGTTTCCTATCTTTGAAACTTCCGCCGCCGCCTTGTGCGGTACTACTGGTATATAGTTTCAAAAAAACTATCTATCTTTCTATCTATCTATCTTCCTATCTATCTATATATGAATATTTCACATGAATAGTATTACCTACATGTATTTATATACATATGTATATATATAGTATTACAAGATATAAACAAGGAAACATTACTACATGTATGTAACAATGCAACATCATTTATTTCTTCACAGCATGTGCAATTGTACCGCCAGACATGGCTTCACCTGGCTTCACTTTCGTTTGTGGTAGGTGGAAATGGCATCGGACAATTTACCGCATTCAATCTTTCCCAATGAGTATGGTTCCTTAGCCTCAAGAGAACATGGCGAGTTATGGACAATGACTGAACATGACCCATTTCGATTGACGGCTCATCTATTCAACAGTGTGGTTGTCCGCTATGTTAAATCACCAGTGGGCAAATCCGGTCAATCCCATCCCACTTACCAAGATGCCAATCTCAGGCCATGCAGTTGCAAGCACAACTTCGCGGCACTGTCCGTGTTAGGTGGCTGAAAGGTAGAGACCTCCACGTGTCGGACTTCTACACACCTGCACAGCACATGGAAACCCAACTGCCCTCCGGTCATTTAACATAGAATTTGCCGAATAGGGGGTTGGAAGATATGTTTCAACTAAAAACTATTGTGGTATATCTTTTAGACGGCAAAAAAATCAAAAAGAAAGGTCTTGACTATCGACCTTCTCCAGCCTTTTCCCAGAAAAAGGCTAAACCTGCAAACACAATGTACCTGACAATGCAAACATTCAGAATGCAAGCAGCAGTGTCTGTATAGCCAGCGGGAACCTAACGCACACTTGAAAACGTATACTGGTCTACTCGGACCCTGAAAAAATCTATCAAGATAAAGACTTGACATTTAAATAAAGACAATACACACACATCCAGTTTAAAACCTGAAAATTCTTTGAAGTCGTACAGCGGTATGTAGCACATACCTGGAGAGTGAAGGTTCTTTCATGGAATTCACAGCCGGTAGGCCCCATCCGAAGGCCCATTTTGGCGGCTTAAACGGGGATCTAAAGATCCGATCCTTAAAGAGTGCCATACTTGGCCATGCATGAGGGGTCATCGTCAGTTTGTTTGTTGTTGTTGTTGTTGTTTTTTTAAGGGCTATATATATATATATAAATCCATATCTGATAACAAGCATATCTTAAACCAGCTCTGTGAGAGTAAAACCAGATATACTATGATACTTCAACAGTGTATAACTTGTCTGTTTATGTTTTATTTTGTGAAGGTCCATCATGTTCAACTCACCGAAGTGCGCGGAACCATCCAGTGCCTCTTGCAATCATCCTGCAATCTCAACCTGGGGCCGCGCCAGCCAATAAACTTATTCCTTTGTTTCTTTCTTGGAAACCAAAGGAAACTAAAGGAAAAACATAGAATCCACCCAGCCCAAACCAAAGGAAATCAAAGGATAGCAAAGGAAAAATTAGATAATCTAAGAACTGATTTTATCATATTTTAGTTCGTTCCTTTGTGTTCTTGTTGTTTCTGTTGGTTTCCACCCACAATCAAAAGCCATATTTTGGTGCAAAACCCATTCGTTGGACTGGAAAGGTTGACACTGTTAGCTTTTGGCCCATACCTTGGTGGAAACGTGGAACGCCTGTTACAAAAAACGCACTTGTACTAATAGGGGAAAAAACACATGAAAACCCAAAGGTTTTCAAAGGACAGGATATGGTGATCAAAGGAGAACATCGGATCATCTAAGGTAGCCCTGCTGTGAAGAATGCATGTTCCAGTGATGTTACTAAAGGGTTTCTATGAAGTTTAAAGAGCACACCCGCAGCAAAAACACATCACATACGGATCCTAGATTGTTGTTTTAGAAGTGGTTTGTTGATTTAATTGTTCCTTCAATTCAACCCTGCTGGGAAGTTCTCCAGCGCCTCCCACAGTTCAATCCAACCTTAAAAACAAATTGATTTGGGACCTTTGGGGGATCTTGGGGCAACCAGAAATCATACACGTTCTGGCCCCACGATCACAAAATTGGAATCAAAAGGAACAGTCGGACGATATAAAGCGCATAAACCATCATAAACCTCTGGACTCTGGAGTTTTCCGATGCCAACTTTGATTACATCAGGGTATATCGCCGGATGACCGGATGCCATCCCGAAGAGACACCATCAAGGGTCACCCCATGAGTTGCTACGACGATTTAGACATCAGCAAACATAACAAGGACACCAATCAGTTTTTTCTGTGTCTGGTTTTAGTTCCCCGTGCGAAATCATGTCGTAAGTTGCGGCTTTACGGATCCCAATCCCCCAATTATACACCATATGTACCTTATTTGAGTGATTATCAGCCACGCTGCCCTTTGGGCCCTTGGCGCTTGCTGCTAACTACCTACGGGCTTTGGTTGCTGCATCTTCACTTCAAGCCACGCTTGACAGGAACCCCTGCACACATGCAGGATAGATACACAACGAACATACACTGCTTTCGAAAACGGTACTCACATCACCCTGACAATCATGTTGAAACCATTTCCATCCATTTCCGTGATTTTCCGGGACTAGTTGCAGAAATTTACCTTCCAACCAGAGTTTCATCCTTGCAAAGCCCAACCTCTCATTTCAGCCGCACCCCAAGTAAGATCAATAAACGCTTGATCTGGGCAAATCAAACCAAAGTACATCTTCCCAAACATCATTTGCTGAGCCCTTTGGGAATGATTCACACTAGTCGAACCAAATATTCATATGTAGATAAAAGATAATACTAATTCATTTTATGTGCAACTAGTTTACCAATGCGGTTGAAACCATGTCCAAACCCAAACTGGACATCAACCATTTATCTTTGATGAGGTCACCTCCGCATAATTCCTGATTGAATCATACTGACAAACCAATATATATATATATATATCTCCCCCCAAGGGGTCAGACCCCGACATTTGTAGCTACAAACCGCGGGGTCTTGCAAAAAGCCTACAAAATGAATGGATGCAAGCAAACAAACTCCAAAATGGTAGGGCTTTGTGCATCAACCAGCTCTTTGCAGCACCCCTACATTTTGTAGGGAGGTATCTTTTTCCCAGACGTTTGATTTCTATCTTTTTCTGAGTATGAGTCTTGCTTGCATGCTTGGACCCTGATCCCCAAAAAAGGCATATTTCCCTGCGTTTTTCTCAATTGTCTTTAAGGAGCAACCCACCCTTTTTGCAAGGAACTGGGCTCAGTGACATTTGTGGCCTGTGTTTTTTCAATGTGGACAAAAAGTGAAGCGTTCATACCCCTTCTATCCGGGTTCAAATTGCCGGGGTGCACCTGTGCAACCGTTTTATAGCTACGATTCTTGGTGCGCCCATCTTTGAACTACAAAACCATGTTCACAACCCAAAAATGGCCTCTACAAAATGCAATGGCTTCGCCTGGCTTCTTGCAACAAATAAAAACGCTTTTTGTAGTAGCATCATTTTTGATCCCTTCAAAGACAGAAATGCTTTTTGTAGTGGTCCTTTTGGGGTACAAAATTCATAACCAAAAACGCACGCCCTCATTTTATAGCTCTTGACCGTTGGTTGATGGAGTTTCTTCTCCCTTTTCAATCCCGGTGTGCTTTCCAGGGGTGAAATTGTGCTGAGCACTTTGCAGATAAAGGACCAAGAACCAGCCTCATTGCTATAAAAGAACACCTTGGCCTACATGGGAAATGACTACAACTTGCAGAATTCAGCCACTACAAAAAAACACCAAAATCGAACGTCACGGGAGGACATGAGGCCTAACATGAGTTTTGGATGATCTGGGGATCTCCCCGCAGACTCTTCTACAAAAATGCTACACAGATCTATGATAGCCAAAACAAAGTGAGGTTCACTAGCTATCCCCGTGTGTTTTTTTGGGGTCAACTTGTGCCAAGATGACATCATGCCTGGTTGAACGAAAGTCTGAGCATGGATTCTTTGAACTTGGGTGAAATTCAACTATCGGACAAAAAAGAGCACAAACCTAGTAGATTTGTAAACACTTAGCTTGTAATCACCTAAAACAGTCAAAGCACCGCTCAGATTGTTTTTAACCATGATTGTCAAAGCTACAGAGCAACATAAAGGACCCAAAATGTACAGCTCAAATTTAGATGATTGATTCAGAACAAATGTGTCCCACACGGTTTCGCTTTAAATTATCTACAGACATGAACAGTGTTTTTCAAACTTTTTTGGGGGTCGCCTGGGGGGGACTCAATAGGTCCTACAAAACGCTTGTGCACGCGTGTTCTACTACAAAATGCAATGCGCATGACAAAGGTTATCCGGGAAACAAGGAGACCTGCCCTAGAAGGATCAAAGCAAAGCTGGCTGCTTCAAGGGGGGTTCCAAGAATCACCCTCTACAAGATGCCAATCACACGTTGAATCTCACTGTGTGGTTGAAAGGAACTGCATGGATTCTTTGAACTTGGGTGAAATTCGACTATTGGACTAACAAGAGCACGAGCCTAGTAGAGTTGGACACACATGATTGTAATCTCAATTCTAAGGTGAGGCAAAAGCATTGCTCAGAGATACTTCTACCATTCAGAGCTACGGAGCAACAAAAAGGATCTAAAACGTACAAGTTGAATTTCACATGATTTATTTAAAAACAAAATCTGTTCCCCTCCATTTTTCCTCTTACAAGTTCCTAGATTTAAACAAATGTCTTTAACGTAAAAAAAAAACATGCTATCAAAATATATGGTTTTGTCGCAAACCAGCAAGCACATGTTGACCCTTTTTGCAATGGCAATACTAAAAGGGATCGAATCACGCTAGCATTTCATAACTTCACTACATTAAAAAAAAACAGCGTTCCATCCAAAGCGCCCCTAAAAAGCGCTACAAAATGCCACTTGGTTTTTCAAAGCAATTGCCAAACAATTCACTAAAAAGTGCTACTTGGGCTTGCAAGATAGAGGCACAAAAAAACAAAAAAGTGCTAAAAGGAAACTCATGTTGGTTTTATGAATGAAATTCATGCCTATCCACAAAATGCTGACAGGCTTCTGCTACAAACTCCATTTCCTGACACCAGTCTGCATCACAATACCCTAATACTGCAAAATGGTATCCCCAGGAAAGTTGTTCATCAAAACTTCAATGTCCTATAAAATGTCATGCGCAACTACACGTTTTTTAATGTTAAGAACCCAGGGACCCCTACAAAATGCATAGCTCCAAATGTTTATATACTCAAAAAAAAACTGTTCCTACAAAATGCTATTCCCAACCACATGTTTTACTATAAAACAAGCTTGTTTTGCAGTTTTATAGCTTTCACAGGTGCATCCTTTCTGTAGTGGAAATTTCTTCCCGGATCCCCTTCTTCTTTTGTCCAAGATTTGTGTTGGAAATCCGGGCCGGCTCGGACAAGTGGCATGGCGTTGCATTTTGAGTTCTTAGTAGTTGCAACTCTGCTGCTGCTTATATTTGGGCTCACTATGGTTCACTGATATTTGCCGCCTTTTTTTAACAATGTAGACAACGAGTGAAGCGTTCATACCCGCCCATTTCGCCCAAGAGCTGTGATTGGAAAGCTAGGCTAACTCGGACAAGCGTATGAACTGTTTGTCTACATAGTAAAAAAAAGGCGGCAAATATCAGTGAGCCATGGTCATCCTATTTCCTCACAAAAAGGATGGGTTGCTCCTTACAGACAGCTGAGGGCTGAGTGAGAAGAACGCAGGGAAATGGCAAAGCAGCACCTAAACAAAACCGTGCCATTTTGTATGGAGAAATCATGAGAAATCTTTACTTGTCCATCCCCCTTGAAATTCACCCGAAAGAGTCAGGGCCCACTTCTTATAGCTATAATCTGGCCCTTGCAAAAAAAAATAAACCTACAGGATGAATGGGTGCAAGTAAAAAATAACGATACAAAATGGGACTGTTTTTGTTCATCAACCAACTTTTGCTCCACTTGACATGTTGTAGGAAGGTATATTTCGCCCAGATTGTTGATTTCTCTCTTATTCCGAATATGAGCCTTCCCTGCATGCTCGGACCCTGTGGCCCAAAAAAGGCATCATGTTGTAGGTCTCCCTGCGTTTTCCTCATTCAGCCCTCGATTGTCTGTCTTTAAGGAGCAACCCATCCTTTTTGTAAGGAAGTGGGCTCACTATGGCTCACTGATATTTGCTGCCTTTTTTACAATGTAGACAGACAAAGAGTGAAGCGCTCATACCCACCCATTTTGCCCAAAAGCTGTTTCGGAAAGCTAGGCTAACTCGGACAAGTGTATGAACGCTTCACACTTTGTCTACATTGTAAAAAAAAGGCGGCAAATATCAGTGAGCCATAGTGAGCCCATTTCCTTACAAAAAGGATGGGTTGCTCCTTCAAAACAATTGAAGGCTGAGCGGAAAATAACGCAGGGAAATAGCAGAGCAGCAGGTTCTTACAAAATGATGCCTTTTTTGGGCCACATGGTCCAGGCATGCAAGCAAGGCTCATATTCGGAATCAGAGAGAAATCAGAAATCTGGGCAAAACATACCTCCCTTCAAAATGATGTGCAGTTTGAGCTTTTTCCCAAAACTTTGCCATTTTGTATGGATATTTTTTTACCCGCCCCTACTCATTCTATAGGCTTTTGGCAAACCTCCCAGGTTTATACCTATCCAAGAAGGGTGGTCTGACCCCTTGGGGTGAATTTCAAGACCTTTCAAGGGGGATACTAGTAAGATCATGTAAGACCTCAAATCATTCGCCATGCCACTAGTCCGAATCAGCCTTGCTTTCCAACACAACTCTTGGGCAAAAAGATGCACGTTGCCTCACCCATCCTCATTCTACACATTGGGCTATTGAAACGTTTCCCATACAAAATGGCAGGGACTCAGGTTCCATGTGTTCCCCCAACTGCTGTGCACCTGCTCACATGGACTTTCATGATCTGTCATGCTGCCATGAGAACCCTAGCATTTTGTAGCCCAGCCATCTATTTCCCAAGTTTTGGTCGACACGGCTTCCCGCACTCATCGCTGTATCGATCTTTGATCCTACTCCATCTTACATTGTTGAGCCTGGGTATGACAGGTGCCAAGCCACTAAGTTCTAAGAGCAGGCCGCCACAGATTTTTATGGCGCCCCGAAACCCGAACAAATTCCAAAATGGAACTGCCCATGGACCCAAGTGGAAATTGGGGAGAGCAGGACACGTTCTTTGAAGGTCTGAATGGGCAAAATGCAAAATGCTCAAAAGAGACAACAGCTCAAATCTACCAAGAACAGCACAAATTTCCTACAAAATGACAATTGAAATCAAAAAAGGAATTCCTTACACAATGAATGGCCCCAACCCAGCCAAGTTTTCAAATTGCATTTTGAAATTGCTATATGATAGTGATTTTATGCGTAATTAAATCATCTATTTTATTGCTCTTACAATATGGCAAGGTGCAGGCAGGCTCCCTACAACATAGCCTCCGAAATGGGCCTTGAGCCCCTTCAAATTAGCACATGCTACAAAATGGCTGCTTCTTGAAAGTGATTTCCCACAAAATAACCCTAGAAATCGGGCTTATATGGGCCTGGAGGCCAGCCATTTCATAGATAAATTTCAATGGGGATCTAGCTATCTATCTAACTATCTATCTAGCTATCTAGCTATCTATTTATATCTATCTGTCTATCTATCTATCCATCCATCCATCCATCCATCTATATTTTATAAATATAATACATCTTACACATAATATTTGGTAAATGCCCAGGTCTGTGGCTCAACGGCTACATACTTCATATCTTCACTGTATTAACTTCCCTAGTGATAACGTATTACCACTGTAGATTTATACGCATTCTATAGCCCAATCATGCTCAATCTATATCGATTTTAACGGTTAAACATAGTTAAACTCCCGACCTCGAAGGTTTCCCCACCGCACCCACCATATGCAACTTGCCACAGGGACCTCATGTTCAGCAGCTCTCGGTAGCCGGATCCCTCTGCACGGGCTGCGAAGCTGACCAACTGGCTTCGGATGGTGCCCCAATCGGTGGGTTGCACTAGGCCTCAGGAAGTTTGATGGTTTGTTGGAATTTTGGTAGGTTGAGTACTCGAGCGATCGATCGATCGATCTATCTGTCTATCTATCTAACTATCTATCTGTCTGTCTATCTATCTTTCTTTCTATCTATCAATCTATGTTTCTATCATTGTCTATCTATCTATCTTTCTATCTATCCATCTATCTATCTATCTATCTATCTACCTATCTACCTATGTACGTGGGCGTGGTATATAAATAACATTATATAATTATAACTATATATATATATGTAATATAGTATATATATATATATGTGCGTTTTGTTTTTCAAGAAAGCTATAACCTCAACAAAACAAGCAGGCCACAAAACTGATTAAAACTGTGGGGAAGGGATGGGTTGTCTTTCAAGATTAACCCAGCGTTGCAATTCAACCGCAGTGACTGTTCCAAATTCAAGGCTAAGGGAGACAATTGGAAGACCACGTCTGCAAGACAAGCGCGAGACAACTGGGGACAAGTACAGGAGACAACATCTGAAGACAACATTGGGTGACAAATGGCAGGGATTTGAAAACAATACGGTAAGTAATGGTAAGATAAATTCTGGGAGACAGCTGGGAATTGTGAAATAAAATTGGGAGACAATTCGGAGACCGCATCTGGGAAACATGTGGGAGACAACGGGGAAACAACCGGGAGACAATGTGGAGACCAGCCACGGTTCCGTGACAAGTGGACAACAACTAGACAACAAGTGGAGAAACCTTGGAGGCAACTGGGGGACAACATCTGGGAAACCACATCGGGGAGACATCTGCGAGACAACTCGGTGACAAGTGGAAGACGTTTGGAGACCAGAGACCACTGGGTGGCAAGTGGAAAACAATTTAGAGACCATTGGAAGACATGCGTGGGGAAGGGGGGGAGCAGACGGGCCGATCCCTGCTTTGGAAGTTGAATAAGTGGAAAACACAGTGGGAAGCGCGGTGGGAGACAAGGTGGGAGACACAATATGGGAAACAATGCGGGAGACAAAGTCGAGCAAACACAGTGGGGGACAAGCTGTGAGACAAACGTTTCAGGTGGGAGGCACAATGGAAGACAAGCGGGGTGACAAAGTGGGAAACAGAGTGGGAAAGAAGGTGGGAAAGAAGGTGGGAGACACAGTGGGAGGCACAGTAGGAGACAACTGGGAGACAAGGTGGGACACAACGTGGCAAACAAGGTTTCAAGGTTCCAGACAAAGTGTCAGACACAGTGGAAAACAAGGTAGAAGACAGAGTTGGCAACACAATGGGAAACAAGGTGGTGGACACAGTGGGACACAAGCTTGGAGACAAGGTGCAGGCAAAGCAAGCTATCATCCAAGGATCCAGGCAATCCCAAAACGTTAGGCAACAAAGCGTGAAATCCAATCAAAAATCTGGGATGGTCAGGGAGAACAACTGCAGAAAACCTGCAATTCTCCATCCCAAGCCCCAATCAGTTTCTAACATTATCCTTTACCCTACCCTCTGGTAATCAAACATGGCTTGCAGGAAAATCCAACATTTATAGGCAAACAAGGTTTCAGAAACACGGTGGGAGACAACGAGGAAGACATAGGTGGAAAAAAGGTAGCCCAGGTAGAGGACAAAGTGGGGAACACAGTGGGAAACAAGGAGGGGGACACAGTGGGAGACAAAGTGGAGGAGACACAGTAGGGGACAAGCCGGGAGACAAGGAGGGAAACAAGGTGGGAAACATGTGGCAGAAAAGCTTCCACGGTTCCAGGTGGGAGACACAGTGGAAGAGAAGCTGGGTGACAAAGTGGGAAACAGAGTGGGAAAGAAGGTGGGAAAGAAGGTGGGAGACACAGTAGGAGACAACTGGGAGACAAGGTGGCAAACAAGGTTTCAAGGTTCCAGGTGGGAGAGGTGGTGGGGGAGAAAGTGGGAGACACAAGGGAAAACCAGGTGAGAGATAAGAAGTAGGAGACACAGTGGCAGACAATGTGGCAAGGTTCCAAGGTTCCAATGTTCTAGGTGGGTGACAAATGGGAAACACAGTGGGAAACACAGTGGGAGATAAGGTTCCAAGGTTCCCAGAACTCTGCGCATACATGCCAGAGGAGGGAGAAGTCGCGATACCACCTCCTGCTTCTAGAGATTGAAAAATATTGAAACCCAACAGCTTTCTGCTGTTCGGAATTTCGGAGAAACGCGGTCTGAAAAATGTCCCGGAGAAGTCTTTTAGATAAACACATGGCTGTCTGAGTTTTGATTGGCACACAGTTTGATTTAACCGGTTCAAAACCCTCGCCCCAACGACGCATGAAGGACCTGATGTTCCCAGAACCTCTAAGGTGTTGACCTTGGCTATGAACAAATCCTGCTGATGGTTGACCCATGCTTTCTCCCATCAACAAATGAAGATTTTCATTTATGACAATTCACAATTCCCCCATTCATTGGGTTTATTACCTTCTGAAGGCTGTCCAATGAGCATGTGGCTCTACGCTTCTCTATGTCATGCGTGCCATTGGTTGCATCACAGCTTGAATAATTTTCAGGTCGCTGAGCGGTTGCTGGTTTAATTAGTCACTGGGGACAATCATAGCTTTTTTTCACACCACCAGCCAGTTTAAATGTACGCCCTTGTTTGCTCTTGACAACGTCTCCCTCGTGCTTTTTGTTCTACTTCCACCTCTGCTAGTTTTCTCCACTTTTTCTGTCATACTACCAGTACCGCCTATATACATTGCAGTAATTGTATCTCCCGCACCTTTCACGGGTTGTTTCGATGGATCACCAACCCCCCCCCCACAAAACATATTTACATTCCAAGTGCCTGTACAGTAGCATTGTCCATAAAACCCATAAATGTCCAACCCCTGTGAAATCCAAGGACCCTTTGATCCCTGAAAACTTTTTCACCATTCTTTTTCTCAGCCACCAAACAAAAGGAAAACCAAGGGACGTCGCAAACTGGGCATCGTGGAGTCGATCTCTTGGCTGTGCCGCTGGAAACTGAGATGCGCCTGTTCCACGTCCAACAACGGTGACGTCGGATCCACCTAAAATTGGCAGGGCGGCTGGGAAGAGAAGGAGGCTTTCTCAGGCAATAAACTTCAATTAAACTGCAACTCTGATATTTTCTGGGGTGATTTATTTATGGTTATGGCTTGTGATTTTTTACCATGCTCTGTTACAGTAACACGATTTTACGCACGATTTGGTGCATTGGCGCACGAAGATTGCAGAAACAACGCGATATGGTGCACGAAAAAACGCAGAAAAAAACAAGATATGGCGCACGGAAAAACACACACAAAAAAAAACACGATATGGCGCACGAATAAACGCAGAAAAAAATATAGCGCACGGGAAAAACACACACACAAAAAAAAAAAACGATATGGTGCACGAAAAAACGCAGAAACAAACACGATATAGTGCGTGAAAAACAGAAAAAAAACACGATTTGGCGCACGAAGAAATAAACGAAACATGGCATGGGTGCGTGCAAAGATGTGTTTTTTCTGATGAAAAAATGTTGCTATATATTGAAGTTTTTCTTTGGAAAAAAGCAAAAAAAACACGATTTGAAGCACCATGTGGAGCACGATGGATTTAGATATTTTTCTATGCCCTTGGCGCAAGCAAAGAAAAAATGCCGCGCTGAGACAAGAAAAGCGAACATCTTGAAACTGTCATGTGTGATGTGTCACGACCAGAAATTGCTACAGTTGAGCTGGATGGACGGGCTTTGTCGCCCAAAATTTTCCTACGTGTTCCCAAACTGCGTAATCCTTTTTTGAAAAAAAGTGATTTCAAGCTGCACCAGTTGGGGGGTCTGTTTGGTAAGAAAACCTTTTACTGACTGTTACAGAGCAAGGAAAAGCCTCAAGTTATGGTAGTTTATGACATAGTTTATGGTGGCTTTTGGAAGCTCATAAGCTTGTCCTCACTGAGAAAATGCATCTTTTGATGTTCTTTGTTTTGTGTGACCGCGGTGAGCAATTGTGATTTGGATTGTTGAGCTAAAGATCACAAGACTTTTGGACCTGTGGTAAAGGGCTTACCAAGAACGGTGGCAAAGGATTTTGGGCCTCAATAGTTCTGATCACAGGTGCACTCATTTCTGGACAATATATTATAAGTATAAGGGAGGCTCCCCATGAGAATTAGATTTGGCTACTTGGACATAGAGTTTGGTAGTTGTTAGCAAACATCAAACATTCCAGTTTTCGCCTCCTTAATTCAACCCATTGTTGACGAAGAAGGTCAAAAAACCTTGGGCGAAGCCCCATTGGCACTCTTTGCGCCGTTAGGGCTGCTGGCGCCGCGCGCCCCCATGTGGGCAAATAGGGCGGTAGACTCCCGGTATAGACCCAAGTTTATAAATACGACAATTTTTTCCGAATGGGAATTTTGCAAACATGACCTTAATATCAGTTTGCAGCTGTAATTTCACAATAGGACTTTACCATATTCAGTCTATAATATATAAATGCTACCGGTAAAGGTGTTCAATCAGGTGCTCTTACAAGTCTCACTTTTGCCCCTTTGGGAATTCATATTAAAGTAGATCCTTTGGGATTGCACATTCTCATTAGTGTCTAGTGGTTTTGCAGTAGCGGCATTTAGATTCACTGTTGTCAACATTGAACAGTTGCTTTCGTCATGTTCCCAGAAAATGTAATGTTGCACCCTTGGTGGGTTTGCCATGGGAAAAATCTGAGCATCCCCACTAGCAAGGTCATCTCTTGCAAATCACTTGAAATCTGCAGCAACGAGTTCGCAGACACCTCAACAAAACCAGTGCTTGGGCCGCCGGACGTGGCGCCGCGGAAGACACATGGCACATACAATCGCTGGAATGATTAATGACCCTGGTTTCTGATGTTTCTGTGGTTGAGAACCGTTTCAAATTGTGGCCCTTCTCATCCCTATCCCTTATCCACGATATCTAAGTGTCAAAATTGCGGGTGCACCCTCGAAATTGGTGCTTTACTACCAAAAATTGCACTAATCTCGGTGAAACCGCCCAGGATTTCAAGGTGCCATGAAAACGACGATGCCTGAGACACTGTGGTGACGGAAGGTGCAAAACTCCTCAGCCAGGGAGGAGACTCCACTCATTTCCTCACCCTGGTTGATGAAGGGTGAATACCTTCAAAAAGGGACAACTTGCAAATAATAATGATCAAACGTACCCAATTAAACATTAACTTGTTAATCCCGTTGGATACACTAGTGTTCCCCGTCAACAAAAATGATTGATGTAAAACAATTAAATTACGTGGGATATGATACTCCTACATTCAACACCTTTATCTGTTCACCAATCACTGGTCGGTATCATGTTCTTGCTACACTTTACACACACACACGCACACACACACACCTATATCATAACTATATATATATATACATGTGTACGTATATCGGTGTGCGCGCGTTGGACCGAATCTCTCCTTGCTCCCGCGGTCCAGTACCAGTTGGCTTACCCGCTAATCTCAAATACTGTAGCCTTTCTCTGGCAAGTTGTATGCAAATTTTGATTTGTACAACCGCGATTCTACCCCATCTATAAAAACAAAACACAATAAATATACCTCAAAATCAACCTGCTCAACCGATGTTTACCCAGCGTATACCCATTCAACTAACGGCAAAATACAAAGCATAAATCTGCACCACGGAGGGAATCCCACCCACAATTTCCAACCGTTAGGTCGTTGTGATTTACCCAGAACAAACGGCGTCCATAGGGGGAAACAAATCCAACCCATTCAAAACCTATTATACCATAATAGCATAATTTTGGTGGATAAACTTATCCAAGAATCCTAGCTATTTCAGCGGGCAAACCTCGGGATTCGGTTTTGATTCATGGTTATCATGGTTGTTTGTAAAACCCCTCTATGGGTATGGCTCAAAACCTACTGCTCTGGTGTTCACAATCAGTTCTTAATGGTATAAATATATTGAAAAATGGTTAATGATTGGATAATAATATTTACCATGTCCATATCAATGGATTGGTTTGGGGAAAATCTTAACCGGAAACCATTGTTTTTCCATTGGCCATATGATGGTATTGAATAATTTTATCATTTTTTATCCATCACTAACAATTTTAAACATTTTAATTGTGAATAAACAGTTAAAAATTGGATAATCATGTTTAATAATAGGTAATGATGGGTTAATAATCGTTAATAAATGCTGTCATCTCCGTATAATTCCAAGACACTTTCCATCAAGCTCCGTGTGGCAGCTCGCTGTGTGTGCGTACGGGTGTTCATCGGCATCCTCTGTGCATATGACCTGGCTCGAGTGGCACCCTGGCTTTTGCAGCCACTGATACAATATGTAAATTAGATAATATGAAAACCATACACACTTATGTAGTAAAGCACGCGCATATATATATATATATATATATATATATCATGATTACACCATCCATCATTCACGAATCCATGGCGCTAGCAATTTTGCTGGTTCTAAGTTGGCTAATTCAAACCACCCTTCTCATTTTTCATCGATTTTGATCGTTAAATGATCTTTTTTGCCGCTGAAATCTGCACTGTTGGTGGTTAAGTCTCCATCCTCCAAACATCGCTGCCCCTTTGCCTCGGGCAAAGATCGTGTGTCGCAGTCTTCCCGCAGTGCAACCAGGTGATACGTTTCTTCGCCCAGCCTAATGTACAGGCCAAAGCAACAGCTAGGTCACCACTAAAACTTGCAATGCGACCTCAAAATGAACATATCATTTGGATCTTGTTGGATATTGTGGGACACTATGGGATTTGATGGGGTTTTAGTTTTTTGACTAGTTTTAATGAGGTTTGATGGGCTTTAATGGGTTATAAACCAATTTGTAACTGGCACCACCTTGCGGTTTGTTGTTGGAAAAGCAAACCGAAGAACTATTATCTGGTCGATTTTGGATCGTTCTTCCAGACAGAATGGAACTGGCCATAGGCCCCTTCAAGTTTCTTTTTTGACATGAACTAATTACCTAACGAGCATTGATCATCTCCGGTCGAATGGTGACTGCTGGTGATGGCTTCCAAGAACCGACACGGAATGGGACATTTACCAACCAACCGCTCATCAAGCATGAATCATCGTTGATACCTGACTACAGCAACAATCCCAACTTCAGACCCGTGACTGAAAAAGACAATGTTTGAGTTTGAGATTCAACCTCCCTAGATAAATCATGGAAACCATCCCCAAACAGCACAGGGGTGTCACCATCTAAGCCTAGCCTCTTTTGAAAAGGTTTGATGGCGGTTAAGTGGTTGGTGGTTTCAAGATGTTCCAACCACCTTGAAAAATTATCCTTGTCATTGGAAATAATTATCACATATCCACGGTGAATTCAAAAAACACAATTTGAAACCAATAGCGGTTAATGGAGGTTTCCCAAAACATCCAAGATTAGACCATTTAGATTCATTTAGCATTGAAACCAATGGTTTTCGGGATCCCCCATTTTAAGAAACCCTATTGGTACACCTTATCGGTACTCCTTCATGACACCTAGTGGGGGGTCAATTCCCGATCGGATCCGGTCGGGCCATATGGTCCACTGATGGTCCACTGATTGGCCCAGAGACTGGTGAGGTACATGAAAAAGGTCCACTCCAACTCGATAGCTGTTTGAACGCTTCCTTAGTAGCCATGGCGCTGGTGGGGGTCAGTGCCACGAAGGATCGGAGATTCAAAGGTAAGATGATGGCTATGTTAATGTTTTAATTATTTTCATTGGGGTTCAAGAGATTTCAAGAGGCCAATTGCGACCAATTCAATGGGGGTTGAATAGCTTCATGTACAACCATGGTTCAATGGCCCTATTAGCATCAAACATGGCTTGGTTTCCTGCATCGCCCCCAACTTACGGGTAGTCTTCCAACCCCCGGCTCATAGCCTACGGGTCCATCGATTTAGGGGATCGTATTATATGAAGACACGGCTCATGACAAGGGTGAACAAACGAACGGCATAATAAGTAAAAGTAAACAAATGGACCTGGAAATGGTGGGCTGCCTGGCATTCATGAAGACCGCTCATGTATGATGTCGGAATGTTGGGTTCTTAAAATGCAGGAATCTATCATGAATTACAAATGTTGATTTGATCAACCACAAGCAACCTCTATCTCTCCCTCTCTCTCCCTCTCTCTCCCTCTCTCTCCCTCCCTCTCTCTCTCTCTCTTTTTCGTTCTTTCTTTTTTTCTTTCTTTTGATTTTCCTCACTGGAGGGGCATGTGTGCACATATAACTATATACATTCACTCTCAGGCTCTCTGTGTAGATATATCTATTTACACATTTGGCCAGTGCATATATCAAGAAACAAATGAACGCACCATTTAAGTGATTAATAAACGAATATCGAAAGAACTAAAAGTGTTCGGACATGAACATATTTTGAAAGTTTACGGGCACCAATAAAATTACAGTAAAAAACAACATGAGAATGACAATCGCACGGTACTTTTGTCATCATTGTCATCCTCATTTTGCAGTCTGTTTTCCGAAATTTGGCATGGTCTATGATTGGTTTGTCATGTTTGTTGTGTAATTGTGTCTGTGTTTGTTACCACTTGTGTATACCCCAAACGGACATATTACACAATATCTACTATACTCTATATGCTGGATATATATTAAATAATTAAATATATATATAACTACCCCTCCCGGATAAATCAACTGTGTTATACATACACATGTTGGGTACACAGATGAACTCGTTACATGTAAGTTTGTCTTCCTGCAGTGACTCCGGGAAACTACATTTAAAAAAACAAATACAATGAAAAAGGAACATTATTCTAGAACAGGATGCAACCAATATGAGACAAACGAAGAAGAAAGCACGGTTATGAAACAAACAGGAGCCACAACAAGATTTATATAACCACCCCAAAAGGAGGATGAGAACTCACTTGAATGTGTTTCCCTGTTTCTGGGGCAACCAGGAATTGTAGCAAAAAGTGAGTACGGTAGCCCCCCGTAGTCTTGATGTCATCCTCAACATCCGTTCTAAAAGTTGGTCGGTGACCATAGAACAACATTACTGTTACAAATAATATTTATATATATATATATTAATATATTGAAGAAACATATATACGTATATATAACAGTGATATATAACATTGATATATAAAATTGATATATAACATTAATATATAATAGATTAAAATAAAATAAAAAAAATATAATATAATATAATATAGTATAATATAATATAAAAAAATATAATATAATATAATATGATATAATATAATATGATATAATATAGCAAAATAAAATATAATTTAAGACAATATAATATAATTGTTCTATAGCAAAGACAAAAATGCACAAATTTAATTTAATACAATTAAACACAAATTATATATGAAAAACAAAACATATTATAATTTGATGATAGATTAAAACACAACAAAATATAATAGAAACAACATAATATACTAAAATATATATAATATCAACCAAACAATGGTACAACAAAACAACCATCAACAAATACTAATACAATATAATAATATATAACATAATAAAATTGCGCGCACTTATGCCTATGCTTTGAGTATGCACAATACCCCTGGCAGTTCCTACCCACTCGGATTGTCTCAAAGCGCGTACCTTCCAAAATTCCCAATAGAAGAGGATGATACAAAATGCAAGAATAAACAGTAACACAGTTCTGCCAAAAAGTTCGGCCACAAAATGTGGGTTATGAAACGTGCGAACACCAAAGGCCTCCAAACACGCCCTTGTTTACAATATGCACATCTTTCGCTTGCCCTCCCCATATCTACGAACTATATATATATATATATCTATCCATCCCTCTCTCTCTCTCTCTCCCTCCCTCTCTCTCCCTCTCCCCCGCTCCATCGCCGTCCTAAGGGTTCAGCGAGAATATATTGAAGCCTGTCTCCTTAACCCCTCCTTAATCTGCCCAGCCACCACCAAATAGACACAGCCGATCAAGACCAAGCATCAGGGACACTCGCAGGCAGGGCGGCGCGCTTGAGTTGCTTGGCTCTGGTGCCAACATGAAACCTTGAAAACCGGAAGGCCGGGTTCAAAGGTGTGACCCCCAGATACGTTTTTGGTGACAATGGCTAGATACAAAGGTCAACTTACCAATTTTACCTCCTTGTGGCTATAGTTTACCTTCATGAAATCAAAGTGAAACTCATGATGTGGGAGAGAAGGCGGAGATTTACCAAAATGTTCAGACAAAACATGTGGTGAGAGAAACTGTATCATGTGGTTGGGAAACGCTTAGATACGCTTATTATTAGCCCGTTGGCTCCCCATGGCTAATACAGTACGGAATATGGATACCTTGACTCCGAACAGCTTGGGCCCTTGGGCTAGATCGCAAGAGAGACTTGCGCATGACAATAGTAAAAGGCATCTGGCATCTGATGATCTAACACGGACCAAATTTAGTATGCAATGTCCTTCGAATTAAAGCACTGTCCGTCGCTACTGTGCCATAGGAAGGCAATCCACACAATCTTGGAAACAGGAATGCTCAGTAGGTGAAAGGTTTGGCTGTGCCTGGTGGGAGACGAAATAGCGTCTTCTCAAGCGAGCTATCCTCCTCGTCAATCTCATTCACAACCAATTTCAGATTGCGCTGTCGAACCGCGATGTGTCGGCCGCATGATATGTTCACGCCATAGCAGTCATGGAGTCAGGGTGGTGGCCACGCGACCAACTTGACCATTGAGGTTGGGATCAGAGAGACCTGTCAGCTGCACTGACTATTCGAGCTGAAGCTCCCCTGGATTCCCAGGATAAGACCGTTCATTTGTAGTGTAAATACTTTGGCAAGTCAGTTGTGCCCCTAGGTCTGGAGGCAAAACTGGCAGAAGGATCCGCAGCACAACTTCCAGCAAGTAGGGCCATGTTACAGGCCCGAACAGCAACATGATGACCATCAGCCAACTTCACACCATAGCAATTGGAGGTTGAACATGGAGTGGTGACGACACCCACTTCTCCAATCCACTCATGCTGAGACCAGACAATATAGCAAACGTTGACCCCCTAGGCTCTTGTGATCTAGCCTTGCAACCATCGGTGGCGGCATCGCTTGTGACCCCGGTCCCGGGAAGCTCGCCATCAACGTCATCACATCCTGAACGCCAGGCATCACCGGACAGCACCAGATGCCAAGCATGCTGGGTTGCCCAGTAGCTTGTGGGTCACCTGGAAAAACACAGGAAAATGCTCCGCACAAGCTTGCCGCCAGTGATGCAGAGCAAGCTCAAGGTGGGTAGCTGCGGGTAGCCAGGAAACAACATCTTTCTCTCCAGTATGGGTCTTGCACTGGCATGACAACGTATGGTGAATCGACCCTTAAGGACCATGGGAATGTGTGAATCTAAGGGTCCGAACCACCGAATAGTAGTCAAACTGTCGTAAATTGAGTTACTGCTGATCGGGATTCTCATTCTGGTTGATGATGATCCCAATAAATCCAGGTACCTCCATCCGGAAAATCCACCATGTGTAGATTTTTCCGAGCGGGAAACCAATGGAATTCTATAGATGTTTGTATGTTTTCTGAAGGGTTAATCCCCTAGAATCACCATGTTGATAGATTTTGAAGGTGGAAACCCTAAAAATGATGATCTAATGAAATCATTTACCCATACCCCAAATACCCCCAAAATACACTAATCAACCAAGCTCTTGGCCGCTGCCCAACTCACCCAAATCGAAAGGTCAGGAAGCTTCGGAAACGCTCGCGTTCGTCCTGGCAGGATGACATCTGCTGACCCCTGGGCCCCTGGATGTAGAAAACTGGATCCAACCCAAGAATCCGAATGCAAATCATGTAAAACACCTTTGCACAACATTGCAAAACAAACTGTTACAACAGTAGTGTATATGCTTCCCTTGTTACGATACTATTGTAGACTGTGGATGGTGGAGTGTAGAGTGTACATTGTGGAGTTTAAAGTGTGAAGTGCAAATAATGGAGTGTGAAGAGGAGAGTGCAGAGTATGAACTCTAGAGTGTGGAGTGCAGAGTGTAGAGAGCGATCATGGAGTGAAAAGTGTAGTGCATGGAGTGTAGCGTACGGAGTGTAAAGCGTGGAGTGTAGGGTGTGAAGTGTGGAGCCTGGAGTGTGGAGTGTCTTTTGTGCCTATGACATCAAGAAGAAATCTACATCCCTAGCAGCTCTTCTCGAAATGGGCGAACTAATTACATGGACAGATTAAACCCTGACAAACACGCATAAACGCGCCATCAGTAAACCTGGATACATCTGGCAGATTCGGCATCTTAGCCAATTTCTCGAGCTCTAATCTATCACACTTTCATTCATTCCTTCTCCCACCAATAGATTTGTGATGGGATTGCAAAGGTTACTTACAATAAAGAGATTTGGGTTTTTCAGCAACCTACTAATGGATTAGTCTTTGAATGTTGATGCGGACTCCTATCGTTTCCCAAGCATGGATTAAATACACTATTGAAATTGGCACCCAGGTCCCCAATGGAAAGCGCCCATTGCCCTGTTGCTGCCTCCACTAAGAGTTCCTCGAAATTCTTATTTTCGAAGTCCCCTGCACCGGTCATCAGCAAGGTCCTGAACTAGGACTGGTAGTTCCCTGTACTTAGCTCTCTCTATAAATTGGTTTAAAAGTATAGGTTAACTAAGGTTTTTGGTGGATAGTATTGCTATATATATATATAAATATATATATAGCTATCTATCTAATCTATGTATACATATATATATACTATATATATATACTGACGGACTGAAACTTAGAATGCGCGCCATTTTTCCAAATTTCCCTTTTTCGTAAACTTAGAATGCAGCGCAGCCCCGGGCGGCGACCAGACAGTTAGAATGCTGACCCAAAGTGTTTAGATAAAGATAGATAAAGATATACTGAAATGACGGATGGGGCATCATGGAGCATTCTAACTGTCTGTAAACTACTCTCAGGAAAGGAGCGTAGCATTCGAAGTTTCAGTCCGTCGGTGTGTGTATATATACTGTACATATATTATAAAAGATAAATATATAGATAGGTAGCTTAAAAAAATGTGGCCTCAGGGAACCTCATTGGGTGCAAGGTACATGGTCCGGCACTAGCATATTCTAGCATGGATGGGTGGGTTTGCATCATCTTTTAAAAAAAACTTTCTATATACATACCAAGTATGTATGTTTCCAGAAAAACACCAGGGAACCTTGAGGGAACACATGAGTTGTGGGGTACAATTGTCTGCGCAACCAAGTATATATATATATATATTTCCCAACAATCAATGTTTTGAAGAAACTCATGGGTTTTAGGCATTCCTACCTCCCACATTCTAACTGCTTGTAAACCTATTTATATTCGATGTTGGTTTCGTGCTGTCGCCAAGATCTATATATCCACCAGAGATGTTTCCCCAAAAAATGAGGGTACGATTGGGTTGTGGGGTACCCCTGCCCTATACCTCCCACATTCTAATCGTCTACAAAACCACGTGTTTCCCAAAAATCACCACTGTTTTGAAGGAACACATGGCCTCCCACATTCTAACTGTCTGCAACACCAACTATGTCTCCAAAAAAAACTACTTTATTTTCAATGGAATGCGTGGGTTCGTATAATAATGCCCGAAAAATCTATCCACATGTATGTATGTATATGTTGTGGTAAACAACCTTTTTTATGGTGACTTGGAGGGTCTAGGATATATATATATATGTGTGTGTGTTTCTGCCTGGAAAAAATATACCCTTGGAGACATTCCAACTGTTGATTGCCGAATAGCTTCATCCTAGGTGAAAAAAGGCATTCTAGGTTCTGAAATGCTGGTAAAATGCAATTTTCCAGTTTTGCCGTTTAAAAAAACATATAAACATCTTTTCCAATCAGTGACAGTTACAGGCATTCCAGCTAGCGGCCCATCTAGGAGATAAAACAAAGGTATTTATCAATGATGGGGATCCTTTACTAAAGCCACAATTCTAACTGTCTGTTCAACACCATTAGTGGCTGGGTGTGTCCTCTTTTCCCAGAAGCCTATCTACCTCAGGTATGTGTCCAAAATCGCAATTTTTGTACGGAAACTCACTTTTTGTCAAGGTTACCGAATGGGGAAAGCGAGTAAAAGTGCCTTTGGGCTGCCTGTTGGTTCATTGAAACTTTTCATGGAATCTTTACCCAGACCTGCAAAATGCACAAAAAATAATGTGATATTCTCAAACAGGTACATTCATATACCCAGAATCAGAACCTCCAAATATCATGAAAATTTTCTAAAACTATGAAAATTATGTGGTAAACTACCTTTTTTATGGTGACTTGGAGGGTCTAGGATATATATGCGTTTCTGCCTGGAAAAAAACATATGCCCTTGGAGGCATTCTAACTGTTGATTGCCGAATAGCTTCATCTTAGGTGGGGGGGAGGCATTCAAAGTTCTGAAATGCTGGTAAAATGCAATTTTCCAGTTTTGCCGTTAAAAAAACATATAAACATCTTTTCCAATCAGTGACAGCTACAGGCATTCCAGCTAGCGGCCCATCTAGGAGATAAAACAAAGGTATTTATCAATGATGGGGATCCTTTACTAAAGCCACATTCTAACTGTCTGTTCAACACCATTAGTGGCTGGGTGTGTCCTCTTTTTCCAGAAGCCTATCTACCCCAGGTATGTGTCCAAAATCGCAATTTTTGTACGGGAAACTCACTTTTGTCAAGGTTATCGAATGGGGAAAGCGAGTAAAAGTGCCTTTGGGCTGCCCGTTGGTTCATTGAAACTTTTCATTGAATCTTTACCCAGACTTGCAAAATGCACACAAAATAATCTGATATTCTCAAACAGGTACATTCTTATACCCAGAGCCTCCAAATACCCTGAAAAGTTGCTAAAACTATGAAAATTATGTGGTAAACTACCTTTTTTATGGTGACTTGGAGGGTCTAGGATATATATGTGTTTCTGCCTGGAAAAAACATATGTCCTTGGAGGCATTCTAACTGTTGATTGCCGAATAGCTTCATCCTAGGTGGGGGGGGGCATTCTAGGTTCTGAAATGCTGGTAAAATGCAAATTTCCAGTTTTGCCGTTTAAAAAAAAAATATAAACATCTTTTCCAACCAGTGACAGTTACAGGCATTCCAGCTAGTGGCCCATCTAGGAGATAAAACAAAGGTATTTATCAATGATGGGGATCCTTTACTAAAGCCACATTCTAACTGTCTGTTCAACACCATTAGTGGCTGGGTGTGTCCTCTTTTCCCAGAAGCCTATCTACCCCAGGTATGTGTCCAAAATCGCAATTTTTTGTACGGGAAACTCACTTTTGTCAAGGTTATCGAATGGGGAAAGCGAGTAAAAGTACCCAGACCTGCAAAGTGCACAAAAAATAATGTGATATTCTCAAACAGGTACATTCTTATACCCAGAAACTCCAAATACCCTGAACAATTGCTAAAACTATGAAAATTATGTGGTGAACTACTTTTTTTAATGGTGACTTGGGGGGTCTAGGATATATATGTGTTTCTGCCTGGAAAAAATATACCCTTGGAGGCATTCTAACTGTTGATTGCCGAATTGCTTCATCCTAGGTGGGGGGGAGGCATTCAAAGATTTGAAATGCTGGTAAAATGCAATTTTCCAGTTTTGCCGTTTAAAAAAAACATAAACATCTTTTCCAATCAGTGACAGTTACAGGCATTCCGGCTAGCGGCCCATCTAGGAGATAAAACAAAGGTTATTTATCAATGATGGGGATCCTTTACTAAAGCTACATTCTCACTGTCTGTTCAACACCATTATTGGCTGGGTGTGTTCTCTTTTCCCAGAAGCCTATCTACCTCAGGTATGTGTCCAAAATCGCAATTTTTGTACCCGAAACTCACTTTTGTCAAGGTTATCGAATGGGGAAAGCGAGTAAAAGTGCCTTTGGGCTGCCTGTTGGTTCATTGAAATTTTTCATGGAATCCTTACGCAGACTGCAAAATGCACAAAAAAAAAATGTGATATTCTCAAACAGGTACATTCATATACCCAGAACTTCCAAATACCCTGAAAAATTGCCAAAACTATGAACATTATGTGGTAAACTACTTTTTTAATTGTGACTTCGAGGGTCTAGGAGCTATATGTGTTTCTGCCTGGAAAAAATATACCCTTGGAGGCATTCTAACTGTTGATTGCCGAATAGTTTCATCCTAGGTGGGGGGACGCATTCTAAGTTCCGAAATGCTGGTAAAATGCAATTTTTCAGTTTTGCACGTGTGGAGTGCCGCTTCCAAGTGCGCATTCTAAGTTTCAGTCCGTCAATATAATTATATATGTATATCTCTCTCTCTATTAGTCAACTATACATATCTACAGTATTCTGAGGTAATAATACCTGGATTTACATCGGGAAGGGGACCACATTGCACGACGAGAAATCACCAGCACGGCTGATCAAGAGTTCTCAGGTTTTTTTTCACGTGATGTCACGTGCTTCCATTCAACCAGGAAAGAAAATGCGCGAAACTTCGTATCAAATGACTACTGGGAGATCCTTGAGCGTGGTTCTTGGAGAATCATCCCAGTACTCCTGCCCCTCTCTCTATTCATTGCCTGCCATATCATCCTGGCATATACCCAATTCGCAACATGATGACCACTCACTTCCAATGACATGTCCATCCCAGTTGATCAAATCACCGTCTTGACTATTTCTTTCTAATTAGGTAAAAATTGTTGGTCTCATCTTTCATCGCCCGGCAGCCCCCTGATTTTGGCCAAAACACTGCAAGCAGCCTGCGACGGGGCCCGGGCTTTTTTCGGGCAATGCACGGGTCGGTTGAAATCGGCTGAAACCCATCCCAAAGGTGTAGACTGGGCATGTGCTATTGGTTTCATAGATAAGAATTGACCATTTATGATTTTCCCTAGTTATATTATAGTTTAAACAGACTGTAATCATCCCCATCTGGCATTTTTCATCATTTTTTAGCACCCGAATCTCGTGTCGGACACGGTTGAAACCAACAGAATGACAAAATCGATGGGGGGGAACGCCACAATTTCCAGACATGTGGAGAACTAACCAACACGAATGCGATGACTGAAAAATCAGACTCTTGTGCTTGTGGTGAAAAACCCAAAGCATAAACAAATAATTGGACATCGTATGAAAGCAACAAATGGTTATAGCCAGCTAATGACTGTTCAAGACCTTCAAAATCTTTGAAATTAATGGCTATATAATCACGCCAAGTTTCCACTCTGGTAACATGACCATGGACAATTTCCCACAGATAACCGTCTCATTAAAGCCTCCATATGGAGGAGATTTCCCAGCAAGGCGAACTGCAACAGTTCCGTGAGCGCCTGCTTTTCCCGAAATGCGCAGCTTGCTATCCAACAGCACCTCACCATCACAAACTCCCCGCAGTACCCTGCGCAGCAAGGCAGCAAGGCAGAGGTGACGTCCATGCTACTTATAAGACTGTTAATGAATGTGAATGACTAGCTCCGAGTTGCAACATGCAAGATCATCCGCATATAAATGCACAGTCCCGGTACTATCCATCTTTTTTGGCTGCTCAAATCTAAATCCCATCGAATCCTTTGTTTCTGGCCTTCAATCCCACAAAAAAAAGGAGAAGAACCCATATTTGTCACTCCAGGGTCCATTCGTTTTTTTGGGCCTTCGGAAACTGGTCACCATGGACTCGGATTTCAAGAGCACCGCAATGCGCGAACGTGAATTCAGCTCCACTAAGCCAGCGGCAAAGATGATGAAGGCTAAAACCTCTGGATCTGGGAGATGCGAACCATTGCCACACCCCACCAAATACACAGGGATCTCAAGCCACCGAAATGGGGTTTCATGGGGAATGTGCCAGCAACAAATGGTTGAAGAATGGACATATATGATTTACTGTACTGGAAATATAATGGAAATATATAATGGAAAATAAAGGAAATATAATCGGATATATATAATTTGTTCTTGCAGTGGCCCAGTTTGCTAAGGAAATCGATTCAGCTTTCGAGTGACTAGTGTAACTGTATCCTCTCAAATTGCTTCAAACCCCCTTAGGGACCATTTTAGAACCCAAAAATGGTTTCTAAAATGGAATCTACAAGGGGGGTCTTAGAACCCAATTTTTTGGCAGCTATTCCGTTTTGGGGTTCTAAAATGGGTTCTAAAATGGTATCTTCCACCCTTAAAAAAACATTAAAAATCATCTAAAAAATCCTTGTTGAAACCATCGCATTTCAGGAAAAAAACGATGAGGAAATCTGCGCCCCAAAAAAATAGATCAACATGAGGCGAATCAAAAAAACAAACGCTGCAAAGAGCACTCCATGATACTCCACAACATTTTGCAGTGGGTGGCGGCCACAGATGGTCGTATCATTTACTACCTATGGAGCCAAGTTTTTGCCCGCGCTCTTTGCTTCCTCTCTTGCCAAACCACTAAGGTACACCCGAACCCAAATGCTTTCAGAATGTCCCCTAGATCACCCCTTTTCAAACGAATTTAGTTTTGGACTCGTTCCATTTCCCGTGCGACTGTTTGTATAATTTTATGCAGACATGTCCAACCAGATAAATTTTCAATAAAACAGCAAACTCCTACATGCAGCTTTTTCAAGACAATAGTGTTTTTGCGTCAAAGGGGAAATCAGCAAGCAGCTGTGTGTCGAACTACAGTTGTCGCAGCTGTCACTTTAAAAGAATGTAAGTTTGCCTACCTTCATCAGGACACCACTAACTGGACACTTGTTCTTTTGGGATATTTGGGGGGGGCTGGGCAGCTATGGCACAGAGATGTCACCCTAGACAATGCACCTTGAGGATTTATCTTTGGGAAGGGTTCTGGAATGGTTTCCTGCTTGGCCAAACGTGTGAAATACCAGCTACTGCAAGAGGAACCCGTTTTAGACCATTGTATGCTTAGATAACTTACATCTGAGCATTTGTTGCACAGGCACTGGTCTACTTGTACAAGAACAAAAGATGGCAGAAACAGTTTTTAACTAACTTGATTATCACTGAAATTCATTGGCATTGGGTTGTACCTGCCTACCTACCCCTGTAGGTATTTATCTTTGGGAAGGGTTCTGGAATGGTTTCCTGCTTGGCCAAACGTGTGAAATACTAGCTACTGCAAGGGGAAACCATTTTAGAACTGTTGTATGCTTAGATAGCTTAGATAGCTTAGATATGTTCATTTGTTGCACAGGCATTCGTCTACTTGTAGAAGAACAAAAGATGGCAGAAATAGTTTTAGCTGACTTGATTATCACTGAAATTCATTGGCATTGGGTTGTACCTGCCTACCTACCCCTGGAGGTATTTATCTTTGGGAAGGGTTCTGGAATGGTTTCCTGCTTGGCCAAACGTGTGAAATACAAGCTACTGCAAGGGGAAACCATTTTAGAACTGTTGTATGCTTGGATAGCTTAGATAGCTTAGATATGTTCATTTGTTGCACAGGCATTCGTCTACTTGTAGAAGAACAAAAGATGGCAGAAACAGCTTTAGCTGACTTGATTATCACTGAAATTCATTGGCATTGGGTTGTACCTGCCTACCTGCCCCTGGAGGTATTTATCTTTGGGAAGGGTTCTGGAATGGTTTCCTGCTTGGCCAAACGTGTGAAATACCAGCTACTGCAAGGGGAAACTATTTTAGAACTGTTGTATGCTTAGATAGCTTAGATAGCTTAGATATGTTCATTTGTTGCACAGGCATTCGTCTACTTGTAGAAGAACAAAAGATGGCAGAAACAGCTTTAGCTGACTTGATTATCACTGAAATTCATTGGCATTGAGTTGTACCTGCCTACCTACCCCTGTAGGTATTTATCTTTGGGAAGGGTTCTGGAATGGTTTCCTGCTTGGCCAAACGTGTGAAATACCAGCTACTGCAAGGGGAAACTATTTTAGAACTGTTGTATGCTTAGATAGCTTAGATAGCTTAGGTATGTTCATTTGTTGCACAGGCATTCGTCTACTTGTAGAAGAACAAAAGATGGCAGAAATAGTTTTAGCTGACTTGATTATCCCTGAAATTCATTGGCATTGGGTTGTACCTGCCCCTAATTCTGGAGGTGTTTATCTTTGGGAAGGGTTCTGGAATGGTTTCCTGCTTGGCCAAACGTGTGAAATACCAGCTACTGCAAGGGGAAACCATTTTAGACCACTTAGATAACTTACATATGAGCATTTGTTGCACAGGCACTGGTCTACTTGTACAAGAACAAAAGATGGCAGGAACAGTTTTAGCTGACTTCATAATCCCTGAAATTCGTTTGTCTGTCACTACAGCTGTTTCCAGTGGGGAAAATTTCTACCTACCAATTTGCCGCTCACTTCACCTATTGGGCCCTTTCGTTCAGAGATGTTGAGCTAGACAATATTTGGCCCACGCCTTTTCGGAAGTAAATCAAAAGAACAGCCCAAACGCATGCAAATCTCTAGCAAATGCACGTACATGTTCGACGCGGGATTTTGCAGCCTCTTGTGACACAACATGCAAAAGCCACTTTATGTGTGCCTCAGGTGACGGCAAAAGAAGCAAACATGCAAAAAATAAACTCAAAAAACCATGCATTGCTGGGGTGAATGCAAAGGTAAAGGTACAGCTAACCACTTCAAAACTGAGCTGAACCCACAAGTTTTCCCAGTCAGAAATGTTCTTAGCATGTAATGAGATCAAGAAACAAACTGAACTGTGAATTTGTCAATTTTTCTACCATGTATCTGTATATAATCCTTCTGGTTTTTGTGCCGAATGGCATTGGTTCGGCAATATTGTTGCGACATAGTGCAATCGAGCCTTGTAAATCACCAAAACCATAGTTTCAACAGCAGGATCAAACTGGCAAATTGCTTTCAACCACCGGCTCACTAGGGATCACAAATACCTGCACAAAACCTGCACCATATATCATCATATGCTATTATAGAAGCTTCCAAGGTTCTACAATATGCTTACGGGACCGGAGGTGCTACAATGATTCCCCACCTGCCAGGTGAGGGTTGTTAGATTTTATCAGAGCTGTTCTCCTCCTCCTCCTCCGCCTCCTCCATCTCCTCCTCGTCCTCCTCCTCGCAGTCCAGATCCCAGTGGGCACAGCCGGACCTCCACCGCGAGCTCCAGATCCCAGTGGGCACTGCCGGACGTCCACCGCGAGCTCCAGATCCAAGTGGGCACTGCCGGACCTCCACCGCGAGCTCCAGATCGCAGTGGGCACTGCCGGACCTCAACTGCGACTTCCAGGTTGCAGTGGGCACTGCCGGATCTCAACCGCGATTTCCAGATCGCAGTGGGCACTGCCGGACCTCAACCGCGACTTCCAGATCCCAGTGGGCACTGCCGGACCTCAACGGCCAGATAGAATGCCAGAAGATATGCCAGATAGAATGCCAGAAGATAGGCCAGATAGAATGCAAGAAGATATGCCAGATAGAATGCCAGAAGATTTGCCAGATAGAATGCGAGAAGATATGCCAGAAGATATGCCAGAACATATGCCAGAAGATATGCCAGATAAAATGCCAGATAAATCAGGTGATTTTTCTGGTTCCCAACTTCCAGGGGAGCAGTTTTTTTGGTGAAAAACATGAATATATACATGGTATATACCTGGTATATACTGCCTAAATATGGTCAATATAGAAGGCTTATAGAAGGCTCTCTATACAGGTAGCAGCAACAAAGTAGTTGGCATACGTTGGGGAAATTGGCACCAAGCAGGATCAAGGGATTCACTTGCTCGCTGCTCTTTTTCATCACTGCACGCGAGGAGTGCATAAATAAATGCCGATTGGGCCATGCTATCTTTGATAGTTACTTCTTGTTTCTTCTTTGCGTTGTCAGGTTTGGTCTTTGCCTGGCCTGGTGCTTATCATGTGTGTCTATAATAATTTTGTTCTTTCCTGTTTTCTTTTTCTTGTCTTGAGCACTGCTGTCAGAATCTGGGGGCAGGTGATGGGGGGCCTGCCAAAAATGGGTCTGGAATTGTAGTGAGCAAGCGACAAATTAGCAGGAAAATGCAGAAAAGACAATTTTCTTGAGTATATAATAAATTCATGATATATTGGATATGTATTGCCTGAGCCAATATATATACGCAGTATATACTGGGTATATATTGCCTGGAGCAGTATATACGCAGTATATACTGGGTATATATTGCCTGGAGCAGTATATACGCAGTATATACTGGATGTATATTGCCTAGAGCAGTGTACGCAGTATGTGCGTGCCCTCCCCTGGTAATGCAGCCCGAAGCTTGTCAGAGAAAACCAACCGACCAATATTCGGAGGGAATTATGCAATTTTCCTTGGACATTGAAACTTTCGGGAGTCTGACCGGCAAAGTTCTGTACGGATAGTGGCACATTGTCACCATCATTACCTGTTTTACAGCCATCATTGCGCTTGTCATTGACGAAGTCCATGAATCATACTTCCGTTGTCTTGTGATTCAATTTCGTCTGGATTTGGGTAATGGTCTGCAACAGAGATTTGACTGAACATCAGATTTGACTGGATATGTGACCTCCTGCTTATCAGGCTTGTGGCTCAAAGTGCCCAAATGCGGGATATAAAGGTACCAAGCTCTAAACTTCCTCCCCTCGAAATCCCTCCCCTGAAAAACCCGTAGAATAAAATGCCAGAAGATATGTCAGATAGAATGCCAGAAGATTTGCCAGATAGAATGCCAGAAGATATGCCAGAACATATGCCAGAAGATATGTCAGATAGAATGCCAGATAGAATGCCAGAAGATATGTCAGATAGAATGCCAGAAGATTTGCCAGATAGAATGCCAGAAGGTATGCCAGATAGAATGCCAGAAGATAGGCCAGATGGAATGCCAGAAGATATGCCAGAAGATGTGTCAGATAGAATGCCAGAAGATTTGCCAGTAAGAAAATGTATAAATGCCATGGTGGGGATCATTCGAAGTGAAGTAATTTTTGTTCATTCTAGAACCCTCCGTGTTTATCCCAGGGGGGCGGCATTCTAGAACCTTCCAACTTGAGGGTATGTAACTGTCACAATATAGGTTTATGGTATAGATGTAGCAAACCAGTTCATCGGGAACTTATACTTGTGGGGCACACCTTGTGCATTGTGGATATTGGGGACAGCCATCGATGGGATAGGCTTCTACTGACCCGAAAAAAAAACATTGAAGGCCTGTATTGTTTTTCCTCTGTCTTTATTCCATCTTGACATTGCTTCGACCCTGGCAACTATACATAATCTGTGATTTTTGCTGATTAAATCCCAATTTTCGTTTGATGACCTAGTCAGCATCCCAAATTAAAAAAAAGTTGAACGTCTCAGACATGCTTACTGTACTTTGGTACTCAATTCCCAGTGTGATATTATATAAGTTCCTATTTTATCCAATGTTTCTTGATTTGCCAAGTGCTGACGGTTGGGAAGAAACCCTTCAATCCAACGATTTGTTTTAAAAAAACGAATTGATGGCATGGTTTGTCACAACCATCTGTTGCTGACCAAGACACCATCTTTTCCGTGTAGATACACGCATTTTTTGTTGGCCAAATCATATTTTTTTTGGTTGAATCACATGTCTGGTGTACTAAACCAACATTTTCGACGATGAAATCCGCATTGTTTGTCGTAAGATCACAAATTTGCGTTAAAACATGATGCTGGTGAAATCGATCATGTTTATTAGCTAAGTAACCTGTGCTGTTTCCAACTTTTCGGATAAAACACATCACGCTAACTGGTTGGTGGTATACCTACCCCTCTGGAAAATATGAAAGCCAGTTGGGATAATGACCTTCCCAATATATGGAAAAATACTTTACTTCGAGTGATCCCCACCATGACATATCATGGTGAGGATCACATAGATACATGATACCAGCAAAGAAACACAAATGACGTTCCTTCGAGTGATCCACTAAAATTCTATTCGACATGATCTTGTATTCTATCTGGAGTATCCTCTGGCATTCTGTGTCGCTATTCTGGTCGTTTATCTGGCAAATCTTCTTTCTGGTATTCTATCCTGCATATCTTCTGGCACACTTTCTGACATTCTATCTGGCATATCTTCCAGCATTTTATCTGGTATATATTTTGGCGTTCTATCTGGCATATATTCTGGCATTCTATGTGGCATTCTTTCTCGCATATATTTTGGCATTCTATGTGGCATTCTATCTGGCATTCTATCTGACATATCTTCTGGCATATGTTCTGGCATATCTTCTGGCATTCTATCTGGCCGCTGAGGTCCAGCGGTGCCCACTGAGCTCGGAAGGTCCCAGGTTGAGGCCCAGCCGTGCCCACTGGGCTCGGAAGGTCCCTGGCCGAGGTCCAGCGGTGCCCACTGCGCTCAGAACCTTGCGGTTGAGGTCCCACTCAGATCGGAAGCCGGCAGTTGAGGTCCAGCAGTGCCCACTGCGCGCGGAAGTTGGCGAAGAGGCGAAGAGCGAAGAGTTGGCAAGGCGGAAGTGGACGTGGAAGTGGAGGCAGGGGTGGTGGAGGAGAAGGAGAAGGAGGAGGACGAGGAGGAGCCGGAACAGCTCTGATAAAATCTAACAACCCTGACCTGGCAGGTGGGGAAAAAAAACATGTTCCAAACCACCAACTAGTTAAAACCAGGATCTTTTGTATAAGCTGTCAAGGCACGCACAACTGGTGGAAGAAGGCCACGTGCAAAGGCTGCTGGTCGCGGGTGCACAGGGTGTAGGCTTCGATGACACCTTGGCCAGTGGTCATGGATGGGGCCAACAATTCCTTCTCCAAACCCCAGAAACTATGGTTTACTAGGGGATGAAATAGTGAGCATCCATCATATTTGATAGAAACTATGGTTTACTACGAGTACGTGTACTGTTATGGGATGAAACCACATATTTGATGATAGTAATTTGGGGATTCTTTAGCCATCATCTACGGTGAGGTGACCAGATCAAATACGGTCGCCAGAATTTTATCCAGATTCCCAGATGTCCGGGGTTTTATTCTAACCATCAGAGTAGGGGGATAGCCAGGACAACTAAGAATTGATGGGAATATCATGGGGGAACTAAAGGAGTCTAAAGGGGCATGCATGGCCCATTTAGTTTGCTGATTTACTGTACGTATCAAATTTTCATTGATTTTCCATTCGAACTCATTATAAAAACCCGAGGATCTCTTCCAGACTCTTCCAGTACACATACAAAAGGACATGGAACATCCACAATGAAGGTGGATCAGAAAGCCATGGATTTGCCGTTTTGTCAGTCCACTGGATGGTAAACCCAAAGCAATTACATGTCATAAATACTAGATTTGATGGGATTCAATGGGGTATTATATACACTTATATGCATAATGGGACATGACTGAGAATTGACCATCTATGATTGGGTTTCACAAGGAAAATCCACCATCCCAGTAACTCAAGATGACTGGCACTAACCGCAGCATCCCAGATGAATGTTTTTGTCCAACGATACGCTCAAACCGAGGGCTAATCATTGGGTTTACCACATGATATTGGGATAATTGATAGAGATACCGGTATATTGTTCACCACTTTTTCTTTTACCACATTATTTTCCACATTAAAAAAACCACACCACCACATCATTGGAATAATGTGTAAATAATGTGTAACCACTAATTCTTTTATCACCGTATGGATAGAGAAACCATTATTGTTAATCACATCATTGGAATAATTGTCCTTCATGGGGATATTAATGGGATGATTCTCTGAAGCTAAAGCTCCCGATCACCTGGTAATTAATCAGGGTTCCAACTGTCCGCCGAGAGAGACAGTACAGGGCAGCTACCTTCAACACTCGTGAAATTTCAGGGGTTAACCACCAACAATTAGATACAATTCGGAAAATAACTCATACCAGTTTCCATATGGGCATGGGACATCAGCAAAAGTTGAAAAGAAACTGACATAAGTAGCCTCTGGTAATCAAAGATGGCTGTGAGATTTTTGTGCTTTGCTTGCTGTGTTTTTGCTGCCTTGGGCAAACCCAGTTGGGTTCACCATTTGATCTCCAAGCCGTCAGCCCAGTGCAGAATTCGATTAATGACTAAGATTGTGCAACCACAACAAAGATGGCTTGCGGGAAAATATATAAGTTCCCATTTCCCATTTGCAATGAAGTTTCCCATTAAAAATATTAAAATGCAAAAATCAATTTTCCCCATTGAAACGCCCATGAGGGGTTTCCCAGCCAGCCGTGTTTGAGGACATTACAGCTGTGGCTATGGTGCGTTCTCGAAGAACATCGTTAGTTGTGGGATCAAATCACAGTTGTGGGGATTGAATCACAAACACTACAGACTATAGTGGTATACTGGAATATAATGGGGATGCAATGATGTGTGTATATATATATATATATACAATTATAAATTATATATATATAATTAAAATGCATGGATAAATTACAGTATGACAACTCACTAGCCTGTCGCTCTGATCTCCCTTACTAACCATCATTTTTAAAGTGACGTCACAGTGAGGTTGTTACAATTTGAGAGGTGAGCGTCACCAGCGTTGGGAAAACCGAAAGAAACACTTTCTTGGGAACAGTATTTGGCACTTCCAATCAAGTGCAGAATGTCGGCATTCCTACAACGATTATTTTCTGATAAAGCCTTCTTCACAATCTTGTAGCCTTGGCCACCCCACACTGAACTATATTTCCAACGTACAAAATAATAGTATCGACATATTCAAAAGTAAAACTAGTTTGTATGTGGGCAACACTGATGCAACAAGGATCCATTAAAAAAAATACTTCACTTCAAGTGATCCCCACCCTGGCATTTCAAAGTCATATATTCTGACATATATTTTGGCATTTTACCTAACATTCTATCTGACATCTATTCTGACATTCTATCTGGCATATCTTCCAGCATTTTATCTGGTATATATTTGGCGTTCTATCTGGCATATATTCTGGCATTCTATGTGGCATTCTATGTGGCATATATTCTGGCAGTCTATCTGGCATATATTCTGGCAGTCTATCTGGCATATATTCTGGCAGTCTATCTGGCATATATTCTGGCAGTCTATCTGGCATATCTTCTGGCAGTCTATCTGGCATATATTCTGGCAGTCTTTCTGGCATATATTCTGGCATTCCATCTGTCCGCTGAGGTCCAGCGGTGCCCACTGAGCTCGGAAGGTCCCAGGTTGAGGCCCAGCCGTGCCCACTGGGCTCGGAAGGTCCCTGGCCGAGGTCCAGCGGTGCCCACTGCGCTCAGAACCTTGCGGTTGAGGTCCCACTCAGATCGGAAGCCGGCAGTTGAGGTCCAGCAGTGCCCACTGCGCGCGGAAGTTGGCGAAGAGGCGAAGAGCGAAGAGTTGGCAAGGCGGAAGTGGACGTGGAAGTGGAGGCAGAGGTGGTGGAGGAGAAGGAGGAGGACGAGGAGGAGGTGGAGGAGGAGGAGGAGCCGGAACAGCTGTGATAAAATCTAACAACCCTCACCTGGCAGGTGGGGAAAAACAGGAACCGTTTACAATACATTTTGGATGGTTTCAAATCGTTAAAAATAGAGCCTTTGAATATGTATAGCGGCCACCTTGAACGAATGCAGTAAGCAAGTATCTAATGGTTCCATGTATATAATAATCGTTTGACAAGGAGAAGGATCTAGTTGAGATAGTGCATTATCACTCAAAAGTTTACAGTGTTCTAGGATGTTCTAGGCAATATACATGCATGATACCCCTTACTTGTGCCCTAGGATGCTTTACGGAACATTTTATAAAGAAAATTTGCTATAAAATGGTCATCCGTCAGCCAACATCCAGAAAGCAGGCGGGAACCCTCTATGAAATGACCTCTGGGAGACGAACAGCAGATCCAGGACTGGTGGTCTCTGGGCAATCCATTTATCGCACTTGTTGAACAGGTTGAATTATTCAATTTAGGGTGTGTTCATGTTTGTTCAAGGGAAACATATGAAACACAAATACATCTATTTTGTCTAAGGATTCCGGATTCCTATTGACGGCGAACAGATTAGCCTGGGTATCACCAACAATATCTGGGCGAAATGGGTAGATGGTTCGCAACTCATCCTGGGCAAATGACAAGGTGCTTATGATGGATTGCGCGGGAATTCCTGTGCTGAAATCCACAAAGAAAACTGCCACGGCAAAGCGAACGGCAGTGGTCAACGCCGTCCACATGATCGCACCAGCGTCGCTCTCACTGGGGCAACCGTAGATGAAGACCGCCACCAAAACATACACGGCCTCAGGGACGGCGGCCCCATCCCGGAAATTGGCTGACACAAAAATGGGGACTGCAAGCTGTCATATCTGTCATCCAATTTGGGGATTCCCCAACTGATGACTACTGGTTGGTGGTTTCAAACCCTCTGAAAAATATTAGTCAATGGGAAGGATTATCCCATATATTATAGAAAATTAAAAAAATGTAGAAACCACCAACCAGACTATATTGTCTCGGAAAATAGGGGATCACACCACCACATGCTTTTTTCGGATCCCAGGCTTCCAAAACCATGATCTGTGTCATTCCCAGTGAATGAGCGAAGCTGTCAACCGCAGCCACGCTCCTGAAACAGGCATCAACTATGACAGTTTGACAACTACCTCAACAACAACAACAACAACAACAACAACAGCAACAGCAACAGCAACAGCAACAACAACAACAGCAACAACAACAACAACAACAGCAACAGCAACAGCAACAGCAACAACAACAACAACAACATATCCCACAAGACTGGGCTTTTACAGGATACACCCAGGTTTGGTGAAACAACAGGAGTCATGGATTTCCTGACGGTTTTTTGCCCGCAAAAAAAACTGAACGGGGCCAAAAGGCTCTGAAACTTGGCAGCCTCAGCAACTTTCAATTCAGCCAGGTGGCACACTGCAAAATCTTCAATCGTCTTCGATTCAATTGTACCACCCCGCAGCTAACTGCACTATGCACCACCTCGGAATCACATTCGTGGAGATCACTCTGACATTCGAAGTGGAATTGCAGCGTAGTCTGTGACTAGCAATATTCATGAAACATGTAACATGTATACTGTATATTATACATGTATATACAGTAATGCATATATATATATATATATATTAGATTATTTATATATAATTATATGTGCATTACGTAAAGAGTTCTCTACTCTACCTATACTGTCTATCCATCTATCTACTGTCTCTATCCACGTATCTCGACCAAATCAATATACGTGCATGTCTCCGACGAATGTCATAAAGGGCCAATGGATATGAGCGTACAGTGTTGCATCTAGATATCCTCCAGTGATCAAACAAAGTTTTCTGGACAATCTCCCATTGACGCCTTGCCATGATCTCCCAACCATCTTAGGACAACCGAGGATACGATACAAACATACATCACCTGGATGTTTCCACCGGGCCATTGCTTCTGAAAAAATGGCCCTCAAGACATGAACCTGAATTGGCATCACCTTCCAATGGCTTCAAATACCCTTCGAGAAACTCAAAAACGCAACTTTGTTGGAATAACTCGTCCACCAAGCATTCATCCTATTGAAAATCTATCGCAACTGCCGCAACTACCCATTTGGAACTGACTGGAACCAGCTCAGGATGCATATGGAACCAAAAATATCCAAAAATCATGTGCTGCAACATGCTATTTCCGAGCCTTCCAACCATTCTCTTCAACATCAAAAACCATCCAGTCCATAATTAGTGAAGGCGGGCAACCCACGCAACGATGCATACGGCAAATGGGAGGCGAGACTGTGTGGTCGGATGGTAGTACAAGTCCAACATCTGACCTGCTGTGTCAGATTTATGATGCATTCCAGGAAACAGCAGCGGTTTTAAATTGGTGATCTGGTTGGTGGTTGACCTACCCCTCTGAAAAATATGAGTTCGTCAGTTGGGATGATGACATTCCCAATATATGGAAAGTCATAAACAATGTTCCAAACCACCAACCAGTTGTACATGGCCATTGACCACATACCAACTGGATGTTGATGTCCAAGATCGAAGGTCGTGAGAGTGGGGATCCAAAATGGCGATTGAATCGCTATGAACCACTTGTTTTAAGTTACTGTATCCCGAAGCAAGTAAAGTAAATCGGAAACACTATAAATAGAAAATGTTAAACATGTTTAAACAAGTGTAAGCCACCAACCAATTACATATCATTTGTTGTATTCTCATCTTGATTGGCAAATATCCCTCTTTGAATGGGTTGAACATCCCATCCATATCACTAGCGGAGAAAAAATGCCAAATATCAAAAACCACTTGCCAATAACATACCGCCTATACATATGTAATGTTAGCACCTGATTAGTAGCATGGTACTCTATGGTGGCAAACTTTTTCCTCCTTATTCAGTAACCTGCTGTTTGGTGGGGGGGGGGCCTCTATTGTGGCAAATGTTTTTCCAGATTTTTTTTGTTCAAAAAAATTGTTCCTAATTAATTAATTAATTAATTATTTTTTGAATTTATTTTAAATTAGTTAATTACTTAAAACATGCTTTTCTGTTTTTCATTTTTTTTATATTAAAGCTTTAAAATGCAAGGTTTTCCAAATAATTAGATGCCTTATTAAACCCTTATTAAAAAACAGCATCCAGACAATTTTTCAAGGTGGTACCCCATGAGTGGCTGAGTTACTCAAAAAATATGAATGTTTGGATGGTACTCTATTGTGCCCAACAACTTTTGGGGTTGAAAAAAAACAAAAAACCATTTCTCCACCTTTCTTTGAGTAAAGCTGGTCCATTTACTTTAGGAAACCATATTTGTATTAAAGCTTTAAAATGCAAGGTTTTCCAAATAATTCGATGCCTTATTAAACCCTTATTAAAAAACAGCATCCAGACAATTTTTCAAGGTGGTACCCCATGAGTGGCTGAGTTACTCAATAATATGAATGTTTGGATGGTACTCTATTGTGCCCAACAACTTTTGGGGTTGAAAAAATCAAAAAACCCTTTCCCCACCTTTCTTTGGGTAAAGCTGGTCCATTTGTTTTAGAAATAGATATTTGTGTTAAATCTAAATGCAAAGTTTTCCAAATAATTAGATGCCTTATTAAACCCTTTTAAAAAAACAGCACCCAAACAATTTTTCAAGGTGGTACCCCATGAGTGGCTGAGTTACTCAATAATATGAATGTTTGGATGGTACTCTATTGTGCCCAACAATTTTGGGGTTGAAAAAAAACAAAAACCCTTTCTCAACCTTTCTTTGAGTAAAGCTGGTCCATTTACTTTAGGAAACCATATTTGTATTAAAGCTTTAAAATGCAAGGTTTTCGAAATAATTAGATGCCTTATTAAACCCTTATTAAAAAACAGCATCAGACAATTTTTCAAGGTGGTACCCCATGAGTGGCTGAGTTACTCAATAATATGAATGTTTGGATGGTACTCTATTGTGCCCAACAACTTTTGGGGTTGAAAAAAAAAACAAAAACCCTTTCTCCACCTTTCTTTGAGTAAAGCTGGTCCATTTACTTTAGGAAACCATATTTGTATTAAAGCTTTAAAATGCAAGGTTTTCCAAATAATTAGATGCCTTATTAAACCCTTATTAAAAAACAGCATCCAGACAATTTTTCAAGGTGGTACCCCATGAGTGGCTGAGTTACTCAATAATATGAATGTTTGGATGGTACTCTATTGTGCCCAAGCAACTTTTGGGGTTGAAAAAAAACAAAAACCCTTTCTCCACCTTTCTTTGAGTAAAGCTGGTCCATTTACTTTAGAAAGCCATATTTGTGTTAAAGCTTTAAAATGCAAGGTTTTCCAAATAATTAGATGCCTTATTAAACCCTTATTAAAAACAGCACCCAAACAATTTTTCAAGGTGGTACCCCATGAGTGGCTGAGTTACTCAATAATATGAATGTTTGGATGGTACTCTATTGTGCCCAACAACTTTTGGGGTTGAAAAAAAACAAAAACCCTTTCTCCACCTTTCTTTGAGTAAAGCTGGTCCATTTACTTTAAGAAACCATATTTGTATTAATTAAAGCTTTAAAATGCAAAGTTTTCCAAATAATTAGATGCCTTATTAAACCCTTATTAAAAAACAGCACCCAAACAAATTTTCAAGGAGGTACTCCATGAGTGGCTGAGTTACTCAATAATATGAATGTTTGGATGGTACTCTATTGTGCCCAACAACTTTTGGGGTTGAAAAAACAAAAACCCTTGAAAGTAAATTGAAATCAATTGAAAGTAAGTTGAAATCAATTGAAAGTAAATTGAAAGTAAATTGAAATCAATTGAAAGTAAATTGAAATCAATTGAAAGTAAATTGAAAGTAAATTGAAATCAATTGAAATCAATTGAAAGTAAATTGAAAGTAAATTGAAATCAATTGCAAGTAAATTGATTTCAATTGAAAGTAAATTGAAATCAATTCAAAAAAAATGTTGAAGGTGGGGGGGCGCAAAAAAATGGTGTTATTGAGTAGACTAAAATTGTTTGGGGGGGGGGGCCCTCACACTAATCAGTCGACAACATTATATGTATATAGTGCGCTATATCGGCATGTGGTAGTGGTTGAATTCTCTTCATACTTGTTGATAAAGCACGTGAAACCATGAAACCACCAAGGGCATTTCTTCCTTGCGAAACAGGTTCTGGTGTCACTGCGCACCGAAGAGACAATACATTTTTTAAGGCAAAATATGGAAAAGTGCTGTGGCGCAACTTCCGGGTCTGCGGCGTAACTTCCCGGGTCTGCTGCGGTGTAATTCCCCCGTACCCAAAACCGGTTTCAGTTCGTTGCAAAACTATCTCAGCTATCGTAAGGCTGTCTGGATCAAATCAACACAAGTGCCCATCCAAGGCTTTTAGGTGGCAAGTCTTTCTGAAGAGAACACACGCTTGCGGTAAAACACTAATGTTTTTTTTCTCCAGACTGATCCATCCAAATCGAGCTCTAGGTGCCGCAGTGATTGTAGTTCAAGATTCAAAAGACATATTTAAGGGGTCTAGCATGATAACCAACATTGAACTTCTAATGTGCAACCTGATGGCAATTCTTCTGCTGCGTGCCGTTTCAGAACTAAATTATTCTGTGCATTTAAGGTTGCGCAACTGTCCTGGGCCAATAGCGGACCGTGTTCACACAGCCGCTGTTGCCACCCATACATGTCAAGATGAACCTGAATCATGTTTCCCCATTGGAATCATTTTCGTTTTTCAGAGTCATAATTTTTGCCCGGAGTCGGAAATTTCTGACTCGAGAGTTGGAGGCTTTTTTTTTCTGCCTCAGGATTTTTCTAGGCATGTATACATATGTAATGATAGTAAGAAGAAGAACAATAATAACAATAATAATAACAACAATAATAATAATAAGAAAAAAATACAAATTTCCGGTATAGGTGGAACCGCCTTGCCATGCCCTAAAGTGAGCAAAGCTCACACTGAAAACCTCAGGCTGTGCACCAAACCAATTTTGGCCTGCAACATCTTCATAATTATTTGTGTAGCGTCCAAAAAATATAGTAGACTGATATGATATAATATAATGATAAATGACGTTTCGATCTTGTGGGATATACACCGTCTAGATATATGTGAGGCATGGAATACTTCATGCCCAACCCGTCAGTGGCATGGTACACGAAATCCCCCCACGCCTATAATGCTAAGCATCGACAAATGCATACACGCTCTCGATGCAGAGCGGTGTTGTTTAATTCGGTTCTCCCACACCTCGTTGGTTGCGACTCGCCACGTTTGAAACAGGCCAACGGTGCCGCTTGCGCCAGGTTCCGGGTCATTTTAAGTGGCGCTGAAGGGGGGTTGACGATCTTTGGAAATGCTTATGAGGGCACTAGATCACATGATGATTCCATGTGAAATGCCAAGGTACAAGTATCACGTAGCCTGGACTCTTCTGGCAATTTCATTAACATCTTGAACATGTCCAAACAGTGTTTCCTCCTTCTTCTTATGAGGTCATTTGGTCGAATCTCATTCTTATATAATTTGTATATATATATATATATAGAATCCAGGTTTTGCCGTGTCAAGTCCAAACAAATGCTTTTGGTGAAATCCAGATTTTGGCTGGTCATACTCCGTTCCCCCATATCTTCCATTCTATCAAATGTTTTTGTAGCTATCTATATTATTCTATCTCATTGTATCTCTACTATTCTTCCAGCACTGCTTAGTGTGGTAAACCAAATGATAAACCATCCACAATTGTGGTTCATTATTTGGTATATCATACCACATTAATTGTTAAACAATTTTGGTTTATCATGAACCAAGTGTGGTTCATTCTTGGGTATACCACGGCGTAGCCCTTTTTTTTATGGGATGAGTGCCAGGCAGCTGCATCCTCCAACCTCGCGTCAAAGTCGTCACGGTTGCCACCACCATGGTCGTTCCAGACGGCGGAAGCCAAACCGCGGAGCAATGAGAGGATCTCCTCGGGAGATGGAAATGGCCAATGTCAATCTGATGAAATGACTATCTGGTTGGTGGTTGACCTACTCCTCTGAAAAAAATATTCGTCAGTTGGGATTATTATTCCCAATAGATGGAAAAATAAAACATGTTCCAAACCACCAACCAGTTATACTATATAGCTTATGAACTATGATTGACTATCTTATTAACAATCTATTAGAATACAGCGATGGTCTTTTGAGATATATATTGAAATCTAAAAGGAGTATACAGTAATAGGCGTATGATAGGAAATGTAAGAGAGATTTATGGACATAAAATTGAGATATCATGGGTAATGAATAATGGGATATACCACCCTCCGGTGTCTGCACAAAGATGGCATCCAACTCGCCTTTCTCGGATTTCTCGTTGCCACTGCGCATTGCCACGTGCTTTTAGCATGGCCAGGTGTGTCCCTGAAATGGGAACTTGGTTGACGAGACTTGTTTCCAAATCTCACAAAATCCTAAGACCTAAATCTGATATCAAACCCTAAGCCTTGATTAAATCTTTGTTTAAAGCTGAAAAAATGAAACCCTAAATAACTCAAAAAAAAACTAAACAACCTGAAAGAGTCACCATGCCATAATTGGAAACGAAGTCGAGAACCACTGGTCCAAGGGATACAACCAACGCAAGCAACGCGTTTCTGTTTGTCTCACGTACGTTTCATGGGGATTCAGCCGGATCCCGTTGACCAAAAATGATTGGATGATGTTTTGGTTCTCCCTTACAAACATGATATAGCTATTGAAAATGGCCATTTATAGTGAGTTTTCCCATAAAAATGGTGATTTTCCATAGTTATGTTCGTTTACCAGAGGGTAACATGATTGTTGGTGGTGAAAATAGCCCAAAACCCACATTAGCAGCTGTTTTTTTTCACCAAAGATTTCAGGACTCCAGAGGGCGTCATGGAGCATCCCAGTGACCCAAAAAAAACCAGCATGCCATGGTCCAATGGTTTAAATGGTTTAAACATGTTCAAACTTGATCAAAAACACAAAAAAAAGGAGAACAAACAGCAAAGAAACATCTGCAATGATTATCACATGATGCAGTAACCATTTTTCTGACCTGACGGCCCAGGATTGTTTTGGCCCAGGTGATCCTTGAAACATCGTGAAACCGATAGAAGAAGCCGATTGGAAGAAGCCGATCTGTGACTACAGCAACCCCAAATAGGTAGAAATAGAATTGCTTCTGTAAGTATATATACTATTATATACAGCTATTATTATTATTGTTATTATTATATAAAGTAGAATCAATTGCTAAATTGTAGTGGTATACTTCACCTGCTCTACCTTTTTGACGGCCGCTTTGTTGTGATGCGGGTTTAAATTGATGTCAAGGTGGATAGCTATCGATAAGGTAATACTTTCTTCAGCGATCATATATTGCTATCTGTGCACAATGATTGCAAGGACCAACTGTGAAACACATATCCATACCCTCTGGTAAACTAAGATAGCTACTGTAATTATTGAAAATTACATCATGTGGCCATAGAAAGTTCGTGTATGTACCAATGATTTATGGAATCTATGGCGATTTTCCATAGTAACAGGTTAACGTTTACCAGAGGCTAGCCTTAAACAATACCTCCCATCCCAGCTTCCCTGGGTGCCTCACGTAGGGATGTCCCAGGATTGTAGAAATATTTCATTGCAAGATTAGCCTTTCAAACAAAATATGTCAATATTACACATACCCTCTGGTTATTTAACATAGCCATGGAAAAATAGATGGTTTACCTATTAAAAATGGTGATTTTCCATGGCAAACTGTTAGTCATAACCAAAGGGTACTATTTTGGGGATGCCGCAAGGCCACTGGAATATTTACTGTATCAATCCAAGGTGACAAAAAATATGGGTTATGACCACAAAAACTGGGATGAACCCCAACATATCCCAGGTCCCATGTTGCCATCCCAGGTGCCGACCCATGGTTCCAGCAGTGGATCCCAACCACCACCGCGCCAATCGCCACCAGCCACGTATTCTCCGCCATCGCTTTCTTTCGGCGCTGTTTCGGAACAGGGTTCTTTTTGTGGAGCTCAACACGGCGGAAGTTGACCCAAGTCGAAGCGGCACAAAAAGCTCAAGTGCAAAGATGTTGCAACGAAAAAATGGAAAACACGGTGAAAACCAAACGTTTTTTTCTTAAAGTACAATGGTCTCTGAATCATACATTCACCATCAACATCCATGGATTTCGTTCCAACACAACTACCTGCTGGCGTTATCTGGGGTCCAAGGCTTGGTTCTATCACGTTCTATCCCCCCATATGCTCATCGCATGCACACACGCACACACACACACATATATAATATATAATATATACATATATATATATATAGTGTGTGTGTATGATATTAAGAAAGAAAAAAAGCAAACATTCAAAACCATCCAATATAGAATATATGCATACCGTCCATGTCTGGGATTCTACTTTAAAAAATACATCGTGCACACACACACACACATATATATATATAATACCCTCCGGTAATTTGTTACATAGCTATTGAACATGGCCATAGAAATAGTTGATTTACCCAGTAATAGCATGGTGATTTTCCATAGTTGTTTGTTCACGTTTACAAAAGGGTACCCATCACAATTAACCATTATTAACCATTATCAATTAGCATTACAGTAAACACTATGAACCATCATTAACAACTATTAATATCTATTAATCACTATTAACCAGAGGGTAATCCACCATTTTTGATGATCAAATCAATTAAATCCTCTAAATTTGCATCATTTTATTCAGATCAACACTTTCGTGTTGTCATGGATCATCCACTAACCTCCCCGCCTTCGGCTGCTGATGGCCATGATCTGCTGCAAGGCCTCAGGGGGATAGGAGCCGCAGGTCACGTCGAGGCCGTCAAAATGCACCTGGCGCCGCCAGGCCTAGGGGATTTCCACCTTTCAGCAACAGAAAATGAGGATTCAACCAACAAAAATGATGGAAACTGATGGAACATTAGAGGATCTAATCATCAAAAATGGTGGTTTACCCTCTGGGAAACGTTTTACATAGCGAACTGGAAAATCACCATGTCACTAGGTACATCAACGAACTAAATGGCCCATTTTCCATAGCTATGTTAAATTACCACAGGGTAAACATTAAACAATATGATTTAACCAACAACCACTGGCGATTTATTCTTTACAAAAATGATGATTTGACCAGTCGAAAAAGAGTTTCAACCAAGAAACAAATGTGATTTGGCCATCTGCATTGGGGAGTGTGTGTATTTAAACTATTTAAGCAAGGGTATGACCATATAATGGGAATATATTTGGGGAACAAGTGAATGTATCTATATATGTATGCAAAGAATCCAATGGGAGATTCATGGGAACTAAATGGGAATTGCACACATATATATATATATATAGCCAACATTAAGGAGATATACCGGGGAAATAATGGGGCTATGTGGCCAAACATATGGATACAAAATATACATATGTAGGTGGGATGCGTCACCAGCAATATTTGTTCTGACTGCAAAAAAAGGATACAATCAAATACATATAAAATGGGATACATCACTCCGGGTAAACACAAGGATTCACATGGCATACAAATGGAATATATAACTTATATAACCAACAACTAACCAACCATGTCGTTAGGAATGGGTGGCCACATGGCTACTCATGACTCATGATCAGCTATTACCATCTGGTTATTTAACCGTTTGCCATGGAAAATCACCATTTTTAAAAGGTAAACCATCTATTTCTATGGGCCATGTATACCATGGCAAACTGTTGAGGGTAGGTGAATGGGTAACTCGGGATCAAGCAACCAAAGTTCTACGTATCCGACGTATCCGTGCAGGACAGTGATGAACAAAAGCGGATGAAATGGGATACCGGGATACCCGATTTTCTCAAACCAACCATTCTAAAGCCCAGAAAACAAGTTATCACCCGAAAGTCAGATTTGACAGTAAGAACCTATAGGGCCCATTACATTATCACCCATTAAGAACATGGTCTGACTGAAATATTCTGTGTGTGAGAAAAACATGGATCAACTCGCCATGCTTTTTGGTGGATTAATCACTTGGACCTATCCTATAGGTAGGTAAAGAACCTGGAGATGTTGCATGGGATGACATACAACTTGGGCGCTGATGACCAAGTATCATGGCATTGTAAAGGGAAAAGTTAGCAAAACTACTGATGTTGGTTATATTATATAATGGCACTGGGTAATTTCATTCTTTAGTGATACGGTGATACTGCCAATCAGAACCTTCTTCAGGAAAAAAATGATGTACTTAGGGAGAAATTGTGGCATCCAGTTTGGCAATCACAATATTTATCATCTTTTGCCTTGCCTAGAATTGCTTGTGAAAAAATGGGGGTTGCTGGGTTTACCCGGTGACGCCTCTACTGATCAAACAACTCATACTCTTCAACACCGAGGGGTCAGAGACCACATGTGCTTCATGCTATTGCAGGGTCTTGACAGTCTTGGTATCAAGCCAACTCCAACAAAACAATTTCAGGGGAAGAAGGGAATAAGGGCTCCACGATAGTAAGCTCTCCGCAATTTGTGGCCCTGAAACACACACACACATATATATATATGATATGCAGATTTCAACTTGTTTTTTTCTTACCATTGCCATGAAAATCATAGCTACATTTAATGCCAGAAAATATATTTACTGCAATAATCTAACATCATCAAAATGATTGATATAATTGGGTGGTTTAAGATGCCTCCCAGCCTTGCTGGAAAATTCTGCTGCTTTCAGCCAGTGCTGCGCATGCCTCGCCATGTAGATGCCTCATAACTCACGAGACAATCAGCATCTACACCGGGTCCTTTTGCCGTGGAAGTCAGGATGGAAAAACCTGTCGGTTTACATGGAAGTCGTTTACGTCCAATTCCTGGGGAAAAAGTGAAACTGGGCTACCGGGCCAGCAAATGCGGAAAAACTGACCATGAATCTCTTACATGGAAGTAGCTCATCAGATATGCCAGTGACATATTCATCATGGAAGTGTGAAAACTGAGACTAAAAACCCTTACGTGGAAGTAACTTGAGGGTCCAGACATCAGGTTGGCAACTTCTATGTTAACATGTTCGCCCCTCATGTTGAATACATCCTTCTAGGGCGATCCTTAAAAACCCCAGACTGACCGCCACATCATTTTTTTCTTCTTTGCATCTATCTTCTCACCCCTGTCATGTCCGAGCGATTGAGGATGCAACCTTTCGAAATCAATTTGCAGTTTACCACCCCCCATTGCAACTAACATGGAAGTAAACCTTCGAATTGTCACGGATTTTTTTTAAAAAAATATTTTTTTTGCGCTACGGTAAAAGGAGGACCGAGCGCTCGCTAACATGGCACTGCCCACATCCTACTTCAAGTAGCAAATTTCTATGCAAGTTATCCGTTCCAATCGTTGGTTGTTAAAAATGGAGGCATTCCCAGCTTTATCTTGAAACAATCAAAATTTATCAAAATTTCTACGTTAATCAACAAATGCCCAGGATTCCCGGGGAACTCGTGGCAAAAAGAACTAGCCAAAAAAAAGGGCTCAGATCCAAAGAACACAAATTTGCAGTTTACCCCCCCCATTGCAACTAACATGGAAGTAAACCTCCGAATTGTCACTTTAGTTAACGTGGAATTTTAAAAAAACAAATATATTTTTGCGCTACGGTAAAAGGAGGACCGAGCGCTCGCTAACATGGCACTGCCCACATCCTACTTCAAGTAGCAAATTTCTATGTAAGTTATCCGTTCCAATCGTTGGTTGTTAAAAAATGGAGGCATTCCCAGCTTTATCTTGAAAAAAACAAAATTTCTACGTTAATCAACAAATGCCCAGGATTCCCGGGGAACTCGTGGCAAAAAGAACTAGCCAAAAAAAAAGGGCTCAGATCCAAAGAACACAAGTTTGCAGTTTACCCCCCCCCATTGCAACTAACATGGAAGTAAACCTCCGAATTGTCACTTTAGTTAACGTGGAAGAATTTTTTTTGCACTACGGTAAAAGGAGGACCGAGCGCTCGCTAACATGGCACTGCCCACATCCTACTTCAAGTAGCAAATTTCTATGTAAGTTATCCGTTCCAATCGTTGGTTGTTAAAAAATGGAGGCATTCCCAGCTGTATCTTGAAAAAATCAAAATTTATCAAAATTTCTACGTTAATCAACAAATGCCCAGGATTCCCGGGGAACTCGTGGAAAAAAGAACTAGCCCAAAAAAAAAAGGCTCAGATCCAAAGAACACAAATTTGCAGTTTACCCCCCCCCATTGCAACTAACATGGAAGTAAACCTCCGAATTGTCACTTTAGTTAACGTGGAATTAAAAAAAACTGTATTTTTTTTTTGCGCTACGGTAAAAGGAGGAGGAGTAGTCATCACGTGCAAAAGTAGCAGCATGCTCAGCATAAATTACTTCAGTTTGGCGGAGGTGTTGTTAGCATCACTAACCTGAGTAAACAACCTCTTCACCAACCATTTGTCTTAGGTGTTAGGTATACCACGGTATATTAGTGTATACTAGTGCACATGTGTACATGTTCAAAAGTCCATTACAAAGGACGTGGACACCTGTTCCCCGTCGTGGACCAAAAGGGTAGCCACCTCGAATGATGTTGGTCTCAGTTTTAAGTGTTCAGTTTTCTGTTAATTTCCAAAGGCGTTCTGGCCATGGTGATACTCTCGGCAGTTTTCCACTTTATTTGTGATGTTTTTTTTTCGACATGAATATATATATATATATACACCTACATATACATACACACACACATATATATATACATATTCTATCTTTGTATATGTACATTATTTGTAGAATTATACATATATATATATGTACAGTGTATCAGAATACTTAAACCTCTTAATGCCAAGAAAGTTAGAAAAGTGTACGGCCATCAAAGTGGTAGGGAAGGGTTTCCTGTTTGTGGGAGCCCTGTTTGTGACGACCGTCACAAGTAAACAACTTTAAAGAGCCCGGTCCAAGCCTCAAATATTTCAATCAATGATGCTGCATAGGATATTCAACAGGAACGCTCATATTTGGTCGGTCAAACTACAGGTTTCCTGCAGCCACCTAAATTTACAATGTATAGCTCGCACTTCAAACCAAATAACCTATTTATATACTATATTTATATATATCTATCTATCTATCTATCTAATATGAATATCAATATGTTGTTTTGCCCTTGGCATCTGCGGGCAGAATTTCTTGCATAAATCATCCCCGTGAAGCCAAGTTGCGCAGCCACATGAGCAGCAGCAAACATGGCAGCAGTGCAGCGACCAAGGGAAGCGAAGCCCAAAAGATCAAGGACCGCAGTTCCGTGGTGCGATGGAAAGTGGCCTTACCCAGGCGGCTTCGGCGCTGATTCATCAAAATGTCATGTCTTTAGGATTCGGATGGCGTGTGCCAAGAACCAAACCATATCAAACCTATCCAAGAATTCAAACTTTCAGGATCTAGATGACCATTTGATACCAGGTTACCATTTGATTCTGTGACGAATTGGGCTCCTTGATTCCCCATGCAGCGATATCAGCCATCCCCCCATTCCAAGATCCCATGGCCAGCGTTAGTCGTAAGCTGACCCCCGACCCAGGATGCGAGGTGCCAACGTGGCCCGCGCTTCCGCTAGAGTTGGCGAAGAGTAGTCCTGAGATGCGAATGTTGGCCGGGTGTAACATGGTGTAACCATCAAACATGGTGGGTCAATATGGTTTAACCGTTTAACCATCCAAGAATGGCACTAAATAACTAAATATAGCTATATTTGCCAATATACTCAAACATTTCCAACAGTTGGGCCCCCCAAATGAGATCAAATGAGTAGATGCAATACTAAACCAAGGTGCCTAAAGGAGTATACAATAAATATCATTATATAACTAGGAAAGGATTATTTTGACAGGGCTTCCTTCTATTGGTTGCTGTTGTATTATTCAGTGGCTTCGGGTAGAGAAACACACGTGCATGTAAGTTTGTAAAGTTTAGACACTTAGGCCAAATGACTTATTGACTTGGTAAATTGTGATCAATGACAATGACATGGGTTCCGAATCAAAAGTGCAAATGCTCACAGCTTGTTGGGCCATCTGCCCAAATGTGCGGAATGAGCCCAGGGACTTCATGCATCCAACATCAGACAGGGGCGCTAAAAGTCGCTTCGAAAGCTGAGGCTCAGCTAGACATTGATAGGACGTTGGATCTGACATAGGAAGAAATTCAGGAGGTATCCATCAATTAGACTGAACATATTCAATAATTGTTAATTGTTGATGCCTAAAGGCACACTAGAGATCATAACTTCTGTTACAGTATACCAGGATCAAAAACATTACCACAATCATTGCCTTCTCACAATCAATTTTTGCCTTCTGCAATAGATCAATACCATTGCAATATCCAAATGCATTCCAGTGAATGAAAGCCCCAAAATGTCTTAAATCACCTTGAATCCGAATGTTTCCATCATGTTTAATAGTGAACTAGTCTTAAATCATCTTAAATTACCACTTAAACACATGTTTAATAGTTAAATTGCCATCATGTTTAATAGTTAAATTACCACTTGTAGCATCATTTACCCACTCTTTTTGAGTCCTAACTAACTTGTTTCCATGGAGCCATTTCTGCCTAGACTCCACCTGGGAAGTATTCGCCAGGGCATCAAAAGCTTGCCGCAGTTCCTGCTGGAAAAATCCATGGAAAATTCCCCTGTAAATGAACTGGTTGGTGTTTATTCACATAAACAAATGATGGTTTAGTATGGTTTCATATCTGGTTGGTGGTTTTTCGCCACCCCTCTGAAACATATGAGTTCGTCAGTTGGGATGATGACATTCCCAATATATGGAGAGAACACCATCGATCCATGGGACATGTTCCAGGGCCATGTTTGGTTGCTGGAGGGTAAAGGGTTTAATCATGTTTAATTAATCAGATGGGGTGCATGATGTTTAGTTGATGTTTAGCTGGTGTTTAGTTGATGTTTAGTTGATGTTTAGTTGATGTTTAGTTGATGTTTGGTTGATGTTTGGTTGATGTTTGGTTGATGTTTGGTTGATGTTTGGTTGGCTAATGTTGGCTATCATGAATGGATTGGTTTAAGGGAACAGAACATCTTAACCGGAAACCATAGATTTTGCCCGTAAATATGGGGTTTTCCGGATTGATATCAAGGATAATTCACCGAAGAATGGGATAAACCCAGCTATGACTGGTACAAGGACACCCCTTACAATGCCGGCCTGGGTATGACCAAGTGTGGGCGACCACCACATTTTGTTGTGCTGAATGGCGTTGGACCCCAAAGCACCAAGCATGATCAGTACATAGATGGGCCATGGGACTATAACTAGTAACTGGGTGATAATCCATTATTTAACCAGTTATAATCCACTTACTTACCAGTGAAGTAATACCAGGGCCTATCTAAGTACTGACATGACTGACATGTAATTACTGACTCAGTTCAAAGTCCATCCTCTACATGCAACCTTAGCCTTAGTATCCCTTAGTCACTCGAATCTTATTCTTTTGTGGCAACGGGGATCTCTTAGTCAGCCTAGCTCCCCAGTGAGGCTTCTCCGTGTGTATTGATCCACAGCGACTGGTTGGTGGTTGAACCCTACCCCTCTGAAAAATATGAGTGAAAGTCAGTTGGGATTATGACATTCCCAACTGAATGGAAAGTCAGAAAATTCCATGGTTCCAAACCACCAACCAGATCATCATCATATTCCCATTGTTGTTGGTTTAAAGCCTATTAATTAACCACTATTAACCACTATTGACCATCTTCCAATTACCAGAAATGTATGGAAAAATGAAATTCATGTTCCAGTCACCACCAATCAGATTATGGTCCATGCGGTCCCAGAAAAGCTCCAAATTCACAGAGCCGCTGAGCTCACAGAGCCAACGCTGAGCCCGGCTGTGTCCCCATCCTACAATTTGACATGGCATACCCTCCATCCAACGTGGCACTTGAAATCCAATTTTCCCATTCAAAGTTCCACGAGGATTTTCCAACCAGCCGTGTCTGATTACCGAAGGGTTGTCCACCCTGACCTTAGGCGGCCACGTCAACCGGCCACGCCTGGGTGCGCCAGGGTTGCAACAAGCAGTGCAGCGAGAAGACTTCGTTGCCACAGGGCGGCACGCCGTCCTGAGATGCCAGGGGCCTGGTCGAAAATGACCTGCAGGGTGGAATCCCATCACACATAAGTACGATACATTTGGATGTTCGATGGGTGATGACGGTTGTTAATATAATGCATATAAAAATATACATATAATACATATAAGACTTATGGATACATATAACACATATTAGTGTACATCATATGATTGTATATGTATAAAATGCATGTGTCTACAAATAAGTACGCATGTGGTTGTATCATTATGCATCAAATTATATCTATGATATGATTTGTAATTCTGGATCGACATGGATGGGATGGTTGATGATGGTTGTGCAAATTTACTTCTTTATACTATATTTGTTTGGTTATTTATACATTTGTTTTATCTATTTATTTGTTGACATATCTGTATATAAAATAAAACGCAGCGTACATATATAAATCATATATATATATATATATAAATATCACATATATAAATCACATATGTAAACAACGTTTCTATCTTTTTTGGGGGCACTATACATATATATATATATATATATAGATCAAACCAATCTTTTGCCTTTGAAAGTGCCCTCGGCGCATCTTCACCGCTCACATTTTTTGAGCGCGCCATAGCCCTAGCAACTCAGCCCCGGTCCAATTCAAGCAACTCGCCAAGGGTTTGCTACTGAACATGGCCCATAGATAACCATAGAAATAGATGATTTACCTATTTAAAATGGTGACTCTATGTGATTTTCCATAGTTGTGTTACATGATTTACATTGCTTTACCTATTTAAAATGGTGATGTTCCATAGTTATGTTAGATTGTTAGTTTACCAGAGTGTATCTGCACTGAATGATCTAATAAAGATATGACATGTACAGTAGATAGACACGTTTCGGCAGACATCATCAAGACACATAATGACGTGAACTGCCAAACGTGGGATCTATCATAATGAATCCCAACCCGGGATAGACAAAACTGAAATATCGTATCCAACATGCGGACATGAACAATAATCACAGAACAATCCAAGTATATCCACATGTGCTGAGAATGATCTTTTTTAGACGGCCCGAGCTATAGTTCTTGAGACCCTCCATTCTTTAGGCACGGGCCTGCAATGAAAAGCAACAAATTCTCTCATTCACAAACATGTCCAGAATGATATGGAACTAGACTGAGAGACGGTTGCTGGCACTTTGAAGCAGCAGAATTGGCTGAACCATGTCGAACAAAAATCCTATCTTGGGCCTGTGGGACGGGTTAAAAGAACAACTGCACAGAGCAATGGCTTCAAAAGTGGATCCCCGAAAACTCCAACCATCAAATCACCATAATTAATATTTATGTCATTTACCTGTATATATATATATATAAATATGTATGTATGTATATGTCTGTATATATATATTATATATATGTTATGGTATACTGAAAGTCAACCAAACTCCGAGGTTTGCAAGATTTTCTGAAGAAGATTTGACCCATCCCCTGACATTCTTGTCCCAGGATCTGTGATCATCACCAGGCTAAGGAACCTGGCGGGGTCATGCGAGGGCATTGTTCATTTCTATGATATCTGGTTTTGTCAGAAATTGTCAGGACTCAAGTTGAATTGAACCAGGAAGTTTTAAGTTTATGTTTTTTTATCGTTGGATTTTGGGGTTCCGCACTTGAAGACATCACAATCAACATCAATCATACCATAGGAACGAACACGTTTAAGAATATGAAAGTCAATTGGGAGTCATCATGTCAACCACCAACGATGGGAATACGAACCAGCCATTAATCAAGGTTTGTCTACTTGAATGTACATCCCAGCTTGTATCCCATTTAGGCCTCCATTTTTACCATTGTGATTTGTTTTCAATATAAATCACAACGGAAAGATCAGAGACATTCAGAGACACCACTTACCACCAACCAATGGGTTCCCAGAAAACTCCCCATGGTTGCTGGTTTTAAAAGTTTTACACCCTTTCTTTTGCTGATCAAAGGAGGCACTGGTGTTGCCACCATTCTCATGCCATGGCTACTTCATAATCACCCAAGAAACTACGTCAATCTGTGTCCCGTAAGGCCTGATGCTCAAAATCCACCTGTTTGATGGTGAAATTCCGATTCCTATTGGTATTTATATGTATAAGTCATATTAAAGTATATAAAGTATATAAAGTATATCAAGTATATTAACATATAATCCTATTGGTATTCCTATTGGTATTTACTTAATGGTTCGGTTAAAGCATCTTAAAGTCATTGATGATCCAAAATCCCCAAGATTTACCTAGGATCTCTCTGACGCTTTCCATGCCACCAAAGCAACGACTCCAAGAGCGGGCCGTGCATCGTGGCACGCAGAAAGCACGACCTCAGGGCTAATCAAATGGGATATCGTGGAGCTGACAGACCAACAAAAAATAGTATTGCTGGCTGAAACCTTGATAAAATAAAACAAAATCTATCTATCTATCTATCTATCAATCATCTATCTATCTATCTATCTATCTATCTATCTATCTATCTCTCTCTCTATCTCTCTATCTCTCTATCTCTCTATCTATCTATCTATCTACCTATCTACCTATCTACCTATCTACCTATCTATCTATCTATCTATTTATCTATCTATGTATCTCTCTATCCATCCATCCATCCATCCATCCATCTATCTACCTATCCATCCATCTATATGTGCGTGTGCGTGGTTGGCTGTTTCGACTCCTTCTGGATGTCTCAGTCAATGTGTGCAAATCAACCGGGGTTGTTGATGCCAAGGGCTGAGAACATCGGCACTTTTGTATCTAATATAACTTTGCCATACAGCCATACAATAGTGAGGTACTGGCACCCGTGATCACCCGTGTGTCTCTTTAAAAAGCGTTGACGTCAGCCCTTGCCAAGCGGCAATAAGACGCTCATGCTCGCACAGTGATTCATCAACATCTTCCTGGGCTACACCGCTCCACCGCTCGGCTGGACTCAGTTCCAAGACGTTCCAAGTGTAAAAACAACCGCATGCTGTACTGGTTTCTGATCCAAACAGGAATATTGGAAAGAACTATTTAGATCTACCCTCTGGAAAATTTAACATAGCTAGTGAAAATGGCTATTTTAGTAAATTGAGATTCTCCATAGTTATGTTAGTTTACCAGAGGGTATAGTACATGTATGTACATGTGCTCATTGTATACCACCTTTGTCCAACCAAAACACAACATCTAGATCTGTAGCCCCGTCTGGTGCCCCCTGGTCCCCCGGGACGCTGGTATCCGTATGGTGGATTTCACCATCCTTGCACCTTGACCCTGAGACCCTTGGCTTAGGCAACCCACATCGAGAACAATACCCGCCTAGTTGGTTGCCATAATTGTGTTTATATTCAAAAGAAGTATTGATCTGATGCAGTTGTGTTTTCATGACCATTATTTTTCTTTCATATCTGCTCTGTCAATTTTCTGTAGAAATACAGTATGAGTTAATATCCGTCTTAGTTTTAGCACAATGTGTCTACCCCGCAGCTCTTGGAAAACAAATCAAATGCCTTTCAGGCCGGAACCAGCCTCACTTGCGCCCATCAAAACGACTCACTTGCGCCCAGATTCATGTATACCTATCTTCATGTATAAAAACAACCTTTTAGGTTGGGGCTTGGGGACTTGGGTTTAGGGGGGGACTTGGGGACAAGGAGACATGGTGTAGGTATCAAAGTGTACATAAACAACCTTTTAGGTTGGGACTTGGGGACTTGGGGACTTTGGGTTTAGGGGGGGCTTGGGGACAAGGAGACAGGGTGTAGGAATAATATAAACGGCTACGCCAGGCAAGGTAATCATTATATAATTACATTATGTAATCAGAATGTTACGTTTCATTCCAGTTAGATATCTTCTATGTTGGGTGGTTCTATTTTTGGGGCTTTATCTACGCTTTCGTTTGTCTTTTTGCTTTTTGACTGATTTTTTCCCCATGTATATTTTTTGGGAGAAACGGCAGTGTGCTTATGTGCTCTTTGCGAAGACCCCTTTCGCTCCTCACCGTTTCTCCCTTACCGTATAAAAATCTATCTTTTGTATTCATAATGAATCTATATCTAGCATGTCTGCATCTGCCGCCCGTGGGGATGTGCCTTTGGAAACTTCCGCACCCGGAGCGCTTCGCTCCCCCCACGGACGGTCAGATGATAAAAACAAAACGACCTCTCATATCTACTGTATCTAGAATAGAAAGGATCACAAATTCGCCACTAACGACATAAATGGGGTTGAGACCCACTAACGAGATATAAACCCAAGTTTACTTATCAGAAACCCATAGTTGTGGCCGTGCATCAGTTACAACTACTTTTAACGTCATTTATGGAATGTATAATCATCCCATTTATTCCCAGTTATAACTGGTTATAAAAGGCCATAGCTTCATGGATTATGATCATCCCCAACATATCAAACGTTGAAATGATTTAAGGGGATTTCAAAAATCGGGATTCCCATAAATCATCAATTTTTATTGTATTTTCCATTATAAACCCCCGGGGATCCGCAGGGCCAGCCTCACGCCCTGCTGTGGTTGCATCACTGCCCCAGCCGCAGCGTCAGCAATGGAGGCATGCGGGCCACAAGGCCTTGGAATGAACGGGGTAGTAAAAATCAAATTATTAATCTACAAGACATATGAATGTCGGGACATATTCTATTTAATTGGTAGATCCATGTTAGGATCATGATGGCTGGTGATGTTTGCAGCCGGAATCTTTCATTTAGTAGATGGGTTTCAATCAACGGTAGCCCTTTGAACATATCTTAGTACTTCTTTGTGGGGATTGGGTTGGTCATGAAATTATTACCACCCGAAAAATGTAACAAATTCTTGGGAATAATGGCATATTTCCAATCCATCCTAGCTAGAGATCATTTGGGGGTACCCCCATTTATGGAACTTCCCCCTGATTTTCCACCATAAACCAGCCAGCTATTCGGGTACCCTCCGTGACTTAACCTCGGGCCAGGCCCTAGCCCTAGCCCGGGCTGAGACTTCGGGCCCCAGATGCCCTTGACAGTCTTTGCAATGCAGGCCACAGGTTTTTCAAATCTTGCTACCTAAGGATGCCAGAAGCACTGGCATACTGCCGGATTCAGGCCAAACAAAGGACCCGGCAATGTGGACTGGGATCTCTTTGGAGCATGTCTCTGCACAATATATATATATATATGTATACTGTATATAAATAAATAAATCTATATATATATATTATATATACTTGGCTCCACTTAACATAGTCAAATAATAAAATTGTGTTGAACGCATCTTTCCCCAAAAAATGTTGCAGGATGTTGCAGGTTCCAAGAAACTTTACAGATCCATCTTGTACAATCATCCGTGGTCTTCCATGGTCGATCTGGGAAAATATGCTGATGATCCAATTGGGCTAACCGGCTAACCGTCCAAGATATTCCATGGTCTGCCGTGGTAATATATGCTAGGCTTAAGTACAATTGGTGAGGCTCTAAGTGGTCTTATTATCCATTGTATTCCATGGTCGGTGTTGGAAATATGCCACAACGGATGTGGCTGAGAATGTTTGATAGGGATTTAATTGCCACTACTGGCTAGATATCTTATATAAATATCCATCCGGTCCCAGATTAGAGACCCGCCCCTGGCTGACACCGCGGCCAACCACGCTACACCCAAGCTGCTCCAGTCCAGCCGGGGACCTTGGCCAGTGAGACGGGGAACTTTAAATTGAATATAATATTTTCAGATATGTCATGGGTTTACTCCGTGAATTTCAAGAATCAGAATTTATATGTTCGATTCGGATGTTGGCCCCCACTGGTTTCAAAGCAGATCCAATCCAATAAAATAGTGGTATAGAATCTTTACCAAATAATACCAAGTTCCATGTAATTTTGGTGGTGATATAATATTTCCAAAGCCACCTGAGCAAACCAGGGCACAATTTCTTGTTTCCACGAAATTCCATCAGTGCCGTTGCATGCCGCGTTGAATTTGTTTTGTCGGCATTTCAATACAGTGAGAAAGAAGGTTGCGCCCATTTTTTGAAAAATTAGCATTCACTATTGAAATCCAGAAGTGCACTTAAGCAAATCACCGCTCTATGTAAGGGAGCAAAAATCCCCTTTCACTTCATCACTCCGAAGCGCTTCCGAGTGCCGCATGGGTCCCCCCTGTGATGGATCTATGGGGCGATTTTTTTTGATCGTTTTAGACCTGACCGAATCTTTTCAACATTCACTTAAGATAATAATTTTGTAGGCTTCCAGCACTCCGAAGCGCTTCCGAATGATGGAGTGATAGGGGTAACGCGCGCCTTCGTCTACAACAGTGATTTGCTTCAGTGCACTTCCACATTTTGGAATTCGTTGCTAATTTCATTTTTCAATCAATCATTCACCCATTTGATCAGTCCAAGGGTTTGATATCCACAGAATTCCAGCCGAAGATCAGGGAATACCATGAGTAGTAGATTTCCAGGGCCATATCAGCGATAACTGTGAATCCACAAGCTTGGAGTGGGCCCCCCCACTCACGCACCCCTTACACCAAAATTCATCATATTTAATTAACCATCACCACCCGCGCCATCATGGGGATGTGGGGACGTCCGATCAATATGTATAAGGGAAGGCATCTTTGAAATTCGGATTGTTAAAACTTTTTTGGTGCATGAGCAATACCTCATCCAACAAGGAATCTGGGAATTTGTTAAAACCGTGATATCGCATGAGTACCCTCTAACAAGTCCTTGGCTCAAACTTTACTTTTATGATAATTCATCCTCCGTTAATGTGACTTGGAATATTCTAATTAGACTATTTGACTACCTTAAGTGCTGGCAAGTATATACATGATTACATATATATATATACATCTAATAAAATATATATATATATATCAATATAAGCTATATATATAGTTATATATATGTTATATGCATCCGAAATTGGTCCAAGTCCCAGTGGAACTGCCCGGGCTTGAAGCCGCCAGAAGTTCGATGAAGGAGAAGAGAACCACGGTGAGGTCCAACCAGTTCCTGGGCTCTCGGTCGGCCATCAAGTGGGAATCTATATACTAGCTGGGTGGTCGAGCCCTACCCCGCTGGAAAATAGGACGGTGGTTTTGGGATGATTATTCCAGGTACTTCAATTCATTCTACCTCGGGAAAGGTTCTTTTCTCCCTGGCCCGCCCCGGCCATTTCAACATACGGGATCCACCTCATTTAAACATACGTTAAATACAATCGCTTTACCAGGGGTGGAGAAATTCGGGCAAAAATGGGGGTATCATTGTTTTTCATTTATGAGCAGATAGATAAATCGGGTTGTATATGGCATGTCTGATTGGGGCATTTTACAGACATTCATTACTCACCCCCCTTACATCACCGTGGGCATCCAGTCATCCAGCTGGCCGCATGCGGAAGATAAAATTCGCCCTCTTATCAGAACAGTTTGTTGCAAGGGATGAACAACATCGATTTTCTCTTCGTGGGGTAAATCCCATACTCGCCAGAACATCGTCTTTTTTCCGCCGTCTTCTGCCGTTTGCGCCTCTCACCCCCCTCCCACCGGACGGCTTTGTGCTCGTCCGGTGGGAGGGGGGCCTGTATACAGCGGCGACTTCTGTGCTTGCCGCTGCCCTTCGTCCTTCGTTGGCCTGCGGCGGGGCGTTTTGGCAGGGCGACAAGGTCATTCAGTTCATTGATCGGAAATTTCCATCGGCCGGTATCATTAGGAGATGTTAATCCGCTCTCCCTCTCTTTCTATATCTTCATCATCTCTATATAGATCCGTGCATTTTATGAATTGGTCTTGCCAAGTATGAATTTCGAATGCGCAATCTCGAAGTTGCACGCCATTGCTTATAATTAAGTATAATGGTTTGAAATGTCGTTAGATGGAAGATGGAAAGTTGCCTTTAGCGAATAGTTATTTTCCTATGCTGGTGGTCTTCCCGGGCCCCAGCTGTATCCCCGGCCTAGGCTTCTTCCTCTTCGTTCTCTTCCTCTTCGTTCTCTTCCTCTTCGTTCTCTCTCAGACGGAAGAGCCGATTCCGAAGTTCGGCAACCAGCCGTGCCATCCTCCTTGGAAACGCCGCTGGCTGGTTGTGCCGGCGGACGTTGAGCCGGCAGCGGCGCGCGGCTGTGCGGAGAGCCCGCTTCAGCTGCCGCACCCTGAGGAGCTCGCGGGCAGTGCCCGTCACGATCTCCTTCGATGTGAATCAGACCAGGGCGGGTCCAATTTAAGGGGCCTAGAATTGTACAGATAGATAGGCATAGCTAGATCGTAGAGGCATACACACACATAAAAATATATATATATATATATTATTTATCTATATATGTGTGTGTGTGTTGATATTTACATAAACAGTATATCTAATTACTGTAGGTGCGTAACCTTTTTCTTTTTTCTTCCGATGTTTTCTGTTCTATTGCATCCATTGATCTTTCTGAACTAAGCGATTGTTCAATCCTGAGTTGCCGATCGTTATCATGTCTGTTTATGAATATTGGATGTTGTTATTTTCAGACCTGATAAATTCTGTTCTCAAGTCGTTGTTCGAGGAAATGTATCGGGTCATCGGTGATCAACCTACCTGCTCAAGCAATCTATGATAGAATCAGGATATATATATATAGTTGATGGTGCATCATTCGTGCTATTTAAATATTTCTTTCGAGGCAGACAGATTGCTTTTTTTTTTGGGTCCTGGGCCGTCTGCCGTGCCCGCTGCGCGGCGCTTCTCGGAGGGTACTGTTTGCACTCAGTCAGCAGCTGCGCAGTTCGCGCAGCGCTGAACCCTTTGTTTCTGAGTGCTGCCCGGATCTCCGCATCGCTTCGCAGGACCACCTTCAGGCGCATGCACTCCATCTGAGAGGGGCCAGGCATGCTTGAGGGCTAGGAGGGCTAGGTCGCGGTTTCGGTTTTGGGCTAGGTTGCGGCTGCGGAACCGTTGTCGACGATATCGTATTAGCTGGGTCTGTGAGAGGTGATGGAAGTCCGTCTTGAATTACAGAATGATAATCAATCTACTTCGTAATCTACTTCCTATTCTCCCCAAAATCAATATCCATCTATATCAGCACCTATCATCTATGGCCAATGTTCTTCCGTATTAAGTGTACATAAACAACCGAACCTTCTAGGTTGGGACTTGGGGACTTGGGTTTAGGGGGGGACTTGGGGACAAGGAGACAGGGTGTAGGTGTCAAAGGTGTACATAAACAACCTTTTAGGTTGGGACTTGGGGACTTTGGGTTTAGGGGGGACTTGGGGACAAGGAGACAGGGTGTAGGTATCAAAGTGTACATAAACAACCGAACCTTTTAGGTTGGGACTTGGGGACTTGGGTTTAGGGGGGGGGCTTGGGGACAAGGAGACAGGGTGTAGGTGTCAAAGGTGTACATAAACAACCTTTTAGGTTGGGACTTGGGGACTTGGGTTTAGGGGGGGACTTGGGGACAAGGAGACATGGTGTAGGTATCAAAGTGCTCTTCGCTGCTGTTTACCTTGGCCCTGCCACGTAAAGTCACTGAAAGGGGCTGCACGGGCACAAGTGAGACAAATCGACGGGCACAAGCGAGGCCGTTTCCTTCAGGCCAGGTATATAAAACATATGAAACCACTTTAAAAAAAAACAGTGAAATCAATCCAACGTTTTCAGGGTCAGGGGCCTGAACCCCACTGATTCTAGCAATGATCCTCGGGGTCCAAACGCAAAGTGGGTACCAAGTGCCAATATATAAGCCTCAAGTAAACTAAGGGTCCAAGTCTGAAAATCAAATAAGATCCACAAAAAACAACTGGTGAATAAATCAAGGTTTCCGCCCTGAAGCTCACATGGTATGCCAGCAGGGTGGATGTAAAACTTCGAAAAAGGTCCCATCACCTGCATCCAAATATGCACCAAAGGGTGGTGACCTATATGGTAACCAATGGCCCTGGCTGGATGTGTCGAAGCATTGGCAGTTCCTCATACTCCTGCGCAGGCAACATCCCTATCAGTAGTCTGTTGCCAGCACCAGCAGTGGATGGTCTGAAGCTGCCTGGCAACAAGCCTCCAGGAGCAAAGCGATGTCTTGGGTTTTTGTAATGCTGTCCATGCTTCCTTCTCGGCAGCTGTTGCACGCTGCACGATGAAGCCGCCACCTGAATTCTCCAACTCCTTTTGATCTTCATCCAAGATTCACGATTACTTCAGTACATCTTATACAGCCACTTCCAAAAAAAGAAATCTTTGCACTATTTGAGGGAATGTTTCCTGCATGGATATTCCCAGCGCTATTTTCCAGCACTGGGACGCGGTACACCTGCCCTGTCCCGGACGCTGCCAGGACATCTCCACCTCATGGTTGACTTTAGGCCAAGACATATTTCGGTGTGTATATATATATATATTCAACTACAGGATATAGTCCAAAAAAAGTCAATAAAAAAAACATATTATCTTTTAACTGTTTCAGCCCGTTTAACATATCCACCAACAAAACAACAGCAAATCAGTTATATACCCTCTGGTTATTTAACATAGCCATGGAAAATCATCATGTTTTTTAAAGGTAAATCATAAATCATCTATGAATGGTCCATTTTCCATAGCTATCTTAAAGATTCTTCAATTACCAGAGGGTAATTCCATGTCATCCCTAATTTCTCTTGGTGAATTCCCACCATGGACCGCCACAATAATCACCTTCTGAGGCTCAGCATCATCAAGTAGAGCTGGTGTGAAGCTTCCTCCTTGGAGCCAGCCAGCTGCACAGAAAGTCAATGTAACTGGGCTTCAAAAACAACTTAGCCCACAGCATCCCATGTCTAAATGGGAATGCGATGGGTATATTTATTATAGGGTATTAGTAACGGTACGTTGTCATGTATTGTCTTTATTACGATCTAACACCTCTGGTAGCTGAACAGCTGAACAGCTTGCTATGAAAGCCATGGCCAATTTCATTCGACGATTCACCGTTTTCAACAAATAATTGTGATTTTCCAATAGCTATGTTAAATTGCCAGAGGGATCCAGAGGGTAAATATTGATGTAGTGAAAGGATCATTGATCATGGAAATCATCAATGGGAAGAGTACTATGGATTTGCGGGACCCAGGAATAATATATATATATAATATACTCTATCACCTATTTATCTGGAGATATCCCAGTGATCTAACTACAACTGCGGCATCATTAATATGGTTATTGCATGCTACTACCCACTTAATAACTGGGACACGGCCACCAAGTATCAACTTATCAACCCCGGAAACCAATGGAACATGTGCCTTTCATATGTTGGGGGTCCTGTGGATTCTCCCCTGAAACAGTCCTTGGTTGACAAGGCAGCCAGGCTAGTTTGCGGGACTGGGTTACAGTGAAAAACCCGGAGGATACCCAGAAGATTTCACCCCATATCAGAACTTGAAACCTGAAAAAACAAAACAAACATTGTTCAACTGATTAGTAATAGACAATCTACGTGCAAAAGTATACAAAAAGTCATGAAACATCTACATACGCCAAAGAGAAATCAACAGGTTGAATGCGATTTGGAATTGACCCATTTCCATCTAATTCCGTTCGACATGCACTGGGCAAGAACTGGGACAGCACGCGCTTTGCGCGATTCTTGCTGAAGACAAGGTGCACTTGTCGCCAATACGGTCGCGAAACGCGTGTAGGCAGCCTCTGTTGCCACCCCGCAGTAGGACATTTGGGACCATCAACGACCACCAGTGGGCCTTTGGTTTTGTGGCCTCAACTGTAGAGAAACCAACTACGATTCTTCTTGGTGTAGAATGGGCTGTTACCACCCACGGCGGAAAATTTGGATTTGATTGGAATTGAAGCCCCAGAAAGTAGGAGTCCATCATGGAACCAAGCCAAGTCGCGAGATAGAGCACAGCCATTGCAATGCCAATCGCCATGTACAGTTGCCAACTGACGCACCTCACCGACACCCGCACGTCAAGGGCAACAGATTGGAGACTATTGCTGGGGGGATACCCCATGGAGCTACAGCATGAGACCGAAACCCAGCTACAAAACGGTTCCCATGTCAAATGATGGGTCAGAGCCAGAGCCTCTTATATAGTGTTGCATGTTGCTGGACTTTCAAGACCAGTTTGAGGTCCCCTGGGCGCTTCTATGACTACAGGGGTGCAGTATGAATGATCCATACTAACCATGTTTTGTGTTCAAGTATCATCGTTCAACCCATCCCCTCTACAACGGTACAACGGTCATTTTGGCCCTTGGGCACGGAACATAAAACCCGTGCAGCCGTGAGTTTTTTACAACTGCAGCAGCTAGAAAAATATCACTCTATGTACTCCATTGTTGCTGGCTATATCCCTTATATGGTTGGTTGAATCAACTTAAATCGCCATGTTGGCCGGTTCAATCCCAATTTAATTTCTCTTGCACTTCAAATGGTCTACTATAGTTTCTAAAATGGTGGTTGCTGCGTGTTCAAGTTCAATTCACTGTTTTCGTTCCAAGCCCCATTTCATAAAGCCAAATCCTTTCTTAGAACAAGTTGCGAGTTGGCTTATATATGACCATAGTCTATAACTATGTCATGATTATATATATATCTACCATAAGCCCTAGTTGTTTATGATGTTTGCCAAGGTGCTTGTAGCGAGCAGAAGCACCCGCACCTTGGATAGGGAACGTGAAGCACCATAACATTTTTTTGGGTCTGAAGTAACAACAAATTGCTGAAACATGGGATAAAAAGGACTTAGGTATAATAAAAAATAAACATATTGTTTTTTTTAACATGGAAGCATGAAGTAAAAATACTAAAAATATGAGAGCGGGTAGTCATGGGGGGCGAGGTTGTGAAAGTCCTGATTTTGTTATATTAGTCATTAAATTCATAATTATATCAGTCATTACATTAATCATTATATTAATCATAATAATATTCATTATATAAGTCATTAAATGAATCATTAAATTAATCATTATATTTATCATGGTATGCCTCATGAAATTAATCATTATATTAATCATTATATATATGTATGTAAAATCATTATATTAGTCATTTTATAAACCATTCAAAGAATCATTCAAATTAATCATTATATTTATCATTCTATGAACCAATTATATCATTTTATTTATCATTCATTAATCATGATATTAATCATTTTATTTGTCATTATATAAGTCATGAAATGAATCATATCATTATATTTATAATGAAATGACTCATTATTTTAGTCGTTGTACAGAAAATTATACTAACCATTAAAATAATCATTAAATGAATCATCATATATATATATATAATCATTATTTTAGTCATTATATAAATCATTATATGAGCCACTTTATTAATCATCATATTAGTCATTCAAATTAATCATTACATTATTCATTATATTAGTCATTGAATTAATCTTTTTACTGGTCATGATATTCATCATTTTATTCATCATGATATGAATCATATTAGTTATTAAATTAATCATTATATTAATCATTATACTAATAATTTAATATTCAATATACTAGTCATTATATTTGTCATTATATTAATTATTATATTAATCATGTTATTAATCATGAAAAATACATATATAATCATTATATTAGTCATTATATTAGCAATTTTTTTATTGTTACATTAATCATTAAATTAATCATGAAATTAATGATTATATCAATCATTAAAATCATCATTATATTTATCGTTTAACCAATCATTTCATTAATCATTCAATTAATCATTATAGAAATATGTCATGATATTAGTCATTATATAAGTCATTAAATTAATCATAATATAAATTATTAAGTTCATCATTATAATAGTCATTATTTTAATCATTTAATTAATCATTATAGTAATCATTATGTTAGTCATTTTATAAGTGATTAAATGAATCATTAGATAAATCATTATATTTATCATTAAATGAATCATGATATAAATCATGATTTTAATCAGTATATTAATCATTTTATTAGTCATTATATAAGTCATTAAAAGAATCATGAAAAATATATTTTTCATTCTATGAATCATGTTATTAATCATGATATTAGTCAATAAATTAAAAAATATATACCAGCCATCACATAAATCCTTATATTAATCATTATATTAGTCATTATATGAGTCATTAACTGAATCATGAAATGAATCATTATATTTATCATTATATGAATCATTATATTAATCATTTTATTAATAACTATATTAGTCAGTGTATTAGTCATTATATTAATCATCTCATTAATCATTATATGAATCATGATTATAATCATGATATTGATCATTTTATGAATCATTATATTAATCATTATATGAATCATGATATTAATCATTATATTAAGCATGAAATTCATTATTATAGCAATGATTACATTGATCATTATATTGATCATTATATTAGTCATTTTATGAACCATGATATTTTTTATTCAATAAATCAAGATAGATAGATATATATATATAAACATTATATTAGTCATGATATAAGTCATTAAATGAAGTTTGGTTTTCCATGTTTTTTTGCAATTTGGCCTGGGGGGCGCAGGTGTGCAAATTGTAGAAACGCGCATTTTTTGAGAGGTACTGTGATGAAAGCATATTCACATGAAAAACATGCAAAACAACTATGGAAAAATCAAAAAAGTTCAGACCCATGGGCAAGGTCTGGGGAGAGGCCTGGCAGGGGACATGGGTCTGAACTTTTTGTTTTTTTTGTTTTTTTTTGTTTTTCCATGGTTTTTTTGCAATTTGGCCAAAACCTCGAGAAAACCAAAAAAAACAAAAAAAACAAAAAGTTCAGACCCATGGGCAAGGTCTGGGGAGAGGCCTGGCAGGGGACATGGGTCTGAACTTTTTGTTTTTTTTGTTTTTTTTTGTTTTTCCATGGTTTTTTTGCAATTTGGCCAAAACCTCGAGAAAACCAAAAAAAAAAAAAAACAAAAAGTTCAGACCCATGGGCAAGGTCTGGGGAGAGGCCTGGCAGGGGACATGGGTCTGAACTTTTTGTTTTTTTTGTTTTTTTTGGTTTTTCCATGTTTTTTTTTGCAATTTGGCCAAAACCTCGAGAAAACGAAAAAAAACAAAAAAAACAAAAAGTTCAGACCCATGGGCAAGGTCTGGGGAGAGGCCTGGCAGGGGACATGGGTCTGAACTTTTTGTTTTTTTTGTTTTTTTGGTTTTTCCATGGTTTTTTTGCAATTTGGCCAAAACCTCGAGAAAACCAAAAAAACAAAAAAAAACAAAAAGTTCAGACACATGGGCAAGGTCTGGGGAGAGGCCTGGCAGGGGACATGGGTCTGAACTTTTTGTTTTTTTTGTTTTTTCTTGGTTTTTCCATGTTTTTTTTTGCAATTTGGCCAAAACCTCGAGAAAACCAAAAAAAAACAAAAAAGAACAAAAAGTTCAGACCCATGGGCAAGGTCTGGGGAGAGGCCTGGCAGGGGACATGGGTCTGAACTTTTTGTTTTTTTTGTTGTTTTTGGTTTTTCCATGGTTTTTTGTATGTTTTTCATGTGAAGATGCTTTCATCACAGTACCTCTCGAAAAATGCGCGTTTCTACAATTTGCACACCTGCGCCCCCCATGGGTACCCCTTCTGAAAAATATAATGTTGTAAAAATAATCTTTGTTTATCAATAAAAAAATATTGTCTTTTCGGAAAAACGGTAATATATAAAAATGAAAATTGAAAACATTGAAACACATAAATAAATGAAATATCCTTAAAAATCCAATGCATATTCAGAGTGTCTAGGTTTTAGATTGCTTTCAAATTGGTGGAAGCAATGTTCTTTGAGCGACAATCCAAATGCTCAAAAGATGCTCAAAAGCGGCGCCTGCGGCGGGCCTTTTTAAAGATTCATAGAAAAAAAAATTCGTTGGCAAACGGCAAGGCTTCTGTCTGCAAAAAAATGTGAAAATAGTTTTAAACACCATACATGTTAAAACGGAAGACCGAGAAAAATAAGCATGGACATGGTTAGACAAAATGTTCAAACAACAGCGAACGGCTTGAAGAATAACAAAATGTATATAGATTATTATAGATTATTTTCATTTTCATGCCCAACACCAACAGCTGCTGCTGTGGAGCAAGTCAAATGGGCTGTTGTAAGATGTTGTAAGTGTTTTTGTTTTGGATGATTTCTTTAGGTGCCTGCATTCGTTTCTTTATGGCTCCTGTTATGATCTGCGCATACTTTATTTTGACCTACGCTGTCAACATCTACGAGTACTAGTTTGTCACTCAAATTCCACACAAAATGAGTCATGTGAATGGCTGCAGTTACCTGATTCAACACAATTGGCTCAAAACCCTTTCAATCTGGATATCAATCCCAAACATTTGGTTTGCAAATATCCTAAACCTTATTTCCGTGTAATTCCCTTATTTTCCTGAATTATGAACATTTACAAACTTAGGCGTGAACTGTATATATATATATATAAATCTAATTGAATGTATATATACATGTCTATCCAGTATATGTGCATATGTAATTATAATGTCATTACATGCCAATTCAAATAGATTCAATTCAATCTCCCCAAAATGAAATAAGATCCAATACTAAACCAGGGTCACCAAAATAATATTATTTATATATATATATAATATAGGCGGAAGGGAGTAACCAATCAAAATGGGAATGTAGCGACAAGTCATCCGCCATTCTGGTGAGCAGTCTTGGGAGGCGACACAAATAGATCAGAATAGCTGTGATTGGCTGTTTCGACCCATCCGGACAACATCATCGCGATGATAGGTGATGGGAAAGAAACAACACACAAACCAGCCAGGCATGTCCAACCACAAATCTCATAGTGTTCAGTGTTCATATGCGTTCATCACGTTCAGATCTGATCTCGGACACCACAAACAAATATATGCGCTGAAAATTCAAAGGACATAATCTTGAAAATGGCACCGCATCACCAAAATCATCCATGCCTTTGATAAAACCTACCTTAGCGGTGGTTTTCCGTTTCTCTCTCCACTGGTGAAACGTTCAGCGCAAAAAAACCTGCGCCCAGTGGCTGAAACCACCCAGAACTCCGAAGCACTGACGCCTAGGCCGCTGGAAAATTGTTGGAAATTAAAGTCGGTCAATGTGTATTTTCCCATGGATTCGGATTTCCTGGGATTTAATGCATGGGTATTCAATAGGGATTTGAATGCACAATATGGGGATATGATGGGAATATAATGAGGAGAGTAAAAATAATATCTGGATAAGCTGTGTCTAATGCACCAACCTGACCAAACATGACCGTTCGGCCCTCCGAAGAATGCATTATGGAAAACCATGGAAAGAAACTGAGCGATGGACGTTTCAAAAAAGTTAACATTGAACATCTATAATATTGACGCGGAAACATATGAGGTTAGTTTTCTATTTTCCCTACAACTACTTTAAATGCAAGCAAACCAAGTTACCAAAATTAAAAAAACAACGTGGCTAGTGAACATGCGACTTTCACATTGAGGGTTTCCTTTCGGGGCAAAGTGCATTCCTCGTGGCTCGGTTCTGTTTTGGCCGGCTTCTCATGATGAATCAGTTCAATCCTAGGTTACTCACTCTTCTATGCACTAAGCCACTAAGCCACCAGTGGGAAAAGGACCTGTGTCACATCTGTGGCAGGTTCATGTGTGTGTGTGTGTGCTTTTTTGGCGGCTATATATACACCTTAAAACGCAACATATGCGGCACGTACATCATTTATCATCATTGTCATGTCCAGTTCCACAAAAACTACACAAACATGATTGTATAAGTATAAATACATCGGTTCATGCCTGTATGAAAACGAATCAAATGCCCAATCCATTTTGGGTTTTGTTGACTGAATCTGCTCATGAAACAAGTAGAAACATTGTGAAGTGATCATTGGGACTCCCAAGGAGAAACACAATAACCATGGAAAAACAACTTATGCTGCTGCATATGCGTATAGATTTGAGTTGTCACATCTTCGAGTTCTTGCACAGCAATGGCTTCCCTGATTCTATCCCCCCCCACATGTTACAGCAATTACTTGCTCATTAGGGTGACCCTTTGTGAATCATAGTTTGGCACCCCAAATCGCAAAAATTCACGGGTTGCCTTTCACCAGACCCATGTGCCAGTCTTGAGATTAGAATAAAACCGGCTAGCCTAGCGGCTAGCAATTGTCCTACTTAATTGGCCCAAAAGCCTTGAACAAATGCCATCACTTACATGACACCATTCTATAAATGGGTCTGAAAATGGGCTGTATCCCAATACATTGTCATTTCGTAGGGAAAAACTATGAAAATATGGGGAATTTCTAGTAAACCATAATAAATAATAAACAAAAATAAATTACTTTACTTTGTGTGATCCCCACCATGACATTTATACATTTTGTTACTGGCAAATCTTCTGGCATTCTATCTGACATTTTATCTGGCATTCTATCTGGCATAACTTCTGCAGTATGTTCTGGCATATCTTCTGGCATTCTATCTGGCATATCTTCTGGCATTCTACCTGGCATACCTTCTGGCATATGTTCTGGCATATCTTCTGGCACTCTATCTGGCATTCTATCTGGCATATCTTCTGGCATATTATCTGGCAAATCTTCTGGCATCCTATCTGGCAAACATTCTGGCACTTTATCTGGCATACCTTCTGACATTCTATCTGACATTTTATCTGGCATTCTATCTGGCATATCTTCTGACCTTCTATCTGACATATCTTCTGACATTCTTTCTGGCATATCTTCTGACATTCTGTCTGGCATATCTTCTGACATTCTTTCTGACATTCTTTCTGGCATTCTATCTGGCATATCTTCTGACATTCTATCTGACATCTTTTCTGACATTCTTCATTTGCTCGGACAACTTGTGTGACATTCTTTCTAACTTTCTTCTGCACATTCTTTGTCCCATATCTTCCTACATGAGGTCCGGCAGGGAACACTTGGCGTGGATACTCGCGGTTGAGGTCCGGCAGGGAACACTGGGCGTGGATGGTCGTGGTTGAGGTCCGGCAGGGAACACTAGTGAGGTCCGGCAGGGAACACTGGGCGTGGATGGTCGTGGTTGAGGTCCGGCAGGGCACACTGAGCGTGGATGGTCGTGATTGAGGTCCGGCAGGGCACACTGAGCGTGGATCGCGGTTGAGCAGGAGGAGGAGGAGGAGGAGAGGAGAGGAGGAGACGAGGAGAGGAGAGGAGGAGCAGGCAACTAACATAAAATCTAACAACCCTCACCTGGCAGGTGGGGAACAATACATAATACAGTACACCATAATTAGTTAAACCATTGGGAAAACCATTTGATTTAGGGATCCCCCTATGTGAAAAAAATGCCGTCCAGGTGCCCAGTGCTACCTTGTCCACAGCGCTCAGCCAAACAAGCCTGGCTTCCGCTGGATGGGTGGATGGTACCTTCTAGTCATACAGAAAACGATGGAAAATCACAATTTTTAATGGGTAAATCCACTATTTCTATGGCCATTTTCAATAGCAAACTGTTTCATGGACAATCCGAAAATCACATGGATGAATTGGAGGTTTCCAATCCATAGGGGTACCCCCAGTTCTCATCCATTTGTTAATGGTGTGCGCCATGAAAAACCATCTATTTTGGGGTATCCCCATTTATGGAAACCCCGGGGATAGCATCTTAGATCATGTTAGGAAAGCTAGACATGAACTGCTCAGTTCTTGTTTTGCGGTTTATTTTTTTATTGTCTAGGACAACATGTGGAAAATATGCGGACCCCTTGCTGCCCTTGCTTTGGTGGACCAATCTGCAGCCAAACGACATGCAACAAAAACTCACCAATTCACCAACTGAAACTTGAGTTTATTACAACATCACGTCCTAGTCCTCACTTGGGATAGATCATCTTACTTTCTCTCTCTCTCTCTTACATATTATTGTTTCATATTATTGCTATTGTTGTTTTTCTTCATTGTGATTATTGTGTATAAATATATATATATATAGATGAATGTGTATCGACCTATGACTTTTTGCTTCTAATTGTACATTACATTAATCATGATTATAGTTGTCTTTACTGGGCTCTCTAAAGAAAGTACTTTTGTTTGGGATCCTCATTGCCCACTAAAATTTAGATGTATCAGCTGGATTCATGTGATGTGAACACCCATCCCTCCAACCATTGTCTGACCTCCTCTTTGACGCAAGGCTCCATTTCCTGTGATCACTGGTCTCTTGGGGAATGATTGTCTGGCCATTCCAAGCCATCTCTTACACTCCATGAACATAATCTACAAACAATGTCGGTCATGTAGGGTTATGTAATTAATGTTGAGCATCCAGCACAGCATCCCCTCTGGTAAACTAACATAGCTATTGAAAATTGCCCATTTATAGTTGATTTACCGAACTTTAAGATGGTGATTTTCCAGTTCGCTATGTGAACGTTTACCAGAGGGTAGGTGAACACCGTGAACTCAAATCACCAGCAAGTTACGGCTTAGATCTTCATGGTGGACTTTTTGGCGCCTGGTGGACTTTTTGCCAATGGTTATCTCTCACACACCGTGAACACCGTGAATATCACCCTTTTCAAGGTCCAACAAGTTGGACTGGTATGAAATGTCCATTTGATATCATTGGATTCCATCTCTGCTACTTACATCTATTTACAGGAAACCCATGTAAACCCCCATTCCAGCTGGTTAAATCCGTAATGTTCATGTGTATGTTGTTGACTACCGGGTACCTCCCATTTTCAGCCCACTTCTGTGGGTATCTCTGGATTAACCCGTCCCCCATGTTTGAGGCAAAAAACGAAGCTAGCTCTTCGAAACGCCTCATCTTCAGATACCTCAGATCTGATCAAACATCCGGCATTCTTTGAGCTTGGTCTTGTGGCACCAAAGTCCAAAGTGGGATCGTCCATGATAGAAATGATTGAAATGATGTAAAGATAGACAAATAGATCGACAACGTGCCATTTGCATACCATTTGCAAGTGTAAATACAGCCTGGCAATTTTGGGGGGTAAACTGAAGGGCCATTTGCGACACTGATCACAGAAACCGGACGCACCTAAGAATTGCAAGGACGACAGCCCTATATATCCAGTGCGAATCCCGAATCATGAAATGTGGCGTGAAGAGCTAGGTGCAGCACGTGAACGGACAGCTAATACACCTCTAACCTCACCAGATTTTTTCGCTAAAATCGCGGAAATGATGTCTTATGAAAAAAAATCATCTGACGGCTTTTCAAGAAGCCGTCAGAAAATCTGCATTCAACACCAGAAATTGAATGGATTCAAGATATTGAAGCCAATTTTATGTCATGCAACTCCAATATTTGATATATTGAAGATAACACTATAATATAATATATCTATTGAATCTCAACATTGATATTAATATATCAATATATCAACATATCAACACTTGCAGGGAGCCGAATCCAGCACCAAGTCGCTGCCCAAATGGCATAGAAGCCAGGCACCTGGGTAAATTCGAAGCACTTGATCAATGGAAAGAGGGACCCCCAGCCACACACACACATATATATATAGATATTGAATTATACATGCAATGAAGCGTGTATATATATAATTATATATATACTGATTGATTGTATCATGGTATCCTGACATGGATGCAAATAATGTAAATATAGTTTATCATGCTGTCCTTATATTATGTGTACGAACTACGAACCCCCTAGTCACTGTTGTGAATCCCATTTCAACATAAAAAATAATGAACATCCAATATAGGGGATTCTCTGATGTTGCAGGGTTCACAATATTTGCATTGAATGCTTCGGATAAGTTGGATTGTATTTTATCCAACTGTTTGTCTTGCTTTATCTTGAATACAACTACCCTCTGGGAATCTAACATAGCCCTGGAAAATGATGGATATGATGTAGGACAGAATGGACAATTATGGAATATTATGGACCGTGATGGAAAACACTGGAACATCATGAAAATCAGTGGAAAATCATGGAACATGACCATTTTTCATAGGTAAAAATCATCGACGCATTGGCGCCCCATCCTGCGTGGCTGGCCCTTCACCGTCCCGGCACATTGCCCGGCAAGACGGTGCCATTGGACAGGCTCCGCTGTCCCAAGCCATCCTGGCCAAACAATGTATCGGATATCCCGGATATCATAGGGATCCTGAACATATCCAACATTAATAGGGATATAGTATCGGATATCATGGGATAATAGGTCCAAATGGCTACTTCATTAGGGAATATGATTGAGGATAATTCGTACAAATGTACGCAGAATTAATTCCACTAGTTTGGTATTTCCAATCTGCTTCCATTCACAGCGGAGCGTGGTTCAGTTGAACTTAGTATGGTTTCAGCACGTCTGCACAAGGGAAATTATGATACATCATCAAATTTGAGGTTTTCCCCTCAATTTCCAAACAAACCCATCTGGTACTACCATCATTGTTGGGATCACAAGCTCTTCTCATGGTGGTATAATGGGATATTTCATAGAATATGAATCTCATATGCGATATTAATGGGATATGTGGTAAACCCAACAGTAAACCTACGGGGGAAGATCACTCTCACCATCCCTCATCGCATCATCCAACGTCGGTGAAGTCATGGGGTAGCCCCAAATCAAATCAGAGCATTTTAGTATTGAAACAGATTGAAACCTATGGTGATAATAATGATTAAACAATGGTTAAACAATGGTTAACAATTACAGTAGGTTAAATAGGGTATATCGTGATTAAACAATGGTGAAAATAATGTTTTTTTCATGATCATAAGAATGGTGATGGTATGTGATGGTAAATATATGAAACATATTGAACTATGGGTACATATGGTAAATATATGGTAACTATATACCTTATGAACTATTGGTGATTAGCTAATTATTAAGCATCATTATTGAAACATATTCTGGTTGGTGGTATACCTATCCCTCTGAAAAATATGACTTCGTCAGTTGAGAAGGTGACATTCCCAGCGGAATGGAAAGTCATAAAATTCATGTTCCAAACCACCAACCAGTACTGAAACCTATGGTGACTTGGGTATCCATTTCAGGAAACCTAGGTTCTCTACCACATTGCAATGATCAGCCAGCAGAAAAATACAAACCGACTTAAGTTAAGCGAGTGGTTTTGCTCAATCACACCACAGTTATATAACCCATTTACGTATAGATATTTAACATATATTTAAGATATTTATGCCACTTCGTCAATAGTCAATAACCATGTATGTGTATATATATATATACTGGTTGGTGGTTTCAACCCCTCTGAAAAATATGAGTCATCATAAAAATGGGTAAATCAACTAATTCTATGGCCGTTTTCAATAGCAAACTGTTAGTTTACCGGAGGGTGTATATATATATACATATGAGTAAATTATAATATTTCACTAACCTGAATTAAGGCCTCACATGGGGAAGATTCCCCGAAAATAAACCATGATTAACCATGATAATTTACCCATATATATGAATATAAATATACACATATCACATACATATATATATATACATATATATATATCCAATATATATATATATCTCATCATAGATATAATAGATGTATGTATATATATATATATTGTTGATATATGTTGAAATGATGATATGTAATTAGACCATCCGAATCAAGGAGATTTACGACCACTAATCGTGCCTCTCTGCACGCTGATTGCCCTGGCACTGCTTGGAAGGAGCCCACAGGGCACTCCTTGCGTCGCGGGTCAAACTGCGATGAATATGATTAATCTTTGAAACAACCTAATCTGATGTGATTGATTTGTTTTGAATTTACTTGAGCGATGTTGCTTTCAAAAAATGACATCAACTATGTTAAACTCATTTGTGATTCGGACATTTCGCAATTTAACCAGCTAAAAAATGAGAATGATAGGGATTCAAGTGCTGACTACAGGTCGAAATCTAAGATCCTCAAAACAACAATTCCGGGCCAGTCTTCTCCAGTTTTAGGACTCATCCATCCAATCTTAGAGCGGAAAGTACATCTTTATTGAAACTGAAGCCTGGCACAAGAACCGCTCATTTTCCGCTCAAATTTCACAAGTTGAGCATAGCCGAGGTATGAGTCAAAACGATAAACTACCAATAACCACCAAAAAAGGCAGAGTTTTAGTCCTCAAAATCAGCCGCCTTTTCCCGCCTTTTAAATATCTTATATTACCCCTGGCCCCCGTGACGCTGTCCTGGCATAGGCCCATGAAGCCAAAAGTTCCAGCTGGACAGGAGCTACAAGTGCTCCTCGAAGCTGCGCTTAAGAACGGAACCACCACGCGGGTAGGAGTTCTGCGACCAGATTCGTGACATGTGCATGATATATGGACCTCTGAAATGCCGTGCATTGTATGGTAAAAAAAGGTGCAAGTGTTCATCCTATAATCCTGATCATCCCTATAATCATCTATAATCCCTATAATCCCTATAATAATCCATATATATATAATTATACCAATCCCTATGGTGTGTGGGCATATCTAACCAACTTTGCCCGGTGCCCACACCTGCCAGTGGTATTGGCGGAATGCCCCAGCTGACATGGAAGGCACTCGCTCAGCCCGGCCTTGCAATGTGAATCACACAGGTCTTTTCTAACCAGGGAAGCGCTCATAGTTTGGATAGAAAAGCTATACACTCCAGAATTTCAAAGCAAACATTACTCAGTAGCAAATTGCGATTGCTCCCTTGGAATCCCTTGGATTCTATTTCAACCAAAGAGCGAAGGGTAAAAAAGGACAGTGCTTAACCATTGAGATTTTGCACCTTGATGCACATGATAAACTTAATCGCTTGCTGGCTTCGCGCTGAAAAAGTATGGTTCTTGGGATCATCATCCCAGCATATCCCAGCTGAGGAGTGGAGACAAAGAAGTTGGCACGAGCTTCTGGTGTGGGATCACAATTCCACTTCTCATTTCATGCACGTGACAAAGCAAGAGTTTCCGTGTATATTGCTTTTGGTGAGGGCTTGAACTGCGTTAAGAGGCATGGTGTTCAACTTGTGGGAATTTGCTGTGGTTTTGGGTTCCGCCTGCGACACTACAATAATGCGACATGGAATTGAAGGGTGCAAAGTTGATGATTGTGATCCCAACGCAAGCAACACTTTCACAAATACACGTTCACAGAGCAAAAGACGACGGTGCACGCAATGCTTTTGGTTTGGACATCCAATAAAGGAAGTCGTACGTCTATCTAAGTATATCGGGAATTTTTAGTAAGTTGGCCGTGTTGATGATGATGATGATGATGATGACGTTTAGTGGTTTTGGCAGTGACATTCCCCAGCGCGCTCGTATAATCAGTGGAATCAGGAACCAAAGTCAGGATGCCCAACACTGGGAACACAAGGCGTTGTGGAATTGCACTGGGACATCGCTAGTGATATCAATTTAGTCGTTTTGATATATATATATATAAATAAATAATATATATATAATATATATATATACATATATATATATACATTTTTATATACATAGCATGCATATATATATATATAATTGTTTTTATTAAACAAAAACATTAAGCATTTCTACATATACATAATTATAATATTCATATTTACATTTATGACGTATTTCTATATATATATATGTGTGTGTGCAACATAAGACAACAGGTAACAAGGACGAACCATGATCAATGTAACCAAAACAAAACGCATCGTCCCTTCACAAAGCGTCACTATGCACCGCCTCCGGTGCATAGTAGCCCAGGCCGCAGGCTTCACAAGAACTGGCGCCAGCTTTGGAGATAAAACCTGCGGCGGGAATGTTGAAGAAACAATGGGATGTACCCTCTGGTAAACATACAAAAAACTATGAAATGTTTAATGGGTAAATCAACAAACTTTATATGGTCATTTTCAATAGCTATGTTGGTTTACAAGAGGGTATACTGTTGATCATATATATATATACACATATACATAAACATATACATATACGGTATAATAATGTATAAATATATATATATGTATACCCTCCTGAGGAAGTATTTGGGATATGATTCAGGGGGTTAGCCGTACCTCCTCAGGAAGTGTTTGGATCCATAGGCCATAGGGATATATAAGTATATATGGTATGTGTATTTATATACTATATATATATATGTATATATCCATCCCCATTCTAATGGTTGTAATTTGGGGGTCATCTCCCATTTCTGGGCAAACCCAAACTCATATCAAGTTTGTTAGTGACAATCTACGGCGACGCAGGTTGGCTACATACTGGCAGGCACCCTGACGCTTCACCAAGGGGTTAATCGTGCATCAGTGTCCCTGCCTGGTGGGCACAAGGTACAACTCGACCTGGAGCGCCGCCATGCAGGGTAATCATTTGTGAAAAAAACATGGAGGTCAGAAGCTGGGCTCAATGGACAACACGGAATGATTTAAACGAAAACATCTTGTCCCACTGGACATTCAGGTTTCCCGGACATGTTCCATTGAAACCCCAATGCATGTCTTGTCTTGATGGTTCCCATGTCCGAGCTACTAATCCCAAGGTATGTTGTCTCCCTCGATGTTTACAATGAGCAGCTGTCAGACCGTCTGTCCCAGAAGGACGCCCCAAGCTGCCAAGCCATTCCAATACAACCAACGCAATGAAGAACCTTAAAATTGCAGCTGCGAGAATATTGCATTACATCCGAATAGATTCAACTTACATGGAACACATACACACGCATATTATATACATATATAAATATATATATATAGAGTTGATTTGTTTAAAAATATATATATGTATATATATATAATTATACATATATATATATATGTATAATTAAAATTTTCGAGGTGAACAAAATAAGTTTCATCCTGCAACGGGATTTTTTCCCATGTGGGTCACCCCAAGGGGTCCACATCAGGGGTCCACATCTGGGTACCCCATCGTGGCGGCACCAAAAGCAAAACGTCCTGGCAGGGCTGTGTTTCTTGGCTGTGCGATGTTCCCCACCTGGGGTTAAAAAAAAAGCATCTATGCTAGGGTTAAAACTGAATATATATATATATACATAGATAGATACAAATGTATATGTATATATATATATATAATAGTTTGTGGTCATCAATGAGACTTCATCCAAGGGTCAACATTCACATTCAACACCACCATTGTATGGTCCCAGATATGTGATTCCATCGCCTGCTTCTGCCATGGCCATAGAAGAGAACCCTTTGTTCAGGGCCTTGAACCCCTGAGCGCCCACCTTCACTGCCCCTGTTGCCTTCAGCTGCCTGGTCATTGTAAGCTGGTTTTTTCGACACCAACACTGGTCTTCCTGCAGCAGTAGATGCTATTGTCAGTCGATTCCACCACTGATCGTCGATTGCAGTCGTGCTGCCTCATTGCCGGATGTCTGCCAAAGGAACACTGACCTTGGCTTTGATTCTACATTTTTTGCGGTATTTGTTGATTCTACATGACATATTTCATCCCGAAAGTTCTTTTTTGGTAGGAATAGAAAATACCAAACAATCCAATCCTATACATATCTGAGGTTTTAGAGCTCCATCTGCATGGCTGAACCTGGATAGCACGATATGAAAAACAATAGTTGATTTTAGCTAGATATAAAATGTACCATCAAAACATACGATTGAACATGAACCTATAACCTACCCAAATTAACTCATATCTTGGAGGATTATTGTAAGTAAGTACTAGTACTTAGTAGATGCTTCCTTGTGTAAACTGCTGGATTGAGTTTGCGTAGTAGGCAGTGGGATGTCCTACTCCAGTATCAGTCAGTGGATTGATTTAGCAAAGAACTACTGGGAAACCATTATTTGTTACCATCACCAACTAAGGTCCTTAATATGTTTACACTTACATATACAGTAGTAGTATAATAACATATACCCTCTGGTTATTTAACATAGCCATGGAAAATTGCCCATTTATAGAGGTTTACCGAACTTAGTAGCATGGTTGGATTTTCCATGGCTATGGCACAAATAACCAGAGGCTAATAACCATTTCTGAAAATCATAGGGTCAGAGGTCTTGGGCTGAACTTCTCGACATGACTCGGTTTAATGTGGGTAAAAAACAATGCCATTTTTACCACCCATGACTGGGAATGGTTTATACCATCTATAAAAAATGGTGATTTGGGTTTATTATTGTTTTCCCACATTAATACACTTTAACTGCAAAGCATCCAAGCTACCAAATCGCCAGCATCCCCGCACCCCGAGCTTTTCACAAACAGTTAGTTAGCCTATGCAAATCAACATGGCTTGTTTTAGGTACCTCACTAAACAAAGCGCTTGATATAGATGTACCCGAAGTCTGGCGCAAAGAGAAAACATTATATATAAACAACATTAAACATGTTGATCCACATGCAAATAAGGCAGAACCTGTTTTTTCTTGGTTAACTGATATAGTGCTATAGTTAAATGTCCTTTTGTTGGTGCCTGTTGCTGAAACATTTCTTCATCGTCCTGGTGCACATGGCTGGCAGCTGCCGGTCTCATTGCCTTGGTTGGTGCCGGTAAACGCACATCGGAGGTTGGGGTTGGAAAATGGGTGTGCTTCAATCGGAAAATCCATGGGAACCAAGATGAACCAAGTTCCATTTCCGGAAATCCCTTGTAAATGGGCATTTCATCAAGAAAATCATGGAACCAGGAAGCTACAAACCATTATGAACCTTCGTTCATAGATATCCGATATGATAACTGATACTTTTTTAAATGCATTGTTGGTTTTCCATGGCAACCCCCAACCACCCACATCCAGTTTCCATGTTTTTGCTGGGCTTTCCAGCTGGTGCCCGCCTGGTGGCATCAGCAGTTAAACACCAAAAAAGGAGACTGAACTGACTGAAGCTACCGCCCTTTAAAAAAAATAACATATAATTAAAAAAATGATGCTCAATGGAATGGTTGAAGGGAACATCTATGGTTGAAACCATGGTGTTGACCGCCCAGGGGTGACCTCAAAAAAGGGTCGGTGGGCCGCAGGGGATGTGGTGTTTCGTGTGGTGTTTCGTGTGAAAAAAAAACGACCTGAAATTTGGGGATTCTCAAGATTGAAACCTAATTGGTGGTATACCCACCCCTATGAAAAATATTGAAAAATATGAAAGTCAGATTGGATCATCATCCTAACTATTGGGGAAAATAAAAACATGTTCCAAACCACCAACCACCAGGTCGCGGGCGCGTCAGGCGCCTGGCGTTTTTATAGTGTTTCTGCATCAAAACGTCTCTTTTCAACTCTTTTAGCAGTTGTCGGCGTCGTTGTTTTTCACCAGCTTTGCCAGCTCTTTCAGCATGACCAGTGGTGTACAAGTTTGGAGATTACATCTCCACACATATTGGAAACAACGACGTCGCAGAGATGGATTCACCTCTGACCCCACCAAAGTATTCACTTTTCTGTGAAGATTGGAAAAAACAAATTTCTTCAGACTCAACCATTGTCGGTCGATTTGCTGCGTGCCAGCGATTTTAGACAACTTGGTACTGTTGATGTCAGTGAGCAGGCGGCAAAACTCTTTGTTTCGGTGATTCCGCCAATGCCAATGAACGTTATAACATCCCCACCCATCCCCCCATCCCAGTCAACGTAGCATCACGTAGTTGTGTAAATTGAAGAGAACGTGCAGTAGCGTGGCATCACGTAGTTGTGTAAATTGAAGAGAACGTGCAGTAGCGTAGCATCACGTACGTGTGCAAGTCCAATGAACGTTAACATGCCCAGTCAACGTAGCATCACGTAGTTGTGTAAATTGAAGAGAACGTGCAGTAGCGTAGCATCACGTAAGTGTGCAAGTCCCATGAACGTTAACATCCCCCCCCACCCACCCACCCACCCCCCCCACCCCCCAACGAACCCATTTAAGACAGAAAACACACGAAATTACCAGGCGCCTGGTGCGCCCGCTGGCAACCACCAACCAGAAGCCAACTCTGGTCTACCTCATTTTGAGCCAATAAACATCTATAGTAAATCTCTCTCCATCTCTGTCATGCGCCGAACAAATGAGCCATGGATGTTCTTTCTGCGGCATTTGGTGGACATGTCTTTGTGGAGAACACCTCCTCGCCGCAAGCCACTGATGGCAACGTGGTATCTCATATTATCTCTCTACAATTTGGGTTGTCCATGTTGCTCATAGAGGGCATGTTTACTATCATATAATTATAGGGGAATTGGAATTGCAACTTCATACCCTGCACTACTCCAACACGGCAACATGCACCACAACGCTGCCAAAATCTGCACCTCACATCTGCAAGTTGACTCGCCACTACCTGCCCCGGTGGCAATAGGGTTGGCCAAGTGGTTGGTGACCCAATCTTCGTAAGTCAGTGCAAAAGACATCACCCCGAAAACATGGTCTAAGGATGTTGAAGCAAAAGTTCAGCGAAATCTCATTATAGACTAGATTGGCAGCCATGAGCTTGTCATCATTTTTTTCAAGTAAATTGAGATACTTTTCTCTGCAAGATCATCTTGACCATCATCTTGACCATATCATGTCAGGTATCCATCCATTTCACGCTTAGTTGTTCCTGTCCAAAGCCCCAGATTTCGCACAGTGAAATCAACCTACTGAATCCAAGCGAATCCAAGCCGCGAGGGCATGGGACGCATTCACGACGCCCTGAGGTCCAATTGACTCGCGCCTTGGCTGAAGAGGTGCTCCAGATGGACAATCTTGGCTTAGTTGGTTGAAACAAGTATTGGTACGCTGGGGTAAGCATGGTGAAAATTAATCTGATTCAATTTTAAACATAATTAACTTAATTGATCATAATTCCAGGATGGGTGCCTGCTTATGACATCTTACAGCTAGGGGGGCACCTCCTGATTCTCTTGCCTCCTCCGTGGCGTTGCAACGGCCGCAATTGCCATCGCGGAAGCCAAAGCCTGCAGGCGCCAAGGTCCAGTTCGGTTGAAGATGCAAATGGGGTTTGCTACATCACGTGTGCACAGAATCTTGTGGAATATACATGTATATATATATATATATACGCGCCCGCACACACACATATATATATATAATCATCTATATATATATATATGTGTAATTATATATATATGTATGTATGTATGTATGTATGTATGTATGTATGTGTGTATGCATCTTTGTGTATTTCAAATTTCCTCTGGTAGACTAACATAGCTATTGAAAAACAACATGTTGAATCCAGGTAAATCAACTATGGGTCATCTCTGCTATGTGAAATTACTAGGGTCTTTATCATCAGAACCCTCCAACATCTTGGAGAACTCTTCCCTGAAGCACTGCAGGCCTTCCAGCCCCTGAAGCCAACAAGATCTCTCAGCCCAGCTAGCTGCAGGAAACCTCAGGCCTACCTCAGCACAGCCCCACTGGGAACCTGTTTGGATGTAGCTCCACAGATTTGGCCGCTAAGTTTGGAAATGATTTTTGCAGAATCTTACTCTTCTTTCTTTCTTTTCTTTGGGTGTGCTATGGTGTCCAGTGATCCAACTATAAGATACTATAAGTATATGTGGGACATCCAAAAAGAATTTCTGCAGGTAATCAGCAGGGCGAAGCCAACACGGGTGGCATCGATCCACGATATCTGGGGCCGATCCCAGCCTGGATGAAAACTATCTGATGAGATATCTGAAGAACAATGCAAAAAACACAGTTGGGACATGTTGGGACCCTGAGAACATCACAGATTTGCAAAATATCCTCTGGTAAACATGCAAAAAGCTATTGAAAATGGCCATTTATACTGGATTTAACCATTAATAGCATGGTGATTTACCCATTTAAATTACCAGAGGGTAAGTTTTTTCCATGTCCACTGAAGATTCTGGGGCGCAGATACCTGGGCGGCAGCGCCTGCCTGGACCAATGGCCAAATGGTGATTCACCCCAACTGCTTGGTGGTTTTTCGATGTTTTTCGCCACCCCTCTGAAAAAAATGAAAATCAAATGGTTTGATAAAATTCCAAGTATATGGGAAAATGGGAAAATAAAATGCATGTTCCAAACTTCCAAACCGCCAACCAGCCAATCATATAATGATAGCTTAGTATCAACACCTGGCGTGTTCTGTTTTAATGTGTGTGTTGTTGCTGTTGCTTTGGCCGGTTCAGAATCCCAGAATTAAAGCCATCTATGTGAAATCTTGAGAAACACATCACAGGAAGGCAGAATGATTTCAGAGTGGGGCGCACATCAGCCATGTTTTCCAGCGAATGTACTCGAACCGTCATGTTAGTGTTGATATTTAGTAAATTAGGTGGC